GTCTGATATTATGTATACTATTACGCTAATCTAAAGCTCTTAGCTGTTCATTACACAGGTGCTCAGGGCTCGGTGCTCACATATATATGTTTCCTTATCTGGAGGTCCTATTGAATATCAGACTCCAGAGACAGCTAACCATGATTAATCGATATGATTAATATAAAAATTGGATATACTACAAGCTGAATAATCACTTGTTGCTTAACTTCTCGTATATACAAGTTACAACGCCTGTTTACAACTTTCTTTATTTGACTACATACCTTATATTGAAAAGTGTCAACTGCTAGGTATGTAAATTTTTCTTTAGTCCCTTAATTTTTCAACGTTTATGCACTATCTATAATGAATACATGGCATCGTGTAATTTTGCGGCCTACATATATATATAGATATATAAATATATAAATAGTAGCAGGTTGTTATAAATTATAAGCTTTGTATAGTAATAAGTTTTATCGGCTGAATTTCTTTTGGGTATATACTAGTAGATCAGTATATCTGTTACAATTATGAAAAGATTCGACTCAGTAGTACAAGTATTATACTAAGTAGTAAAGTACGATCTGGTAGTTGAAAGCTCCAATTCGGCGATGTCTCTCGTACTGATAGTTGAATATAATGGTAAAAATCTTTCCACAGCCTATATTGCAGTTCATTTCAATATAACACGTACACGAACGTCTATAGTGTACGGCCAATTATCTTGGTTTTCGATCACTAATTAATCGACATTAATATAGTACTATAGCTGACTAGCTGACTGTACTAGCAATTGTACTTTGAGCTCATGAATATATTCCAGGATTCAATATGGAATCAATTATTATAATTCATATAAGTCTAATAATCAGATTGCACATATTGCCTATTAACCATAACTAATACACAACCAGCGGATCTACACTGATGGCTGGATGGCAGATATCTTCAGTTGTGTTCAATCGCATCTTATAAAATCAACAGTCTACCTCTGAGTCCTCATTGCTAGCGTCAGTGCCCCCTGCCTAGGAGATCTATAAACAATTAGATTATAGACAGCACGCCTCTCCGCGCACTAGGCAGCCGCGAGCCCATGAGCTAAAACATGGTCCCTTTGCGTGTACATACCTAGCTTCCAGACACCAGTCCGAGAGCCTCAAGCAATAGGCTAGACCTTAGAGTTTAGCGCTTATGTAACAAAGTTAAATTAGTCTACCGATCCTGTGTAGCCTAAAATGAGTTTAGTGGGAAATTTCCTGCTCCCTGTGCCCAATTAGCTGGTGACTCGTCATGAGTCCCCGAATGATCTTATTTTTTTTTCGCAACAATTCTTTGAAAATCTTCGAGTTTTTCCTGAAAGATCTTATTTTTCTTCCAGATTTGTCTTCCAGAAGCTTGCTGGGAGTTTATACTAGAACTACATTGGTAGTAGGTACGTAGGTACAATTAAAAGTCAACAATTTCATGGTGAGCATCTTCACCCAGTTTATATGGCTCTAACTTTAAGCCAACGAGTCAATTTGGTTCTACGTTATAGGCTATATATAGCCTCTTTATATTACGTACTTGAAGAGTTAAAAGTATTAGAAGTTGACAGGTACTACTAGGATCTTGATCACGGTGTTTGAATAGTCTAATTTAGTACATTAATTGTCATTCGATATCAAAGACATATCAAATTAAGTATAAATTATATTCATATCGAGGGCAGGAATTGATACATATGATCATTTTACTCATGAAAAATCACATATATTATCGTAGTATCGTCATATATAATTCATAATTATAGTCTCAAGTAATTTCAGGGGTTGTCCATTCATCAGTATTTATATAGCGCATTATATATATATAGTATTAGCCTGTATCAATTTAGGGTTAAACAGGACTCGTACAGTTCACTACTAGCTCTTGACAGAACTTCAAGCTGATGATAAATCTTGCACAGACTAGCAGATGATTTAGAATTGCTTCTTGCTTAAAGTGAGATGTATCGGCTCGAAGTTTCAGCAGGTGTTATGGTGTTATATGATTTATCACATAAAGTTAAGAGATTTACGGGTCTTTATAGAGACTTGAATTGTAATTTTTAGCGTACGTTATGCTTAATATAGTACCCAACTTCCAAGTTCCAACTATACTGTCTAATTTATTAACGTAGACGTGATACGATATAATTATCGGCCCTGATTTTTAAGGTAATATTTGAACACATGAATTGAAGTATATATGCATGGGCTCACCATGCGATGGAATTTCCACGTCAAATCAGGTCTTATATATAAAGTTTAAACACGTATATGATATATTATATTGGTATATATTAATCAATTCATGATCAACGTCCTGATGATAATATTGATTGAATTGATTGTTAATATTATAAACAGCGTTGACTGGATGTAGTCTTTAAGAAGTTAGACTATACGTACTTGTATTCATTCGTATATATATATATCATTAATATATAGTACGTCAACTTATATTAACCATAGTACACGCCAGGGCAATTAATATATATATTCGTATTTTAATTGTTTTGGTCGAAGTCGTGAATTTCAGCAGCTAATTTACAAATTATTAACGTACCCATTCAATCTAGAGCTCGGAAATGAATCACTTTTTCGCTGATTTGATTTGATTCAGTGAATCAGCTTGATTCATGAATCATCCAAGAATTCGCGGGTAATATAAAGTAGAGAATTTCCTATTTAGGATAATAAAATTGTTTTTCTTTTCGGCAGGATTAAAAGTTTTATCCAAAATTTTTAAATATGGCCAGATATTCACTTTTATTACAACATAAGAATTGATCAGAAATAAAGAATAGAAATAGCACAAGCTCCATAATTCGAACAATTGTAGCAAATATTCAACCATCAATAACCCCCTAGTATATTCGCGAAGATTCATGAATCAAAAGTCAGAGATTTGATTCATTGAATCAAGGTGATTCGTGAATCATTTTGAATCATTTTCGCGGAAAAGGTTCGCGAATTTGATTCATGTCCGAGCTCTAATTCAATCACACGTATATGAAAGAAGCTCGATTAGTGCAATTTCGTTTTTAAGATCACCAGCTCTTGATCGCAATTGATATAGTAGCATGTCTGCCGAATTATTGCAAATTCTAGTGTTATACTAGTTTGAAGTTCATGATCCACCGCGGCCATACATGTTGATTAATGGAATTGATATATAACATCATGTAATTATAATTCCTTTCGTATATATATAACATATAATCAATTGATCGATCAATATATAATAAAATACACATACTTGCTTAACTTACGTTATATACAGATTGAATTGATAGCTTAATCGAATATATGCTAAACGTTTTGACTCGTGTACTATAGACATGGGAGGGTCCAGATTCCAAAATATAGTTTGGTTTAACCTTCCGAGCTTTTCAAGACGTACCGAGCTCTAAACTAAAGTGCAAAACCATATTGTACATTGCACAATAGATCTTGAAGATTTGATCTCTGATAATTATTGATTCCTGATTATAATCCTGAATAGCCTATAACTAGTTATATAATTAGACTTGACTCTTGACTCTTATTCTCTAGACCATCAAGTCTTGCAAAACGTCACAACTTACAAATTATTGCGTACCATACTTCAACTAGTTCATACTTTTATGAAGATTGGCAATCAAAACGCTCTGCAACGCATCCCCTTACACTTATACATTGTTACACACTGCACATGGAGTAAACTTTAACAAGAATTTTCACGTTTTGCACAAGTTGCAAATCTTTTGCGTTTTCCTGTGTAAGCAAACTGCAAGGATATGTACTAGATGCAGCTGCTCACCAAGCCTGTCTATACCAATTAGAATAGGCAAATTGCACAGACCGAATTTGCACGATTTTGCACCAAAGAGAAAAACTTAGAATGGGTAGAGAAAAACAGTAAAAAGATGTTGTAATAATCTAAAACATTTATCAAGTTAAATATACAACATTTCCTTTCCAAATTTACACTTTTCGGTCAGTGGTTCATAATTTTTTTGCAAAAAAGTTTCGAGTTCTTGAAGACTCATTCAAACATAATTCAATATCATTGACAAAAGAGGTTTTCTAAACTCCCATCAATTCAATTCTACACAGTTAACAATTTACTGCAAATTAGTGACATCCTTTTGAGGGCCCATAAAAAGAAATTAAGCTGGAGACTTTATTTAATACTACCGGTGGCCTGCACTGCAAAAAATTAGTTCAACTCCAACTATCTCATAATTCAAAAACATCATTTTATGGATAGATAGATTTCCCTTTTATTTCAAAACATACAACAAGTTCATTTATTCATACACACAATCATCTTTCGATAATTCCATCCAATACTAGAAAGGAAATTGTGCCGTTCAAAGTACCTCTTCATATTTTTACATTACAAGTTCAAAGAGGCTTGCCGCATTTTCGTTTTATTCAAAAAATCTTGAAGGCTTTGAAAACTTCAAGTAAATTCAACAAAACTGCTTGAAGTCTAGATTTATTGCGTTCATTAAGGATTTAGTTCAAGCTCAAGTTCAAAGTAGTCATACTAGTTTTATTTTCCTATAAAAGAAAGTTGTTATATGATATATTGTTGGGTTTAGCAAGTTGTGATATTGTGGAAAGAAAGCAAGAAAATTGATTATTTACTTTAACTCAAAGATATAGAAAGAATTTAAAGCAACAATCAAATAAATTAATCCTCAAACTCTTCAATCAATCGTTTATTAATATTTAGCTTTCAATATTCGAAAAAACAACAGTTTTTTATTCATTCTTTTGGGGAAATATTGAGTTATTTCGAAGAAGGAAGTTTATCGATTGGTTAAAGATTATCAGTTGGTTGAATCAAAGATTATACAAGAGCTATTTGCTTCAAGAAGTATCGTGGTTCATTTCAATCACCCAGAAGTTTATCAATCTACATTATAACGTTGGCGGCAAGCAGCCGCCATTTAAAAACACATTTTCAAAGTTAAAACTTCAACAACTTTTCCATCAACAACAATGTCACAGAGAAACACGAGGAGTATAAATGACCAGGCTGGTAATGAAGGATATATAAGGCCTTCCTCTGATGAACAACAACAACAACAACAACAACCAAGTGGAAACGTAAATGGTACCTCATCTACATCAAGAATTCAACAGAATCAACAAAATCAACAAAATCAACAAAACCAACAACAGCAGCAGCCACCAAAGAGAACAGCTTTTGTACACAAGTTATATGCCATGCTGTCAGATCCAAATCTATCACATTTGATATGGTGGTCGAGAAAAGATGATGATGGTGTATTTGCTCTACATCCAGGCACTGAATTTGCTAATGCCCTGACTAATTATTTCAAACATGGTAATGTTTCAAGTTTTGTTAGACAACTGCATATGTATGGGTTTCATAAAGTGTTTGATGCTAGTAATGATGATAATGATAATGACCGTAAAGAACAACAACATAATAATAATAGTAATACTAATAATTCCAATGATGTCAACAATAATTCAAGCAATAATTCAAACAGCAATAATAGTAATAATAGTAATAATAGTCAGAACAGTGATGATCTTATTTGGGAATTTAGACATTCAACTGGCAACTTCAAAAAAGGTGATGAAGCAAGTTTAGCTTATATCAAGAGAAGATCGTCAAATAAATTAATACCTGAAGATGATTTAAAAAATAATAGATTAACTGATACAAATGTTTTTTATCCACAATATTATTATGCTGTTCCTTCAGAATTTGTTTACAATCAACCTCATCCACCTCAACAACCTCACCCTGATCAATATTATGTTGTACAAGGTTCAGCAGGTCCTGAATATCATCAACAAAGATCACAATCACCAACATCAGGTTATCAAATCGGTTATCAACCAATACCTAGAAGCTCTCAATTTTATGGTCAACAACTTATACAACAACGTCAACCTTCATCTCCATATCAACATACACAAGTTCAAATGAATCCACAACAACAAGAGCAACAGCAGCAGCAACAACAACAGCAACAACAGCAACAACATCATCAACAACAACAAGCACATTCACAAGTACAACCATCACACCCACATCCACACCCACATCCACACCCACATCCACAGTCACATCCACATCCACAGTATTCACAACAACAGCCTTTACAACAGCCTTTAGCTCAGCATCACCAAGTTCAATCATCTCGTCAATCAAGTATATCAGATAGAGCTTTAGACTCATCACCAGCTTTGGGTCAACAATTACAACCAGGATTTGGAGATATTGCTGATCATTCTCATGTACAAAGAGTCACAACTGATTTGATGGATCAACAAAGACAAATTTCTTTCAAATCCGAGTACTTGAATAAAGAATTAAAATCTACTTCATCGGATGTTTTAAGATTTTCTGAAAGTATACCACAACTAGCTCCTGCATTCCAACAAAATGGTCATAGATATAATGATGGATTGACAAACCTTAGACAAAGTTTCAATTTGAGAGCTGATTTTTATAGACCTTCACCATTATCTGCTGAAATGGATCCACATCATCCTGTTGGTAATACACAACCTGGTAGTCCATTACCACCACCTCATCCATCTGCAATTCCACAACATTTACAAAATTCTCAACATCAAGCACAATCAGCAAGAAATCAATCTATTCATTTCTGGGAAAATTCAGGTCAAAGACAACCATCAATATTTGTTGATCCGCTTAATGCATCACCTACTGCTTCCACTTCATCAAGTTCCTTGACTTCACCATCAAGCTCGAGAGTTCCATCAACTTCAGGTCTTGCAGTACCACCAGCTCCAAATCATGTTTATCAATTGTCACCCTCTGCAAAAGGTTCAAACAGTGTACCCCATATTCATTTCCAAGCAAATAAAGCAAATACAAGAAGAAATGAATCATTACCTTCAAACATTTCAGCTCCAACTTCAACTATTGCTGCTTCACCTCAAGCTCAATTAAGACAATTACCTCCAAGATCTATACCCTCTGCTGATCGTGGGTCAATTCCAAATATTGCACATTTGACATCTCAATTACGTCCCTCTATCGTGGATGCTCATAAACATACAATCATGAATCCAAGTGGTACTCAAAATACAAGTGTTTCATCAAATTCAACTTATAATACTATTTATTCTGCAAGCTCATCCATATCATCATTATCATCATCCAGAACATCATATGGAAGTATTCCACCGGTGTTTACTGATACTGTGTCATCACCACCATCACAACCTCACCCAAAACATGCTCATCAACATCATAATCATCATCAAGGTTCAATATCAAACCCATCTTCAACAAATCCACCACAACATGTTCCATATAATAATCATTTATTAAATCATATCAATAAACAATCAATTTCAACAAGAAGCTCTGGTACAACTTCAAGATTCAAAGAAATTGCTGAGGAAAATCAAAATCAAAAATCTAAATTATCAGTTTCTTCTTTATTAACTGATGCCTCAAGTGATGAAGATAAAGAATCTTCAAAAAGAAGTAATGATGATGAGATTGAAGATGGTAAAGACATCAAGAGAGCCAGGTCAGTTACTGATTATACAAGTTGATTTATTCATATCAGGAGTTTTAAAAGTTTCATAAAGAGTGATTTAAATGTAAATAATCATATCATATCATATATATATATACATATATTAGTATCATTTGCCATATATTTGTGTTTTCATGACTATTATAATAATTTTAAGAATGTATTGAGTTTGTGTTTTTATTTCTATTAAGTTCATCATTAGTTTGTTTTCATTATTTTTTTTACCACCAAAGTCATACTAATATTTTCATTAATGATCAATCACTTTCATTATAAACACAACCAGTTCCAGCTGCTTTTTTTGTTAACTATACATTTCTGTTCATACTATTTGTTTTTCTGGGTCATGTGTTTTCATTTACGTCTATCGTCATAATAAATTAATTAATATTTCTATATATAATGTATGCTCTATAAAATTGTAGTCATTGAGCTTACAAGTAGTATAAGCTTTTCAGTGATCGATTATGACATGTCAAATAAGTTCTAAATGATCAATTGACTAACAAATTACAGGAAATTTGTATCATACGATCTGAGAGCTTAGTTGATATTAATGCTAAATATAGCTAGTGTATTCATTATAATGAATACCAGACTTGTTTATAAGCAGATGTTTAATTAGCGATCAAGTTAATCGTATCATGTATATGTGCAATTAGATTAAGCTTTTTCCTTAACTAACTTCTAGCCTTCAACATTCCAATGATGTTTTTAACTTTGTACTTTGTATACTGCATAACACTAGAGTTAGAAAATGTAGCAATATTATATATTGGGAAATTGCAATTGGTAATCAGAACTGCAATATGTTATAATTATGGTATTTTGTACAGTGGTTATGACAGATCGCAAGAATTCGTTAACGTCCTTATTTGTTTCAGACAAGGTATATAAAACGGTGAAGGACAAATTATGTCGAAAACATAAAACCGTTCGTATAAAATTTTAGTACCTTGGTATACCAATTAAAACATAGATCATGATACTTTATAAGATCAAGTAATAAATGGTCTAGATTCATATTGTAGTAATGATTTTCATGTACCTTGGTCTCTGTCGATATATCATATAACGGCTTTTCATGATTCAACGGACCACCACTATTGTCCGTTATTTATATGCTTGACAATGCTGTTGATCTATTTCTTCGATGAAACATATTTATGTATCACGAACAGTTAATATAGTAGCTTTAATAGTACTCCAACTGGATCGTAAATATTAAAGTTACCAAGTATTACATATTCGGCCTAAACTTTAATTGAGTTCGGCTCATTTATATTTAGTATCTTCACTTGATTCAACATTTTATGCAACTGGATTTATATATGTTTTCATAGGTGAAGTTATACCAGTGAAGTTTTGAATTACCGTACCTAGATCTAGTGAAGTTTACTACTAAAATTTATATTATAAACCGATGCACATTAAGATGAGTATATCTGGAGGGCATTAAAGTTCATTCAGCCATGGCTCATATGTCCATTAACTAGATTTAAACTATCTTAATACCCGTATGTACCTCTGTTAGCGAGTCAATTAATATAACCGTTTATACATCAAAGTGGTCTTATATACATATACATAACGGCTTCACCAATCAAGTTTTGATCTGAAGTATTCCGTAACTTAAGGGGGTTTAGAAGATTTAAGGTTGTCTTTCCTGTATAAAGTGCTAACAACAAAGCTGAACTACTTGGTTACTCATTCTAATTAGCCGTATAAACTATACCTATATAGTATAAACTCAAGCAATTAACGGCCAACGGTTAACCTAAAGCAGAAAGCGCTTTGATACATATTGGGTGATCAGCAATACTAGCTATTCTTTTAATTGTTTTCAACATTCTTTGACAGGATATGTTTAGCATTCTATAGAGCTCAAAGCGTAATTAATTACATGTTAAATGAAACAAAACATGTAGGACTCAATTTCTTTACTTCACCTCAGACATTAGATTATACTATAAACTTTTGAGAGATGATGAATTCGTAAAATTTCAAAAACATAAATTAATAGTGCACTCAACGGGATTCGAATGGGGGATCAAGACTTTAGCCGAGTGTCAAACTTATAGTGTCGGTGAATCAACTTCACACTAACCGTCAAGATTAATTCAAGTTACTCAACCTGATATGAAGCTAACAGGAGTTAAATGAGTAGTATTTACGAGGTCTGAAAGTTCGTCCTAATATCATACGATTTCAACGTCATGGACCATGGTTGCTCAAGGGCCAAAGCCCGATTTAGTGTATGGCTAGATGGCTAGGCATTAAGATCAAACGTTTAACGTATTTTTATTTGATATATAGTATACTTGTTTAATTCCATTGGAATTATAGCTTATAATGAAATATTCTGAAACCTTCTCTGGTACTGGTTCAAAGTTCAAGTATAAACAATATCTACTTAACATTACTTACGTCTAGCTGCACTTGTCTAAGACGAGCTTAACTTTAATGATTAAACTTTGAAGCTTCAAGGTATAATATTGGGCACATCTAGAGCTCTAAAGTCCATCGTAGATCGTGTATTAGATCCAGTACTTACCAATATATTTGGCTTCAGTCTTTAAGTGATCAAATACTTATCGACATTATACGTACACCGTAGTCTAATAATATATAATTGCAATATGCTACTATATAAACTGATACAGTACATACCACATCGTACCCACTTTGAAATTAACCTTAATTGACATATTTCTATTGCGTATATGAATGACAGGTCACAAGATCAGCAGACTTATATAACCATCGCTAATATAGTCTAACTTAATAATCATGACTCTTAATAGTATAGAACTACAAATATGGCTTTCTTTCCTCTGCTGTACTCGTTCACAACTAGCTCATATAGTCGACAGTGATATAAATCTAATAAAATAATTATTATAAGCCATAATTAGTTCACCATTAATGGATCTTTGTTTTATGTATTATATATGAGATCACTCAAATACTTACAATAAGAACATAGAAGTTAGATCAGTATAGTTGAAAGCTGAACTGGTGAAAATTTGAACAAGTACCATATGATAAATTCATATTGTTGTATTGGTGGCCATGATCGTAGAAAATGTCGTCTACATCCATTTTGACGTGTTCGTAAAGTGTAAATTATGTTGTGCTTGATGTACTCTATCAGTAACAAGTTTCCACCCATGATCAAACGTCGGTTTAGAAACAAGATCACTAGCCACTAGTGCATCTAAAATTTAAATATGAAATCATGAGCTTATACTTTTACAGTGTGCAATATGACTAATATATATAACGTGTAAAACTAGCTGTCATATTGTTGATATGTGTTGATAAGTTGATATACAATTCTATTAGATACATATCGTCATTTCTCTGCATAGATGTACCGAAACCACGAAAGTGTTATACATTAAAGGCCTTCAGATGTATACCATGATCGAATATGAAGAATGGTACTATATTTTATTGTAATCAATCTATGTGTACTTGCTTATGCCTTGGTATATTCATGTTTAAAGCTCTGGTGGTTGTGTAGCTGGTATTGTCATACTTAATATTCACAAGGACCCTGAATAAAATATAGGTGCAAGTTTAATATATTTATAGACTTTTTGATTAATATCATTATCCGCAAGTCTAAACAATTCTAAGTCTTGAGTCTCATTTTAAGATACCCGTTAGAACTTAATTTGGTAATGAGATTAACTTAATACGTCATATTTCCAGCGGAGAAGACCATATAATTCAACTCAAGCGTAGATTTTTTTTTCCGCGTTTTCGCGTCGACGTTCGTATATATATAAAAGAGGTATAACGCTTTACTTCATTAAGAATTACGAAGTTAATCAACGGCAAGGTATGGAGTTATTAATTGACTTTATAGCCTTGTTTTTAATCCTGATGACGTTGTTTCGATCACGGCAATGGATCTACTAAAAGTGTTTTCATACCATGGATTTACTAGGTATACTAGGTAATAGGTATACTAGGTATACTATAAGGTACGTCCAAAATTTAAATCAATCATTAATCTGACCAACGATCCAACGATCATGTTGTTTGAGCAATCCACCTGCATATAATCTGTTTAATGATCAAAGAGATTTAAGGCCAATATAGGCTAATTTGATCATATAACCAAATTAAAGTCATGGAGAATCGGAATACAGCTTCCTATCTTCCTATGTATATACTATATATATTCCTTATAAAGCCTTCCGTTAAAGTCGTCATGATTATTCACTTGCAGACTGCAGTACCAGCTTCGTTATAGAGTTTAGCTTGAATATATGCGCTTATGTACCAGGCTCCAGCTAACAATTATATGTTATCGAATTACCCTTTATATAATTAGTCCCAGTGTCCCAGTATATTAATTAGTTTAGTACAAGCTGGTTGAAGCCTGAAGCTGGTACGTATATGTTATAAGTCTCTGTAGGATCTGATTTTTGAGTTATAGTTTTCAACAGTATTTCTCAACAGTAATCACGCATAGATCAACAATGCTCGTTTCATTTGAAATTTATATGACAGGCATTTTTTGCAAAAAATTTATTACCTTTGCAAGAAAAGTGTATACCCAAAAATCTAAATAGTAAATGTACTTACTAATTTAGGAATTTGCGTAATTAAGGAAACTTCCAGAAAATGCTTCTAAAGTTTTTTTTCCCGTAATTATACAGAAATTTGCATAAAAGGTATAACGATTAGGAAAGTTATATACACTTGCACTGCACATGAAAACAGATCTATATCTTAACCTATCAACTTTCAACAACGACGTCTTTGCCTTTAATTAAGGTTATCCGAGTAAGATAGGATAACTGTAATCTTATTTAAATCTTAGATGTAAGGTACCGCCTTGGTAGTCAAACCTTATAACGCAATTGATATCGCAATTGTACATACTATGGATAAGATTTAGGTCGATTAAGTTCAGAGTTTGGTTATACGGTATACATGTGATATCGACCATGTTTACCATGTATCCAGACTAAATTAACGTATATACAAATTTTTAATATGGAAGCTTTGTAGACAGCGCTTGATATCTGTAATCAATTTGAAAGATCGATGCGTATGAGTTGTTAGAAGCTGAAGTCTCGGCTTAGATTCGAAGGATAACTCAACGTGGATAAGCTGCCCATAAGTTTCATAATATATGTACTCTTACAAACTTATTACTAGATTAAATGGTATTTTTGAAGCACATGGATACCTATGTATATTTGATCTAAGTAAACATTATATAATTGATAGAACCATAGAACTGTATGTTATAAAGGATCAAAAAAACAATGTCAAGCCACCTTAGATGCATAATAATTTGATCAAAACTCAACCAAAAATTGTCATATGGTCAGCACCACTAAGCTTTATAGGCAATGAACAATTCACATCACAAAACTTGTATACATTCTCAGCTTTATTTAGTCAAAAACATTCTAAATTGAGGCAATGAATCCAATTAATTTATTTTGAAATTAAAAATGTCACAACAAATCAAGATCTATATCAACCAAAATATTTTTCAAGAGACCCTGTGTACTCAATAGTCTTGAATAATATAAAGAGTATAAAAGTTCATTTTGTAAAAACTTGTTGATCAACGTTAACTTAATATAAGAAAAGAATCTTTTATTTTCTCTTTTTAATTTTAGAATCAATTAATAAATTGAATTTTTTCTTTGGTGCAGCTTTTTGAATCATATCATCATCACTATCACTATCATCATTATTGTTTGAATTACTTGATTTTTTATTTAGACTAGTTGGAACTTGTCTTATTTGTTGATTATGTTTTGATCTATTTGAATTCTTCATTTTATTTCTTAAGGCATTCAAAGCTTTTGAATCATTTTGAATATTAACTTTATTCATATTTAATAATTTTGATTTAGAATTTAATTGTTTCTTTTTGTTTAATGATGATACTGATTTCCCAGTTTTAATATATTCACCAATTGTATTTATATCATCTGATGATTTATCAGAGGTTAAAGAAGATAAAGATAAACCAGATCCACCACTTATAATTGGTAAATTGAAAAAATCATTATTAGATGAAGATGAAGATGATGATATTGTTGAATTTGATGTGTTTAACCAATTAGCAACATGATTTTGAGTTGAGCTGACAGCTAGTTGAAACCTTGCTTGTAACTCTTGCTTCTGTTTAATTTCCTTAGCATGTGACATTTCCTTATAAACCAATGGTGGTGAAATTGTTGAATACTAAATAAATTACAAGTATATTAAATTTTTTCGTATATACCTCATCTTATAATTCGCGAATTTATTGAAAAGTCATGTGACCTGAAAGTCATGTGACTTTTTATGCGTCCTTTACCAACTGATTTTTAAAAATTGAATTTGTTGTGGCGAAAATGAAAAATGTAATGATTCGCGAAATCTTAATCTTAATTTGAATCTGGAAGTCGATCTAGTCTTTTAACGCTTTGAAGGAAGTTAACTAATTGACCAGAGATTAATCAAGAGATGATTAGCAATAGAATCGGATGTCTCTATTTGGAATATCATGGTCTTTTGATCCCAATAGCAACACTCCCTCTATATATACCAATTAAATACCATACAGTTGAGTATTAATTACGTGTCCGGATTACCCTCAGCCAGATTCCTCCCACCTGTTTAAACCGTATACTCCCACAATTCCCACTTGTTATCGATTCTAATCACAATTTGATTCATTCCACCCACCCACGAGTATCTGTTTAACACCCCAATGAAGCACCCCCATACAAAACAAATATTTAAAGGGTGTTCTTTCTGTCTAGCCTTGTCTATCTCTGCTTAGCCGTTCAATCATCTAGGCTCACGTCTCTTTGCTTTGGCAAGAGAGCTCTTTGACTGGATTCAACAGGATTTGACAGGGGAAACAATCGAAAACCTTTCAAATAGGATTCCGACACCCGATTTCTCACGGCTTTACCAATTACAATAACAGTTTATCGGATACGATTAGGCTGGGGATTTTACAATTAGACAGAGATCCAGAGACACAGATCAATCGTAGGCAGAATTATTGATTGGATGGAGCTTCAAAAACATAAACAAGAAGTGTAATAGTCTCCTTACAAACCAATTGAACCTTTATTTGTAGGACTTTACCAGGAAGATCAGATACGATAAGCAAGATTAACAGGAATAATGGGAGGTGATGGCAAATGGGAAATGGGATCCGGGGAGATCGCTTAGGTTGGTACTTCATTTCGATCCCGATTCCCAGCCTAGATAAGAACTTCCTAGACGGAGGCCTCTCTCTGCGTGCTTGTACCGCTTCTGTTGAAGTTTTTTTTAGGGGGGTAAAAGTTTGGAAATCAGGATCTCTGAATTAAATTGAAATAAAAATAAAAACACCAAATTTCTTCCATTTTCATAACCTTTTGTTATTTGACACGTACAAAAGATCAATTTATATTCATCAAATATGATGTTCAAACAAGTCAACCGTTCTTTATTGAACGCTACCAAAGTAAGTGAATCCAATTCCCAATGAATTGTCCAAATTTTTAGCTTTTGTTCAGCTTTAATTGATTATAGGTACAAAAAAATTGAAATCATCTGATGATGTCGTGGATTTTGGACGAATATAGGCAACATGAACAAAACAACAAAGCGCTTCATGAAAAAGAACATGAATTGTCAATTTGGTGAAGTGATGATTGGAATATCAATTGAATTGAAGTTATCAGCTTTTTTTAGTGTATTCTGTTGTAACCTTTATTGATTCAAAGATTTGGCTAATTTGGACAATTTGGACACCTTTTTTTTGGGAAATTATCAAGCAATCAAATACTAACAATAACAGTCTGCTGTTCAATCACAAAAGAGAAACTTATCTATCCATGAATACCGTTCCGCTGCTTTATTAAGATCTTACGGTGTTGGTGTTCCAAATGGTGATGCTGCTACCACTCCAGAAGGTGCTTATGAAATTGCTAAAAAATTAAACACTGAAGATTTAGTTATTAAAGCTCAAGCTTTAACTGGTGGTCGTGGTAAAGGTCATTTTGATACTGGTTTCCAAGGTGGTGTTAAATTAGTTGATTCTCCAGAAAAAATTAGAGATTTAGCTAAAGAATTTTTACACAATAAAATTATTACTAAACAAACTGGACCAGCTGGTAAAGAAGTTACTGCTGTCTATGTTGTTGAAAGAGCTTTCGATAGAACTGAAGCTTATTTAGCTATCTTATTAGACAGAGCCACTCAAAAACCAATGATTGTTGCTTCTGCTCAAGGTGGTATGGATATCGAAGGTGTTGCTGCTAAAGATCCATCAGCTATTAAAACTTTCCCAGTTGATTTAGAAGCTGGTGTTACTGATGCTCAAGCTAAAGAAATTGCTTCAGTTTTAGGTTTCACTAAACATGCTCAAGAAGAAGCTGCTTCAACTGTTCAAAAATTATACAAAATTTTCAAAGAACGTGATTCAACTCAAATTGAAATCAATCCATTATCAGAAACTATTGATCATAAAGTTTTAGCTATGGATGCTAAATTTGGTTTCGATGATAATGCTTCTTATCGTCAAGAAGAAGTTTTCTCATGGAGAGATTTAACTCAAGAAGATCCAGATGAAGTTATTGCTGCTAAATCAAACTTAAACTTCATTAAATTAGATGGTAACATTGGTTGTTTAGTTAATGGTGCTGGTTTAGCCATGGCTACTATGGATGTTATTAAATTATATGGTGGTGATCCAGCTAATTTCTTAGATTGTGGTGGTGGTGCTACCCCGGAAACTATTGAAAATGCTTTCAAATTAATTTTATCTGATAAAAAAGTTTCAGGTATTTTCGTTAACATTTTCGGTGGTATTGTTAGATGTGATTATGTTGCTGAAGGTTTAATTGCTGCTACCAAAAACTTGGGTGTTGAAGTTCCAATTGTTGTTAGATTACAAGGTACTAATTATGAAAAAGCTTCAGAATTAATTGCTGAATCTGGTTTAAAGATTTACGCTGTTAATGAATTAGATGAAGCTGCTGAAAAAGTTGTCAAATTATCTGATATTGTTACTCAAGCTAGAGATATTGGTGCTAAAGTTAACTTTGAATTAGCTGCTTAAACAAACTCCCACCAAATTAATTTATAATTTGATATGACAAACAAATAATGATTAGATATTCCACTTAACCAAATAAATAAGACTTGTTTTCTTTTTTGAGCAAGAAATAGTTATACTAGTTAACTTTTAGAAATAGATTATTAACGAAATTTTTAAAAAAAGTCAGTTGTAGTTGAATTCTTTTGTATATTTATTTGACTTCTTGTTGCGATTACCGAATCCCACCATACATAAAAAAATCTTTTATACCGATCTATAAAAAGTTATAGACAATTTGTCACATAGTTAGATTAATATCAAGTGATCTTAAGACATGCTTCCCAGATTGATTGGCAAAAGAGGTTTCTGCTCTACTTTTCCCAAGTACAATGTATTCACTCCAAAGGATAACGTACCAGGACTTGAAGCAAATGAAGAATGGTTAAATAATTTAAATAATTCAACAGATGATGATATAAATAATTCATCAACTTTAGAAAATCCAATGGTACGACGTTTAACTAAAAATTTTGATCCAAGTCATAATTTGAAAAACAATGATACAAAATTTCATAATGAAGGACTTGATGAAAAAGGATTTTTCAATGTTAAAATTCCAATGAATACTTATTTAACAAGATCATCACCTTTTAGTCATTTATCATCAAAACAAAGACCAAAAGCTGAAAATCAAGAGTTTTCAGATTTAAGAGTTATTAAATTGAAAACTGGGAAAGGTGGAGATGGTGGTAATTCATTTTTAAGAGATGCTAATAGAACTAAAGGTCCTCCAGACGGTGGTGATGGTGGTAATGGTGGTTCAATCTATGTTCGTGCAGTTGAAGGTTTAACAACTTTAGGTAAATTAAGACAAAGTTATATTGCTGGTGATGGTGGCCAAGGTAAAAAAAATCAATTAGATGGGTCTACAGGTAGAGATATTGTTTTAAATGTTCCAGTAGGAACTATAATTAGATGGATTCCTGATCCAAGTTTTTTCAAACAGGCTCAATTAGAAGGTAATGAAAATGTTGAAGTGGAAGTTAAATGTACAGGATCTGATGGTCGTCCTGGTGAACATAATGAATTTGATAAACCAAAATTTATTCAATTATATAGAAATAGTTGGAATCGTGGTGAAGGTTGGATTTTTAAAGATAATGATAAAGATGAAGAATATCATAGAAGTAAAGATTACTTTAGGAAATTAAATAGAAGTGTTATTAAATATGATTCATATATTATTAAAAAAGAATTAAATAGTGATCAATTCCCTATACATGGTATTGATTTACATCAACCTTCAGCTGTTCCATTAATGTTATTGAAAGGTGGTCAAGGTGGTCTTGGTAATATGCATTTCCTTACTCAAGAAATTAGAAATCCAAGATTTAGTAAAGCGGGTAGAAGTGCAATTGAAGGATATTTTATATTTGAAATGAAATTAATTGCTGATATGGCATTAATTGGACTACCAAATGCTGGAAAATCAACCTTATTAAGAGCAATTTCTAAAGCAACACCAAGAGTTGGTCATTGGGAATTCACTACGTTACAACCAACCGTGGGGACTATTTCATTAGGGATTGATAAACCATCATTCACAGTGGCAGATATTCCAGGTATAATTAAAGGTGCAAGATTTGATAAAGGTATGGGTTTAGATTTCTTACGTCATGCTGAAAGATCAAATGGTCTTGTCTTTGTGATTAGCTTAGAACATGAAGATCCAATAGCTTCATTAAATACATTATTAAATGAATTAGAAGATAGAATTTATAATAAGAAAATATTGATTATTGCAACAAAAGCTGATTTAGAAGATTCATTACCAAGATTTAAGAAATTAAAACAATATGTTGAAAATTATGGTTGGAAAATCGTACCTTGTTGTGCTAAGGATCATCAGAACATCAAACAAGTGGTGCTCATGATGGGTGAATGTGCTGGTAAACTATGAGCCCTTTTCCTTTTTAAATAAACCATTGCAAATAGAAAATTGCATATAAATTGGAATAAAAATTAACTAGTATATAAGCCAAAAAGAAAACCGTTGTAGAATGAATTCGCGAACCATATAAATCTTGCAGAATTTTTTTTTTCTAAGCTCATCTCTTAAGTACTTATCTTAGAAATAATCATAAAAACTCCAAGATTCAAGTAAAAAAATGTCTGATTTCAAGAGTATAGGTGTCTCCAGATGGCTCTCCGAGTCCTTGAACGCTATGAGGATCTATACCCCAACAGCTATTCAAAAAGCTTGTATTCCAAAGATTTTAGCAGGTGAGTATTAATGAATGGAATATATGAATATGATTAAAGACAACTGATACTAACATGACTCAAAGGCCATGATTGTATTGGTGGTGCTAAAACAGGTTCTGGTAAAACTATTGCATTCGGCGCACCAATGTTGACCAAATGGTCAGAAGATCCAATGGGTATTTTCGGTTTAGTTTTGACACCAACAAGAGAATTAGCTTTACAAATTGCTGAACAATTTGCAGCTTTAGGTGCAGCTATGAATATTAGAATTGCTGTTATTGTTGGTGGTGAAAGTATGGTGGAACAAGCTATTAAACTTCAAGGAAAACCACATTTTGTTATTGCAACTCCTGGTAGATTAGCTGATCATATTTTAAATAGTGGTGAAGATACTATAGAAGGATTGAAAAGAGTTCGTTATTTAGTTCTTGATGAAGCTGATAGATTGTTAAGTAATAGTTTTGGAAGTGATCTACAAAGATGTTTCAGTATATTACCATCTGCTGATAAAAGACAAACATTATTATTCACAGCTACTGTTACAGATGCAGTACGAGCATTGAAAGATAGACCAACTCCAACAAATAAACCAAAATTATTTATTCATGAAGTTGATAGTGTGGATAAAGTTGCCATTCCATCTCAATTAGAAACTTATTTCATGCTTGTTCCATCTTATGTTAAAGAATCTTATTTATATAGTATTTTATCTCATGAAGATAATGAAAAAAAAACTGCAATGGTTTTCGTTAATAGAACTCATACAGCTGAAGTTGTTAGAAGAACTTTACGTAACTTGGAAATTAGAGTTGCTTCATTACATTCAGAGTTACCACAACAAGAAAGAACAAATTCATTACATAGATTTAGAGCAAATGCTGCTAGAGTACTTATAGCTACAGATGTTGCATCTCGTGGGTTAGATATTCCAGATGTTGAATTAGTTATTAATTATGATATACCCGCAGATCCAGATGATTTTGTTCATAGAGTTGGTCGTACAGCTCGTGCTGGTAGAAAAGGTCAAACTATAAGTTTAGTTTCTGAAAAAGATGTTTCAAGAATTCAAGCAATTGAAGAAAGAATTAATAAAAAATTAGATAAATATGAAAAAATCACAGATAATAAAGTTATTAAAAAATCTTTACAATCTGTTTCAATTGCTAAAAGAGAAGCTGAAGCTGAAATGAGTAAAGAAGAATTTGGTGAAAGAAAAAGAACTATCAAACGTAAATCACAAAAAGATGATTCTTCAAATTATAAAATTAAAAAACCAAAGAATAAATCAAGGAAATAGAGATCTACATAATAAAAATTATACCATAATGTTAATTATAATTATTTTAATGTACAAATATTAATATATGACTTGAACCTTAAGCATGACGACCTTTCTTTTGTTTTTCAATATGTTGTTTTGTAATTCTTTGTTGATCACGTAAAGATCTTTTAGCTTTACCTTGAACACCACTTTTATGAATCATCATGACGAAATTCTTCTTTCTAGATTTTTCACGATTAGTTGTTGAATGTGGAGCATCACGTTTACCTCTCTTAGAACCGAATTTTTCTCTATCATCTTTACCTTCTCTTGCTGCAGCGATTCTTTCTTCACGTAATTGTTTATATTTAACAGGACCAATTAATGATGATGAATCAACTTCATCTTCATTTCTTAATCTTGTCTTATTACCCATAATTTTTTCAACACCAGCTTGCATTCTTAATTCTTCAATTTTGGCGAAATCTGCAGGAGTTAAAATTCTTGTTGATGCTAATTCTTTGAAAGCAGCATCTGGATCTAATTGAGCAATATTCTGTATAGTTGCTTCTTTATCTTCTTCAGTTGGTTCTTCTTTATTTTCTTCATCATCAGATAAGTCTAAATCAGAATCAGATTCATCATCTTCTTGTTCTTTACCTTTCTTTTTATCTTCATCTTCATCATCACTAATATCATATTCTTTATCAGAATCCATTGTAACCCAATCACCTTCAATATCTTCATCATCAACTTCTTCATCATCAACTTCCCAGTTAGCTTCATCATCTTCACCTTCATTAGCACCAAGACCTTGTTCTTGTCTCCATTTGGCTAATAATTCAATACCTGGAATACCTTGGACTGCATTATCAACACCAAATTGAGGTAATCCTCTTTTTTCACCAGATTGTAATTCCATTGAAGCAGTTTTACCACGATCTTTACGTTTTAACATTTCAGGTGCAACTTCTCTATATAATGAGATTAAAGATTTTGCTGCGATATTAACAGGTTTTGATTTTGAACCTTTATATTCAGTTAAATCTTGTAATAAAGTTTCATCAATTGCTAATGGAGCTCTTGATAAAATTTCTCTAATTGTATTAATACCAGCAGCTGCAACTTCTGGAGCAACACCATCTGAAACGAATTCATCTGCGATTTTTCTAACAACGACTGAAATTGATTCAGGTGGAACTAAATCATGAGATGCTTGAGCAGAAGCAGCCATGATTTGTGTAACATCTCTTTGCTTTGGGGTTAAATATTTTAAGAAGAATGAATAGATACCCAAGACTGTTAATTTATGTGTACCAATTAATCTTGATAATAAATTCATAAGGGCAATTTTTTGTTCAAGATCAAATTTATTTGAATTTTTACCTTGTAAATGAGTTGAAAATAAATTATCTGCAAAACCTTGAGGATCTCTTAAAAGATGAATAGCACTAAAATTTAAATATGTAGCAGAATGTTTAGCATTATTTTTCTTCTTGAATGATTTAACAGCAGTTTCTAATTTTTTACCACGTTTACTTGTCTTCTTATTAATTTGCATTTTATGTCTTAATGCACCCATATCAAATCCATCTTCATCTTCACTATCATCTTCCATAGCTTCATCTCTTTCCTTATCAGCACCCAAGAAGAATTTAACACCAGAATATGCAACTTTTGAATCTGGATGTAAAGTAGCTTGTGTCATAATTTCTACAGTACGAGAATCATCCCAAATACCTCTTCTCCAAAGTTCTCTTGTTAGTTTTGTAGCCCAAATCCCCTGAGGACCTCTTTCTTCTAATAAATTAAATAATAAAGCCTGGGTAGAACGATTTAATTTTTGATTTTTTGATCCAGTATTTACATTTTTCAATAGTGTAATTAAAGTAGTATAAACTTGATGACGTAAAGCTTTAGCATTATGACCAGCTGAATTTGAAGCAGCACCACTATAAGCAATCAATAGAGGGAAAATAGTTTGAATTAAAGATTCAGCAGTAATAACATCTTTATTTCTAAGCATAACAAGACATTGAATAATTTTTTCTCTTAAATCTGGAGTTAAATCTCTATGATTATTTAAAATTAAAGATTTTAATTCATTAGGGAAATTTGCAGTTTCTTTTGGGAAGCAACTTGATACCGCACTAACAAAACCAATTAATTCAGCAAATTCACTAGCATCATGGGAAGTTTGACTTGCAATAAAGATATCTCTTAAAGATTCATAATGTGCATATTGTTGTAAAAATTCTTCACGATATGATTCAGGATCACGACGAACCAAATTTTGTAATAAGATGATATTTGTTGGTAATATAGCTGCTCCTCTTTTCTTAACCATTTTGAAACTAGTAGAACTAAAGAAGTATAAAGAATATAAAGGTATTTGAATAAAACTTCTTATCAAATGTTTAGTACTTACTTGATTTGAATTTTTTTTTGTATGGTGCATAAAATCCGGGCAACCTCATCGCATTACGTAATCAGTATAATATAAAGAAATTCAAACTAACGGTAATAAATACAACTACACTTACTTAATTTTTAATACTTTAAAACCATTTTATATCTATAAATCAAATTTAAACACCATATCTTGTTACTCCATGTATACCCAAAAGTTCCCATTCTTTGTTTGTTCCTTTATTCTTACTCAAACAAATTATTTAAAGCCATATAATTAATTTTCTTTGAAGCTTTTTTAGTTAATACACTTCTTGCAGCTGCAGAAACTGAATTACCTTCACCAATTTTATTTATAGCATTTTGAACATTATCATCATTAAGAGGATCATCTTCATTTTTAGTATTTGGTTTTTTACGTTTTTTTGGTTGTTGATGCCCCGAGATTTCATCAGCTTCAGCTTTTAATCTTTTTTGTTCTTGTTCTAATAAATATTCTTCATTTAATCCAACCCATACACGTTCTTTTAATTTTGATTCTTCTTCTGTTAAAAGGAAATTATCTAATTCTTCATCATCTATATCATCAAAATTATCTTCATCTGATTTAATTTGTGATAAAATATCAAAACTTGTTGGTAATTTATTTAAATTTTTTGGTCGATTTTCATCATTAATTAATGGATCTTCTGGATCTTCAGTTTCTTCTCTAACAAAAAATCCATTTTGTTTTGGTCTTGGTGTTCCATGTGGTGAAGCACCTGGTGTTCCTGCAGGTGTAACAACTTGAGGTGTCCCTGGTCGACTTGGTGTTGATGATAAATTATTTGAACTTTTCAATCTTGCAATATCTTTCCTTTGTCTTTCTTTAACTCTTTCTAATTGATCCAAAATTTCTTTAGAATTTAAATCTACAGATCCAAATAATTTACTTATTAAAGCACCACCTAATTGATCATTTTTAATATCTTCTTCATTTGGTTCATTACCATTTGAATATTTTTTCATTATTAATTCAGATTTTTTTAAATTTTTCTTAAAAGATGGAGGTTGTGATGGTGTATAATTCTCTTGTTCTCTAAATTCTTTAATTGTCAAGGAACCTGCATGAGTTTCTTTAAATTCATTTAATCTTCTTTGTAAAGTATCTTCACCAACATGAGCAACTGCAACAATTTCACCATGAGTTCTTCTATGATTATTCATTCTTGCAGCTAATAGCAAACAAGCACCTGCTACACCTGCGGGTCTTCTACCTTCATGAATCCAATCTTCAGACATTCTTTGAGCTAATTTTACAGCATCTTTAACAATTTTAACACGATCATCACCAAAATCTAATTTTTCTGCAAAATGTTGAATGAATAATGAAGGATCAGCTAAAGGTAATTTTGTTATATGTAAAGCTTTAACCATTTTAAGGAAAGTTGCACCAACTGAATAAACAGAAATTTGTAAACGAGCAGAAAAATCAATCAACATATGATGGGTTTTCTCTTTACGACATGAAATATAAAGACATGCAGCAATAACATTTTGAGATTTTCTACCTTTAACAAAATTATTTGATAAGGCAAGACTAAACCATTGATAAGCAGCATCAGAAACATATTCAGGAATTTTCAAAGCTGTGGCAACAGCTCTAATTTTTCTTTTAGCACTTGCTAACGTCTTGGTTCTACTATCCATAGAATTCCCTCTTGGACCACCTGCAAAAGCAGCATGAGCTTGGTCAGCACCAACAAAAGCCCCCTGGACCGTAGCAGCACCCGTGGAGGATTCACCAAATGTAACTTCAGAAACAATTGGATTTTCTTCAAAAACTCTACCACAATTTTGACATGCTAAATCAGATGAAGCACTATGAATATCACGAGTGAAATCTGTACAACCACAAGATTTACATTTTTTGACTTGGGGTGCCATGATTGATACAAAAGATTATTCAAGCACAAAACAATATAATATAATATAATAACTGATAACACCTTCTGGCTGAAATAATTTGATCCCACTGCTTTTCAAATTGTTTGTTTACTGTTTTTATGTTTTTTGAGTGTTTAAAAGAATTCAAAAAACCAGAAAATCAAAAAAAAAAAAATCACGCGAATTTTGCAGTCATTTTTACACGGTTCACTATTAACTATGGGGAATGGATGAATCATAGTAAATTAATTGATTTAAATGGGTTACAAGGTGGTGTTTAGTGGTATATTAGTGTGTATTGTGTTTGGGAAGTGTATTTTGTATGGTATACCTTGAAATCCTGGTTAAAAATGAGTTATATTTCATATTGTTCACGAATAAGCATCAATCAATAGGGCAATATTAATAGCTAATAACGAAGAAACAACCAATGTTAAAAAGACATTTGTAGGGACTCTTGAACCTGTCTTGGTTCTTTGGTTAATATAATGATGAATATTATTAAAATAATTAAAAGTACCCAAGATTAAAGAACCCAGGGCTAAACAAAAGAAGATAATTGAAACAGCAATGGAAAATTCTTTAGCACGGTTTGTTCGATCATTATGAATTCCAATCACCACAGAGTCACCAAATCTGTAGTTTAATAACACTGCAAGACTCACAAACCCCAGTGTAGCTGCGAATTTACATTGTAATAACAGACTTCTTTCAGCTTGGAGACAATCTCTAGCTATTGAACATTGTAAGTCTGTTAACAATGCAGTATTTGTGTTTATTTTACCAAATAACGTGGTGAAGATGTTGTTTTTTTGAGTCATATCATAATAACCAGTGACAATAACAATAATCAAACAATATCAACAACAATACTCTTCAAACAATAGATTATTTCCCATCTGATTCTCTGATTATAAATGTTTTTGTCTCGTCAATTTTTATGCGATGAGTTACGTAATCCATGCTTGAAATTTTTTTTTATGTCTTAATAAAATTTATAAGAAAAAATTTATTACTGATTAATACTTTTTAATTGCCACAAGAAGGTATTATAAAGGTCAAAAGGTTTTAGTCAAGATGTCTTACACTCCATTACAACATGATCCAAACCAACAGGTTGCTGCAACAGTCTTGTGTTGTAACTGTGGTGTTCCAATGGATGGGTCCACAGGTTTAGTTATGTGTTATGATTGTATTAAATTAACCGTTGATATTACAGAAGGTATTCCAAGAGAAGCTAATGTTTCATTTTGTAGAAATTGTGAAAGATTTCTTCAACCACCACAACAATGGATTAGATGTGAATTAGAATCAAGAGAATTATTAGCCTTGTGTCTTAGAAGATTAAAAGGTTTAAATAAAGTCCGTTTGATTGATGCTTCATTTATATGGACTGAACCTCACTCCCGTCGTATTAAAGTTAAATTAACTGTTCAAGGTGAAGCTATGGCCAACACTATTGTTCAACAAAGTTTTGAAGTTGAATACGTGGTTATTGCAATGCAATGTCCTGATTGTGCTAAATCTTATACTGTTAATACTTGGAAAGCTGCTGTACAAATTAGACAAAAAGTTTCCCACAAGAGAACTTTCTTATATTTAGAACAATTGATCTTAAGACATAGTGCTCATGTTGATACTATTTCAATTCAAGAATCAAGAGATGGGTTAGATTTTTTTTATTCACAAAGATCTCATGCTTTAAAAATGATTGATTTCTTAGGTTCAGTTGCACCAATTAAATCTAAAAAATCTGAAGAATTAGTCTCACAAGATATTCATGCTGGTACTTCATCATATAAATTCACATTCAGTGTGGAAATCGTTCCAATATGTAGAGATGATTTAGTTGTTTTACCAAAAAAATTAGCACAATCTTTAGGTTCATTATCTCAATTAGTTTTATGTTCAAAAGTTTCAAATACTTTACAATTTCTTGATGTTAATACTTTGAAAACTGGTGATTTATCTCCACAAGTTTATTACAAGAAACCATTCATGTCATTATCAGATGCTTCACAATTAGTGGAATTTATTGTTTTGGATGTTGAACCAACTGGTGTTACCAAGGGGAAATATGTTTTAGCAGATGTTACATGTGCTCGTGCAGCAGATTTAGGTAGTAATGATAAAGAATATTATGTTAGATCTCATTTAGGTGCTCTTTTACACCCAGGTGATTCAGTTATGGGTTATTATACAGTTAATTCAAATTATAATCATGATTTATGGGATTCATTAGATCGTGATAATTTACCAGATGTTATCTTGGTTAAGAAACATTATCAAAGAAAAACAAGAAAGAATAGAAACTGGAAATTAAAGAGAATGGCAAGAGAACATCAAGATATCGTGGCAAATGAAGATTCAAGAGCTGCAAGACAAGAAATGGAACGAGCTGAAAAGGATTATGAAGTTTTCTTACAAGAATTAGAAGAAGATCAAGAAATGAGACAAGCTATTAACTTGTATAAAGATACCAACTTAACTGAACGTCAACAACAAGAAGCTGCTGGTGATGAAATGGATGAAGATGAAGATGAAGATGCTCCAGGTGTTGATATTGATGAATTATTGGATGAATTGGATGATATGACATTAGAAGATCAGGCATAAAAGCATGAATTTTAAAGCAATTTAAAATTTAAAAAAACATAGCATTGTCGTTTTCTCTCTCTGGTTCATTTGGTTTTTTCTAACTTTGTATAATATATAATATTGGTTTAGGGATTTATAATAAAACTTGAATTTTGTATGAATTTTGTATGTGTCAATTTGTAAGAAAATGGAGTTTACACGCCTCCCAAAAAAGTAATATAAGTAAATTCCGAATTTTAAATTCAAAACATACACCAAAACACTCAAAATAATCACAATCAAGACCAACAAGTACAAGATGTCTGATTCATTAAAATTCTCATCTCCATGTTCTTATGTTGATGCTTCTTTTTTCCAAAAATTTTCAAAATTAAAATTAGATAAATTTAAACTTGATTCCAAAGAACAAAAGATTCATGGTATTTATAATATTAAATCAACGCCATCAAATGAACCTCCTGCAATTTCAGTTTCTGCTTCAAGTTTTGATGATCCAGATGAATCCTTATAGTGAGTATTATTCTGATATGTGTGTTGATTGAGGATATATGACTAACTAGGCTTCCAGTCCTTCAAATTCTGTATTGTTTGCCCCAGGTTCTATAACAAATTTAAATACAATTGAAGAATTTAAAGCATTGGATAAAGCTCAATTTATTAAAAATTCAGGTGAAAGAATCCTTAAACAGATAGAGAACAAAGAAGTCCTTGAAAATCCTTCATTATTGAATCATTTTGATATTATAAGTTTTGCAGATTTGAAAAAATTCAAATTTTACTATTGGTTTGCATTTCCTTCATTAAATTCTAATTGGAAAATCAATCATAGGGAATTCATTGATGAAATACCTGAAACAGTTATAATGTGGTTTAGTATTTTAGATAACAGGAATAAAGGTGTGATCATTTGGAAAGATGATGTACCCTACACTTTAGCAAGTTTAAGTCTTGTAAACCCTGAGGATACATTAAAAATTGGATTCATAGATTCTTGTATTATTGATGATAAACCTTCAAAATTTTTACAAAATTTATTAACTGCATTATCATATTATGGTTATAATTCAATAGAATTACATGTTTATAGATTTGCTTCCAAGAGTTTTAAATTAAATATAACAAATACTAATTTAGATTTACAAAAAATTACAGGTTGGGAACGTACATCTCAAGGTAAATTAGGTCCAAAATTAGCAGATTTAGGTTCCCTCATAGATCCAATAAAATTATCTGAACAATCTGTTGATTTAAATTTAAAATTAATGAAATGGAGAATATCACCTGAATTGGATTTAGATATCATTCAACAAAATAAAGTCTTGTTATTAGGTTCTGGGACTTTAGGTAGTTATGTTGCAAGAGCTTTATTAGGATGGGGTGTTCGACAAATAACATTTGTTGATAATGGATCAGTATCTTATTCAAATCCTGTTCGTCAACCTTTATTTAATTTTGAAGATGTTGGTTCACCAAAAGCTGAAATTGCAGCTAAATCATTACAAAAAATATTCCCATTAGTTAATTCCAAAGGGTTCCAATTAGAAATTCCAATGGCTGGTCATCCTGTTACAAATGAATCTAAACAACAAGATGGATTTAATCAATTAGTTCAATTAATTAAAGAACATGATACAATTTTCCTTTTAACAGATTCAAGAGAAGCAAGATGGTTACCTACGATAATCGGTAAATCTTACAAAAAGACAGTTATAAATGCAGCATTAGGATTTGATAGTTATTTAGTTATGAGACATGGTATTGATGATCAATTGGGCTGTTATTATTGTAATGATGTGGTTGCACCAACTGATAGTTTAACAGATAGAACTTTAGATCAAATGTGTACAGTTACAAGACCTGGTGTTGCATTATTAGCATCTTCATTAGCTGTGGAGTTATTAGTTTCTATATTACAACATCCAGATGGTCCATTGGCTAAAGCTAATGAAGAATCTATATTGGGAAAATTACCACATCAATTAAGAGGGTTTCTGGGAAATTTTGAAACTTTAAAATTAGAATCACCAGCTTATCCTTATTGTCCTGCATGTTCTAAACCTATCCAGGAGGCATTTGTACAGGAAGGTTGGGAATTTGTTAAAAAAGCTTTAAATGATTCTAAATATCTTGAATTGATTAGTGGATTAGCTGAAGAACAAAGGAAAGCTGAAGAAGCAGTTGCTAATTTGGAAGCTGATTTTAGTGATGAAGAGTGGCTTTGAACATGGAACTCTTGGATTAATGTAATATTTAAATGCTATGTTTATGAATTTTTCATGATTATTGTAGTTAACTGATATTTGTATACAAGCTATTATTCAAAACGGTAAGAGACCAACATTGACTCAACTGAAAGGTGCATATAGCCATGATACCTGTTAAGTCGACATTCTATCTCTACGTTTTGGAATTACTATAAATGATCAATAGAATCCTCATTTATTGTTCATCACTATTTGTTATATAGAAAACCCATTTCAACCTTATTAAATTTGTTGACATTTCAATCTTATAATCTGTTTACCTCTCTGCTTCCTAATTTTATACTAGTTTACTTTTCCATTCCCCTTTTCATTTATAATTTACCTTTCAATAAATTTAAATTGTATATATGTGATTAAACTATAGCAATTATCTTATCATGACTTTGGCATTAGGTAAGGCTTACTTAATTTCAAATACTTGATTTAATTAATGATTTAACTCCAATTTTGAATTGATACATGAATATAAATTAGTTTTGCAATTGATCAATTTACCAGCACTAGCAGCTAGTAAGAATATAATATAGTGATATTATATAACAGCTGGAAATTGAAATATACTAAAGTTATACTGCACTATATACAATTTATGATGACACTGAACGCAATCATCAATACTATTATAACAGCAATAAGATCATTTTTACACAAATGCATCGAAACTTTGCATATCTTGTATACTGAAAGAGATATTTTTGAAGCTTTAGCAATTTGGTTAGGTATTCCTAGAGGTTGTGGTTTATATTACATTCATCATTCATATTACAACACAGTTTTTAGACCTCTTTGGAAATTGGATAGATTATCATTTCCAATAAGATATTATTCATCTAATAAATTGCAACATATATATGAATATATTGATAACTTCAAAATATCAATGTTTAAATCTTCTTTAATGAAGACAGATGATGAGGAAGGTTTTGAAAATATAGAGTTCAATATTATCGATGAATCCACTTCAATTTACAATGAGAACCCTAATAATAACTCTATACTTCCAATGGAAATTTGGGAATACATTGCATATCATGGTGAAATTAATTATTCAATTATGCTGAGTATTAATAAGTCTTTTTTCTATACATTTGCACCGAAAGTTTATGATACATTAAAATTGACAATTGTTTTAAGTCCATTAACCAAGATGAAACTTACCGATGAAAGTTTCTTAAAGAATGGATCTGATACTATCAGGTATAAATATTGTGATTCATATTCAATTTATGAAAGGGATCAAGAGAGTAAGAAATTTGATTATGAATTTTTAGATACTACAATTGAAGATCAAGATTTTTTCAAATGTAATGGTCCTCAAAAGATTGCAAGACCACAACCCCCTGATCCTAGATCAATGTTCCACAAAAAAGAGAGATACAATCATCCATTTGAGATAAGAAGTTTAAAGAAGATTCAACTCTTTCTAAAGAATGTTTTACAAAATCCAAACTCAATAATGAAAAAATATATTAAAGAAATTTTGGTAGATATATGTATGTTTCATGGATTTGATAAACTTATGACTATGGAGAAAAGTTCATCAGTGGAAGGATCATCTAGTGAACATGAATCATTGGAAAAGTTGATTTATCAAGAAATAAAACAGCATGAACGTACTTCAGTTTTGAATGTTGATTCAGATCAAGAGGAAAGCGAGCCTATTGATGTTGCACCTTTGGATGAAAATTTTGATAGAATTAGATGGAAAGATCCTCTTAGAGATAAAGGACCAAGGTTTTACAGATTTTCCCATAATGTTAGAACTAAATCTGATATTGATACTATTAGAGATGATCTTCATCACATCTTCCCACAGAATGTCTATTTCAAAGAGTTGTTGAGCGTTTATTTACTTTCTTCAGACAAAGCTTATTCACACATATTGAGAAGAAGATTAAGTCACTATATGAATCCAATTAATTTCCAAAAATTTAATCCAATAAAAAATTGGAGTCGTACTGTTGTGGCTAACTGTATTGATAAATTAGTAACTAGAGAGCCTGATACGGCACGTTATTTTAGAATGATTATTACTGGACAATCATGTGTTAAAATTACAAACCGTGAATTTAAAACCAAACTTCAAGTTTATGAATTTCTAGATGACTTGATTAAAACTTTAACCATCAAATCAAATGATTATATACTGAATAATATTCAATCTTCCATTCTGATTCTAGGAATCAATGATGGAAAACCTCAGGTTCCCAAAGAGTTTACCCAAAATGCATCAATTAATACTGATGCTTCAGATCTTATTACTTTACTCAAATTGAATCCTGAATTGATTCTTATAAATAGATTTAACGACAATTACAGATGATTTAAAAGAGTTTCAAATACAATCCAGTCCATCCATAACTTCAATAAATGAACTAATAAGTTCAATAAATGTGTAATTTAAATAGTTCATTCATTGAAATGTACTGGTTATATCTCGATTACATAATCCGTACGCTAGTTTTTGAAAATCTCGGAGAGACAATAAATCAAAATAAGTAAACAACGATAAGTAATTGAAAAAACAGTACTTGTATAAATATCAACAAAGATCCAGAATATCATCATAGGATATCACCATTGAATAAGCTGGGAATAAGATTAGGAATAATGACTGCAAATGAAGACCATAAAAGAACCGCTTCGGTGGATCATGATGATGAACCTATAGCTAAAAGAGCCAAATTAGAGGAAGAAAAAGAAAAATCAAAAGATGTTGAAAAAGAAGTGAAAGAAGAAGAAAATGAAGATGAAGAAGATGAAGAAGGTGATGATAAGCAGGAGGACGATGGTGATGGTGATGCTGCTAAGACTGCTGAAAATGAAGAAGAAGAAAGAAAGCTTACAACTACTTTTAATTTTGATGGAACAACATATACTTTTAAAGAAAGACCTTCAGTATTAGAAGAACGTGAGGGTAAAATTGAATTTAGAGTTGTTAATAATGATAATACCAAGGAAAATTTAATGGTTCTAACAGGTTTGAAAAATATTTTCCAAAAACAATTACCCAAGATGCCCAAGGAATATATTGCAAGATTAGTTTATGATAGAAGTCATCTTTCAATGGCTGTTGTAAGGAAACCTTTAACTGTTGTTGGTGGGATCACTTATAGACCATTTGATAGTCGAGGTTTTGCCGAAATTGTTTTCTGTGCAATTAGTTCCACTGAACAAGTTAGAGGTTATGGTGCACATTTAATGAATCATTTAAAAGATTATGTTCGTTCAACTTCACCAATTAAATATTTTTTAACTTATGCAGATAATTATGCTATTGGATATTTTAAAAAACAAGGTTTTACAAAAGAAATCAATTTAGATAAACATATATGGATGGGTTATATTAAAGATTATGAAGGTGGTACATTAATGCAATGTTCAATGTTACCAATAATACGATATTTAGATAGTGCTAAGATCTTATTATTACAAAAAGCTGCAATTCAAAGGAAAATTCGTATGGTTTCAAAATCTGATGTTATTAGACCAGGTTTAAAACAATTCAAAGATCTTAAAAATTTAAAACCAATTGATCCAATGACTATACCAGGATTAAAAGAAAGTGGTTGGACCCCAGAAATGGATGAATTAGCTCAAAGACCAAGAAGAGGACCACATCATACATTTATGCAATTATTATTAACAGAATTACAAAATCATACAGCATCATGGCCATTTTCAACACCAGTTAATAAAGATGAAATACCAGATTATTATGAAGTTATTAAAGAACCAATGGATTTAAGTACAATGGAATCTAAATTAGAAAATGATCATTATTCAACCCTGGAAGAATTTGTTTATGATTCAAAATTAATTTTTAATAATTGTCGTAAATATAATAATGAAACTACAACTTATTTTAAAAATGCAAATAAATTAGAAAAATTTTTTGATTCAAAAGTTAAAGAAAATTCAGAATATTCTCATTTAGTTGAATAGAGTATATAGTAACTGCTACAAGTAAAAGTTATTCATAAATCACTAATGTACATGCATTATATCTTTTTGTATCTCTAAGCTTCTGGTTGTTCTTCAGCTTCTTGTTCTTTTAAAACTTTTATAATATCAGCAGTAACTGTATTATCATAAATTTTAAAACCTTCATCTTGAGTAACCGAACTTAATTGAACATTATTTTCATCTAATTTTTCCTCCATAACTTGTTTTAAAATTTTTAATGTTAATAATTCAGCTTCAACCTTAGTTAAAGAACTATGATATTCATTTTGTAATTCAGCTTGAGCACCTTCAGAACCTGACCCAATAGCTTTAGCTTCATATCTATAGAAAGTTCCTGAAGGTTCAGTATGATATAATTGTGGACCTTTTTCTTTATCGATACCAGCGATTAAAAGGGCAACACCAAAAGGTCTTGACATTAAACGTTCTTCACCAGATGCACCTTCACCAAATCTTAAAGCTAAATCAGCAACGGATTGAGTTAAAGATTCCACTCCAATATCTTCATCATAATATAAATTATGATTTAATGAACTTACTCTAGCATGATCAATCATACTTCTTGCATCTGCAGTTAAACCAGACATGGCACATCCTATATGTTTATCAATTTCTACAATTTTTTCAATTGATGAAGATTCTAATAATGATGAAGTGACTCTTTTTTCAACACCCAATACAACACCTTCAGAAGTGGCAATACCTATAGCTGTGGAACCAAGCTGATGGTGACAGTTAGTATCCTAAGATCAATCAATATCTAATACCAATATACATACTTTAATGGCTTCTAAAGAGTATTCAACTTGGAATAAACGACCTTCTGGAGAGAAAGTACTGACACCACGGTCATATTCACTTCTTGTTAAGAACATTTTGTATCAATTGAGTTGGTAAAAGTATGGATTTGTTGGTTAGATCTGTTTTCAATTCTTAGTGGCAATTCAATTGAATATCAAAATCAATATTCAAAATGGATTCGCGAAATTAAGTGTTTGCCCGGTTTTCGATTCGCGCAGCAGTCGGATTTTTTAATTGTTTACATTTTAGAAAATCAAAATCAAAACAATGAATTTTAACAGGAAAACTTATAGATTTGATAGAGATTGATGGCGCTTTGGATAGGATGGAGACTGAGAGACAAGTGAGTACCACCATTGGATTCTACGCGGTCAGTTTTACTAACAAATTGGTGATTTAAGGAGGATCGAGTTGTGTTGTTGGAAGAGACGCCATATTTGAATGCGAGATTGGTGAATTTCCAACCATTATGTTCAAAACATCAGAAAGTTAAACCATTACAATTGAAAGATTTGAGAGATTTGAGAGTTCAGGAAGCTCTTATAGTGAAGGATTTGTTGTATGTGCTTTTGGGGTTAGAAGGTGCTTATATTAGATATTCTGAAGGTTTTGATCCAAATATATTGAAATTAAGACTTCTGGGACCAGATTATAAAATTAATAAAAATTTAGATACAAGTTTAAAAGATGTTACCAAGAGAATTGTTCATTTAGGTAGAATGTATACTTCATTAGTTGCATTTACAGAATATTATAATTCTGAAAAATTTGGTCAAATTGTACAAAATTTTGTTTATGAAGTTCGTCAATTTTTGAAAAATTATATATTTTTCCTTGATTCAATGGATCAACAATTTAAATTTAACAAAGATTTCAATATTCGTCAATTAGAACAAGATTTAAGAACTCATGTTAGTTATAAAATGTTACATTTATATGAAATTGTTCAAACAATTGAAAAATTAAATCAAGAAAGAAGTATAATCACACAAGATAATATGTTTGCAAATTTTATCGAAGGAATACGACATGATATACAACATACAGGTTCAGTTGATCTGTTATCAGATTCTTCAAGTCATAGATTAGTTAAAGGTGGATTATTATTGAAAATTGTTCAAGATAGAATTGATGAACATAGTGGAGATTTAAAATCATTTGAATTTTTATCACAAATTTTCAATAATATAAGTAAATTATATATTGATATGTTAAATGATTGGATAACTAAAGGTATATTGAATGATCAAAATAATGAATTTTTCATAATATCAAATCTTGCACATGATTTTAAGATTAATAGTTTAAACTCTGAAAGATATTGGGATTCAAAATATATTGTTAAAAAAGATGGTTTACCTAAACAATTTGATAACCCAGAAATTCAATATAAAGTTTTACAGACTGGTAAATATTTAAATGTCTTGAGAGAAGTTGGTGTTGAATTAGATTCTTTTTTCAATGAAAGAGTAACAACTTTAAGTAATTCTAATAATCTTTATTTAACACTTGATAATGCTTATGAAAATGCAAACAAACTTATATTAGATCTTTTTTTCCATGGTTATAATTTTAAAAAAATTTTAAAAAATTTACAAAAATATTATTTATTAAATAATATTGGACAATTTCAAGAATTTTTAAACACAAATTTCCATGAATTTAAAAAACCATATACTCATATTTCAAAATCAAAATTACAGAGAACATTTGATCAAATATGTAAAAATAATTCAGATGTAATTTTCCAATTATTAAATATAATTATTGAAAAAGATTCAATTTATGATTATCTTTTAGAAATTTTAAAAGTTGAACCAATTGATGCAGAAAAGGCATTAACTGCAACAAATTTTGATTCAATAAAGACATTAATAAATGAAACTTTAGATTTTGATAAACATCATAATGATCAAAATTCTGATGGGAATAATAAATCATCTGAACTTATTAAATCAATTAATTTTTTCACATTTGATATAATTTTACCATTCCCATTAAATTTAATTATTAATAGAACAGTTATAATTCAATTTCAATTAATTTTTAGACATTTAATTAATTTACATTATACAGATAAACAATTGAATGAAACATGGTTTGAAATTAATCAAAATAAAATTTGGAAATATAAATTTTTCAATAAATCAATATCAAAATGGATAACAAGAGTTAGATCATTACATGATCGTATGAAAGATTTTATTAAAATTTATTTTGGATTCCTTGTATATGATTTAATTGATTTAAATTGGGGTGATTTCTTAAAAAAAATTGATGATGTTGAAAATTTTGAAGATTTATCAAATTATTTACAATTTTTCCTAAATACAATATTGAAAAGTTCTATATTAACAACAGATAAATTAATTAAAATTTGGGTTAAAATTTCACAAATTATAAATGGATATTGTAATTTTTTACTTTCATTAAGGAAAGTATTAATCTTATTAGATTTAAATTTATTTACAAAATATGATGAAAGATTAAAAGGTCAACTTTTTGATGAAGAAAAAAATTTTGAAAGATTTGAAAAATTAAATTTATATTTAAATGATTATCTTGAAGGATTTAGTCAACATTTAAATGGTTTTATTGAAGGTTTAAGATATTATGGAGAATTAGAAACACCAGATTTTTTAATATTAGCTATAAGATTAGAATCTTCATTTCCTTCAAAGGAATAGAAAGTTATATACATTGCATATTGGGGGTATTTAATACATGGACGGTTAACTTTTCTTTATATCAAATCATTATTGTATTAAACATTAAGTACAACTCTATATCGATATTTGACTTGAATCAACTCTAACCAATTTTTTTTCTCTTTTCCTAACCAAAAATTGAATAATTAAACAAGTTGCAGCACTACCAACACAAGTCCCAATCATCGCATAACAACCTTTCTTAAACAAAGGAGCAGTTGATTCACTAAAAAACAATAAAGACCACCAAGCATTAACAGCACCACTAAACATATTCATTGAAGCTAAAACTATAGCCCGTTCTTGTAAATCACCTCTACATATCAAATTTGCCCATGAAAAAAACACAGCTTGTCCACTATAAGAAACGCCAGCAAGGTATTGAGCAATAAACATCACAGCATGAGAATTTGGTTTGGAAAGAATCATTATTGATGAAGTTATTAAAACGATGGAGATTATTAATCCTATATGATGATGATTTTTACCACCTGTATGATCCACATATAAAGCTGCAAGGAAAGTTGAAATTATACCAATGGCGAAAATACCAATTGGATATTGATTTCTTTGTGGGATGGTGTAATTTTTATGTTTTAACCATAGGGCAAATAAAGAATTTGAACAAAATGAAACATTTTCACCACCAAAGATCCATAGGATACTGAATAAGTACCAATGCCAGTTCCCAAATACTCTTGATATTACGGACCAATCAAGTTTTGTCTTTTTCGGGGTGGTTGTTGGTTCCATAGGGTCGGTCTTGATAAGTCTTTCTTTTGCTAATTGAATTTCTTCTTTTGTAAAATAAAATGAATTACAAGTATCTGGAGTATCGGGGAAGAAAATAAATCCATAAATCATAACAGGCATTGTAATAATAAAATCAATAATAAATAACCATCTCCAACCTGCAAGACCATTTAATCCATGCATATTTTTATAAATTGAAGATTGCATAAATGAACTAAATATTGAACCTAATAATCCAGAAGTTGTGAAAATAGCACTTCTTTTCCCTAATTCAGATGTAGCAACCCTACCAGTCTTTTCATCAATTTCAATCTTTGAATTATACCATGACCCAAGGATTAATTGACTTCCAACAAATGTACTTGATTCAAAAAAAGCCATAAAGAACCTCAAGATACAAATTTGTTTATAATTTTCAACCTTATACATTCCTAAAGTCAAAGTCCCCCAAACCAAAAGACAGAAAGTTAACCAATATTTAGGTCTAACCACTAACAATATTAAATTATTTGGAATCATCCCCAATATATAACCAACAGTGAATACAGTATTAACTATATTAAATTCATTATGACCCATCCCTAGGTCTTCTTGCATACCTGATACATAAGCATTACTAAAATTTGTACGATCCAAATAATTAACCCAATAATTTAAACAAACGAATGATAGTACAAAACAATCAATTTTAAATAATAGTTTACGTTCTTTGTGGGATGTTGGTGGGTGACCCCAAAGAAAAAGTTTGATTTGTCGTAGGAAGTTCATTGTGTGTTTTGTGTGTTGTGTTTTGATTATGAGATATGGCTTCTATTGCATCTTAATCACTTGGGTTTTTGATCTCTTTTCAAATTTGTATTGAATATAGCTCTTTAGATCTAATTTAATTATGTTTTTATTGTTGATGAAATAATGATTAATAATTTTTTTTTTCAAGTCTATTATTGTATGTGCATATTTCCGATGAGAGATGCTGGTACATTTTTCCGATGTGTATATTAATAGAAAAAAATTATAGTACAACTTTTGATCAAATATAAAGAATTCAGAATATATTTATATAATATTCAGAATATATTTATATAATATTTATATATAATATTTAATAAGTAAAAAGTATAAAAGGGTACAAAAAGCAAAGAAATCAGTAAAAAAGTAAAGCAAAGAAATTCAAATCAGACATAACACATCATAAACAGTATAAAAAACCCCAAAGAACCTAAATTTCACCATTATCATATTTTACTAATATAGAATCAATAGTACTCTTTGGATAAGCAGCACCACGTTCATGACAAACTTCTAAACCTTTAATTTTGTTCATAATAACATTTAAATCATAATCTTTATCATATTTATCATTTAATTCATTTAAATATTCCCAAACTTGAGTTATTGTTAAATTTATACCAGAATAATCTAATTTAATTGGTGATTCAGGTTCTGATTTAATACGATCAGAACTTGAAGGAAATGAAAATTGATTTGAAAAATTTGATAAAATATCTTGATTATTTAATGGGATTAAAGAATTACCATTTTGTAATAATAATTTATTTTCAGTTGATATAATTACATTTTGCTTTTTGAGGTCTTGTAATTGTTGTAATAAATTTGTCTTGTCATTTTCAGATTTTGATAATTTTTCTTCTAATTCTTTTAATTTTAATTCTTTACGTTCTCTAAAAGCTCTTTGAGCTGCTCTATTTTGAGCTTTTCTTCTATTGGCAATTTCTTTTTCTGATAAATTTGATTCATCAATATCAGCTGATGGGATTTGATTTTGATTATTATTATTTAATATTGATGACGGAGAAGATTTATCAGATGAGTTATAAATAGAATCATTGATATTTAATTGTTGTTGTTGAATTTGTTGATTATTTTGATTATTACTATTATTTGAAACAAATTCATTAAATTGTTGTGGTTGATTTGTAAAATTATCAGTTAAGAATCCATCATCTAAATTTTTTGGTATATTATCATTATAACCTTGGTTAAACTGAGCTACACTTTCATTAAACTGTGGTGTTGATAGCCATGGTTCATCTTGTTGGTATCCGTAGTTGTAAGTCTGGTTCATTGTGTGTGTGTTTGGAATGTTTAGTATTAGTATTGATATTTGTTAGTATTCACTAGTTGTTTTCAGTGTTTTCAGTGGTTGTCTTTTCATAATAATTAAAAATTGTGGAAATAAATATTTGATTACGTCATGGATTACATAAACACATAAACTAACGAGTACAAAAGATTATGGGTATAAAAGATGAGTATAAAAGATTGAGTATAAAAGGTAAATTATTGTTATATGAATAGTACAAAAGTACAATTAGACACTATTATTATCAGTATAATCACCAGTACCAGTAATTATATAATATAATCAGTTAAATAATAATAAAGTTCCGCGTCATGAAGTTTATTATTATTGGATTGCTCACCATTTCCAAGTCTAGAACAACAAATTTTATGAGACAATAAACCATTAGATTTATATTTAAACAGACAATAAGATCATAATAATTGAATTGTGTTTAAGCTAGGGATATTTATTAAGTGTTGAAGTTGATATATTGCTTATTGCTGGTATTATAATTGTTATACTGGGTATTATTGTATTATCAAGGGTATTATTGACTTTGACCTATTTGCATTGTTATCGTAAATTTACAAGGGTTCAACAAGGGATTATCAAGAACTAAAAAGAGATTTAAACAAGATTACCATTATAACTATCATCAGCTCACCATCATTGGGTCATATTATCATGCCACTTACTCAATAACAATCACTTCAAATGTCACAATCAAATTCATTAAATCTCTTGAAAAGAGATTCAGATTTAAATTGGTATACATTTCATCAAGTTACAGCGTTTTATATCTTGGAATTAACTGCAAGTGCTATTAGTGTTATAGTTGGTACGTTGGCCTTAATATTATGGTTTCGTATGGATCCTTCAAGAAGAGTTATATTCAGATTAGAATTATTATTAGTCTTAATCTTAAGTGATTATTTTAAAGCTATATTTATATTATGTTTTGCTGCAAATAATTTATTTAATTTAAATCAATTATCAATTAATGATCATCATATTATTGCTGGTTCTTTACAGGTTTATAATGATCAAATTAAATATTGTGATGGTTGGGGTTATTTGAAAAGTATGGCAACTATATGTTCTGATTTAACTATAATGATGTTGACTATTCATAATGCTTTAATGATTTTTAAACCAAATTTATCCAAAATATATACCAAAACTCCAATGAATTTTACTAAAACATTGGTGAAATTTTGGAGATATTTGGTGAAAAAGGATATAACTTTTAAACAAATATTCAAAACACACCCTAAAGATCAAATAACTGTTAATGAAGGTGGTATTTATCCATTAAGATGTATAGTTGTCATAGTTATCTTTTTAATCTCTACAATTGTTTCATCATTAATATTTGTTAATGGTGGTCATTATGAATATAATTTTGCATGTTCTGCACCATTAAGACCAGTATGGAAAGGTTTAATTGCAGGTTGGATTATAAGATATGTTAATTTAATTTCAATTGTCTTAGTTTATACAATCATAATCATATATTTAAAATTAAACCTTATGGGTATTGAAAAGGGTAAAAAATTATTATTACAACCAACAACTTCTGATCCATTACAACAAAATAATCATGTACAAAGAACAAATTTACAAAAAGAATTAATGGATATAACTCAAGAAACTAATGCAAAAAGAAGATCAAGTGTTGAAAAAGAATTAAAATCATTCGCCATTTATCCCATTGGTTATTGTTTATTATGGATAACACCTGCTATATCAGAAATTTATGGTTATGTTTTCACTGCAACTCCTGTTGTATTATTATCATTTGTTGCATTTATGACTCCATTAAATTGTACTGTTGATACTATAATATTCATTGTACGAGAAAAACCATGGAATGCAACATCATCAAAATTCAAAAATTTTAATAAATCAGTACCTAATTATAATAATTTTAATCAAGGAAGACCGTTTGATGAAGAACAAGGTCATGTTGAGGTTCATGATGATAATCCTCATTATAGAAAAGATTCATGGGCAAGTTCCACAATATCAAATTTTAAACATTTAATAACTTTGAAAAGACCTTCAGAAACTAAAACTATTCAAGAATTAAAAGATGATGAAGAGCAAAAACAACGTCATGAAACTAATTTAAGTTCAAACTCTGATGAAACTGCTGTTAATCCAGTTCCACATGGTCAAGCACAGGGCCCACTTGGTATTGGTACTTCTGGTATTGATGCTTCTGTTAATGATGAAAGTGATGGAATTGATATGATTGATTTTTTGAATGGAAGGTTTTAGTATAGGAGTTGATTATTTATATATTTATATTTATTTATTGGTGAAGTTTATATGTATTATATTAATATATTTTGAATTATGATATGAATCATTTCAGCTTTTAAGAGTAGCACCAACCAATGCACCAATTTCCATATCTATATGATCTTTGGATCAAAACTTTGGTACCAATTTCCAAAGCTCATTTGTGTACATTTTAATAGAAAGAGTATAAACTTTAGCGGAGCAAATAAACCGTTATAAGAAGATCTTTTGGATAGAAAGTTGGAAGTTAACTAAGGCATTCAAATCGATGATCGTGAAAATTTTCAACGGTATATACTAAAAGACCACAAGCACTAAGCTATACAAGGTACAACTCGTAACATAGAAGAAGAACTAAACACACATTTCAATGGACTTCATGTAATAGTTCTCTATTGTTTGTTTATTTGTTTACGTTCTGTTCAATTCTGTTCAATTCTGTTTGTTTTGGTTTTGGTTTTTTGGTACTTCACTAAAAATTGCGGACATCAAGATCTTATGCATGGAAGACCGCTTTTAGTTACATTGAAAGATATGAAGGAGAACAAATTGAGCATTTTATTGGTGGTTATTGGTTATTATCAAGTCAGAAGTATAGCCTTATTATGCCGTTAGACAGTTTAAGTTATAACTTCTCAGTGCTCACTTTCTCAGTTGAACATTGAAATACGTTATATACGTTATTGAAGATCAGGTACGTATTCATACAAAATTGACCTCTCACATTCTATTTTGGGAAACACTTCAAGTTACATATACTTTACACACCACTGATTGATACAGAAGTGGGAGTGTAATTACAGAAGTATGTTGTAAGTACTTATAAGGTGTTGATAACGTGTGACTTGGTCTTTGGTTGTCCTTCAATTGTTTACATTTTGTTGTATACTTGTTTTATTGTTTATTTGATTGGTTCATGCTGTAGGGGCTAATTTACTAACCAGTGCTACGTTCTGTGGTAGTGCTAAGTGCTAACTTATAAGGCTAACTGCTGGTTAAAGTATGGATACTTAACTATGGTTCAAATTAGAATGAAGTTTGAAAGCCTTGAAAATTGAGTACCTGATTCTGAAATCCTTTAACGTCCTTATATATTCTGAGCAATTTTGGCTTCAGCGATTACGATCAGTTAAGCTACAACATTTGATACAAATTTATTTCATAAGCCGTCTCTTAATATGTCATTATATAAGTATATACTCTCTATCAAACCAAAAAAGGCACTAATATCATAAGTGCAACAAAAATAAACTATAAAGAAATGAAGAAAAAAAGATGATCATAATAAATAATTCTGTATATGTTTATGAAGAACTGAAATGAAATTTTGATCAGTTGAAACTAATCTTTTGATGTATAAATGTCCTGTACTTTTTCAATAAACCATGCTTTTGACCATCACCATAGATGAACTTTAATACTAACTTTTGATTGACCCATTGCAACATGTAAATCAAATTCATCAACTAATGGACTAAAATAATTTTTTGAAGAATTTTTATAATATAGTTTTATTGAATTTAATTCACATTCTAATCTTTTTGATATAGATTTTTTTAAATCTTTTAAATTTGATCCTTTTTTATCAAATTTTAATGCAAATATATCATTATTATAATATATTTTAATCTTGATAACCTCTGGCTGTTGTTGTTGTTGTAAAGCTTGTTGTTCATTAGAATTTGAAGAATTTGATGAGTTTAATGAACTTATTGATTCATTTCTTTTATTAACAAATTTATCTCTTGAATCTTTATTCATAAATAATGGTTCTGTTGGTGATGATAACCAATTATCATGATCATCATTTAATGACTGTTTCCTACTTGTAGTTGTATTACTTGAAATTGATGATTTCTTAACATTTGATGTTCTTGGTGTCCCACTAATTGAATCTGATCTACTTCTTGTACTTGTTGTTGGTGATGACCAAACTGGTATTGATTGAGAAATTGGTGATGATAATGGTGATATAGATGTTATGGAATTATTTTTGGATAAAAATGAATTTGGTGGTAATTCAGGTACTGGTAATGGAGGTGTTACTGAAGTTTGAATTTTTAATGAAGGTTTTGAACCATTTTTATTTAATCCTATTGGAATTGGTTGTAAAAGAGTTTCCACAGCTTCATTTGATATTGGATTTGATGGATCAGATTCTAAATCACCAATCTTGGGTAAACACCATTTTTGTAAAATATCATAATAACTTAATTTAAATTTATTTTGAACAATTTTAAATATATAAACATTTAATGATTGAACTCTTTGTAATAAAATTGATGATAAAGTTTCTAAATCTGGTCTTGGAATTGGATCTGGTAAATTTGGTAATTTGGAGCAATTTTCATCTTGAATTGATTCAGGTATTGAATCATTTCTTAATTTTTCCACAATCATACAATGTAATTTATAAAAATCTTGATAATACCGACATAAATGTCTTTTTTTACCATTATTTAATTGAACATCAATTCTATACCAATATCTTCCATTATAACATGAAACATTTTTAACTAATGCAGAAATTGGTATCACATCTTGAACTTGTGATGATGATGATGATGCTGGTTCTTGTAAAGTTTTTTGATTTGTTAAATTTGATGAAGTTGAAGTAATTGAATTTGGTGAAGATGGTCTTGATGATGAATTTGAACTTGATGATTGAAATGAAAAATGTTGTTCTTGATCAGATTGTGTTGATGATCTTGAAATTGATTGTTTTGGTGGGATTATATTACTTGGAATTGATGATTTTGGATCTTCTGGATCTTCTTTAGTAATTGGTGTACTTGGAACTAAAGGATCTTCTAATGGACCTGCTGAAGCTAACCAATCTTGATTAAATTTATTATCAACATTTTCATCCATTAAATTTCCTAATCTAACAATTCGAACATAAGATGCAGGAATTAACCCAGGTTGAGAAATTCTACCAATTGGTTTAACAAGAATCCATCCATTACCTTTTCTTTCAATTAATTTTAAAGCTTCACCAACACCAACTGTTAATTCATTACTATGTTCAGATTTAAAATCAAATTTTGTAATTAAAATCACTGCAGTTGTACTTGGAGTTGTTCTTGGGATTGAAGATTTTTCAATGTTATTATTATTGGAAGTATAAATTGAACTAAATGATGATTGTTTAATTAATTTTGGTGAATTAGATGATTGATTATTTTTTTGAGATGAATTTATTGCAGAACTAGTTGATATCATCTTTGGATCAGATATCTGTGAACGATTTATAGTTTTAGATCTTGATAAACTTCTATTAAACATATTTGAAAAGTAAGAATTCTTTGGAATTCTCAAGGGGAATTGATCACTTATATATGAATTGATAAAATAAAATCACTTTTTGGTTACTGCAATCTTGATAGACAATACAAAAAAAGGAACTGAAGCTGGTGGTGGTATAATATGTGATGTTGATCTATTTTGATAAAATTTAGCTGTGGTATGTGCTTTAGTAACTGTGGAAAAGAAAAAACACAAACGGTATGTAGGTGAGTATAAAAGAATGGAGATAAACTTTTTGGTGTAAAAGCTTGGGTATTAAAACAATAACGAATGTGAATGGAACCAAATTGGGTCAGCTAATATGATAAATGAATGGAATAAGATATTATGGAGTTAATGAACAAAACAACAATATAAAAGTAAGCAAATGGGAAACGTTGTTGATATTTAAGTACTTGATCCATTCATCACGTATATCTGTTATTTTTCCACCGAAAGGCAAACAAATTTTTAAACTTTGGAGAATTGGAATGTTTGTGTCGATTGTTTTTCTTTTTTAGTGGTGATCGTATCTACATCTTAAATTCAGGTGCTTCAAAACGCCTCTGAACGCTCCTATATGCATTGGCTCTTACCCTTTTTAGCTTCAAAGGTGTTCAAGCTTTGCAACTTTGTGCGCGACTGTCGGCATATGAACGCAAGGTTGGATATGCATGTGACCTAACTTGTCATATGTAACTTCCTAACCGTCGCACAATATTTAAAAATGGAGATGATTTTAACCATTTTGGTGATTTGAAGTATACTAATTTGAAAGATATGAAGCATTTGAAGACATACAGAAATGAACATTAATGTAACAATCCATAGAGATATCATATCATCAACTAGTATCGTATCATTATCAAGATGAAGAAGAGCTGGTAACTTAGTAAAAGACTAGCTGGTTCACTACTGGAAACTGGCAACTGGAGAGATTCCATAAATAACCATTGTGCCTTGCAAGTTGGAACATGTTGTATAATATAAGAAGAGATCAGAAGCTAGTCTTTTGAGTTCATTCAATTCATTCAACAATAATACTCTCATTCGGATACGAATCACAATTCTTGTTTAGTCGGTTGAGCTAGCTAACAATAGTACTATCTCATTACTATCTCTTGGGCCAATTGTAATTTGTTATCCCAGTTGTTTGTTAGTTCATACTTCAAAGTTCAGATTGTGTAAGTAGTACGGCGTAATTATATGGACTTGGGTGTTGAAACTTGACTTTGCTTAAAGATTTGCATTAATAAAGATCAGACTGGCCGTTTTCTGCATCTGAGACAGTTATGCTTTAGTTAAACTATATAATCGCGATCAGATCATAAAGATTCAAAACTTATATATCTACACTAGTACATGTTAATTAGTTATGAGCTTATATTATTGTTTAAGGTTTAAATGCCCTGATGTTTCATTCTAACTCTGACCAGATGTCTTTTCTCATTACAATTAAGCTTATAAGTTACTATCTCTATTTGAAAGCCTTGCCCTGAATGATGACTTAAAGGACATTCTATATAGACTTACATCATAACATATTAGAACACAATTACTCAAAGAAGTAATCTGTCTAAGATTCCATCTCTTTACAATATAGTTATTTGACATGAAAGCTTTAAGTAATTAGCACTTTATGCTGAACTTCTGCTTCAACAAAACTTTGAAATTGTGGGTCGCTTTAATCCATCTATACTTTAAAAGTTCAATGGGTTAAATGGCTAAATGGTTAAATAGAAAGTAGAGCTTTAGCCTTTGAGGTTCTTTCCGAGTTAAGTTGACTTGCAGCGCCAAAAATGGTGAACAGTGAGCACTTATACACAAACAACTCAAAATACGATCTTAAGATCGTACCTAGTACCTGTTTGAGCTGTGTAGAGTGTACGAGTCACAAGTTATAATTGTCATGTTATACAAGGATCTTAAAGCTGGTTAACAATTGAAAATCATACTTAGATCTTGTCTTAATATGTGAACAATAGATCAAGATTCGAAACAAATTGTATCTATATTTATAGTATGGTGTACTTATAAAAACATACGCTTGTCAAATATCCCCTAGAAACACCATGTAATCTACATCATATGATCTATAAATTATCAAAGTTCAAGCACCTCAAGACACAATACACTCAAGACTCAATATTCTCATCAGCTCTTTTTGTTGGAAATATCTGGAAGTTAAATTCAAGGGTTTTAACTTTTGAAGTCCAGATTTGAATTGAGCGTACTTTGAGACTTCAAAATAGCCGCTAATGATCAAGTGGATATATACGGTATATAAACTACAAAGCCTTGTAGCTGGAAATCAAGATCCTAGATTCTTGGTACAAAAGCTGTTTCATTCAGTTATTCATTTAGCAACCCATACATGATACTTTGAACTTTGAAGTTCTAACAATGCTTGTTGATTGCATCTCGGTAGATTTATGATTGATCATAGTATCATAGTACTCCAAAACATAAACAAACATTCAACCAAACATAACTACAAATGCGTTGTACTCTACGGCAACTACCAACTACTTTCAGATTGCATCTGACATCTGACAGATTACAAATCATAATACGTGTAAACTTTAAAGCTTGTCCATATCTAATGATTTTTGATCTAATGTTCAGCGGAGGAAACTTTGAACTGTTTGAACTCGAAGTTTATTATTCATATGTAGCTATCTCTTCTATGACTCCGTAAAGAGTATGGACGTATGAAGAGTTGCCAATAGCTCAACTGTTTGAAGCTTGAAGTTATGTACTTCACTATATTGAGTCTTGATGTCTTGACGTCTTGACTCTTGATGGCTTGATTATATGTTGTTGTGCATGTTCTGGAATATTTTGGTACACTATATAGCTGTATACGGGATACAGATGAATCCCGAAGTTATATATAAAAACAAAATTTGTACATACAGCTCACGCACCTTTGTTCAAATCAATCGTACACTGTCAGAATTTAGAAGTTAGAGCTCAAATGATCACACATTTTATGATTTGGTATGATGTTTCTGTTTATTTGAAAGAATTTGAATACTGTGTGTGTGTTTTTCAAACCTATCAATCTAATTTCAAGACATTCTACGTTAAGTTGCCTAGCTCTTCTCTATTGTTAAGCTCTCTCAAGTATCAAGGTTGTCTCACTTTAAGAATTATTAAAGTCGATCTATAATCAATTTATAAACTTTTAATTAAACATTTGGAAAGCAGATAATTAACTTTCTATAGCTTCTTTCATTCGACCATAAATTAGATTATACATTAAATTACATGGGAACACCGGAACACTTACTATGTTTAGTCCTCAAAAGTTACATTTGAAGGTAGATATAAGCAAGATCTAAGTCAAATATTATTGACGTTTTCCATGATTCTTGATGATCATGATCAACATATTTGAAGCATCAGTGTAAAAGTGTTGAAAACAAGAGTACTACTACGAGATTAACATGAAGGAACAGGATCGCTTTGATCTTGTCTTCTTAGTTGTTCTTCATATCCAATTAGTATCGAATCATCAAGGTAGAAGCAGTTTCCCGATATCTTGTCAATTTTAATAACCAACAAGTAACAAGATGTTATCAATCATTATAATTTAGAAGCCAAGCTTAGGGCGTAAGTAAACAACTAATATCAACATGATAGAAACTTCTCTCGTAAGTTGTTATTATTCCAAACATCTCACTTGAACCTCGGGGTTTCCATGCTAATGGACAATGGATTATAATAGTAGCCATGGTTATCCACAAGCTTTTCAAGATACGTAAACAAAGCATAAAAAATAACATCACCGAGTTCAAGCATTGGTCAATATGACATCGCTGCAGACACAGGGATCAGATAGTTGAGCTTTCAGGGTCACCCACTATACTTTCGTGAATCCTTGGTAGCTTCTTCACCATTGGCCTCTTGCACTTTGTACCCTTGTAGCCTTGAATCTTGATCCCTTGATCTCAGAGTTTACTTCCTGTTCAAGCTTCACGTACTTTATCTTTTAACTTTTGTTTACTTTTTTGGTTTTTTGTACCGCGTTGATTCGCGAATCAATTGTACTACGAGTGATTATGTAATACTATTTGTTATTTCAGTTACCTTGACAACAAATTTTACTTGAAAAAATCAACAAAAAACCAAAACAAAAAAATAACATAAACGCGATCAGAAATTAAACTTGAATTTGATACAACATTGAACAAACCACAGGGAAAAGAGGCAGAATCAGCGCTAACATCACCATCAACATCACCATCAACATTCACTAGACAAGCACACACGCTTCCTTCAATCACTGCCAGATCATGTCTCAAGATAACTACTACAAGCGCTCAAGAAGCGATGTTAATGTCCCACTGTCCCAAATGGATCTAAATCAAGTTCATAATGTATCAAACATACCTCAATTATCATCAGGTTTGAAAAAACCTTCCAATAGAGCGTCTGCTAGGCAATCCATGATAGGTGCTCCCCGTCTTAATAACCCTGTTCCAAGTCTTAAAAGAAATTCTTCCATTGGTGTTAATGAAATGGTTCAACAAAGTGCAATTCGTAATGGGGGAAGAAAAAGTTTAGCTACAATGAGTTCATCTGTATCACGTCCAAATAATAGAACTTCTTCATTTGGTTTAGCCTCTTTATCACAATCAAAAGATCCACGTCCTTTACGTGATAGAAATTTCCAAGCTACAATTCAACAAGATATCTTTGAATATCTGGTCAATAATAATTTTGAAACTGACATGAGACACCCTTTAAGTTTAAAATCATTGAAAAATCCAACTCAAAAGGATTTTGTTATGATGTTCAATTTCTTGTATAAGAAAGTTGATCCAGGTTATAAATTTTCCAAGAGTATTGAACATGAAGTTTATTATGTTTTGAAAAGTATCAAATATCCATACCTTGAAACTATTAATAAATCACAAATATCTGCTGTTGGTGGTCAAAATTGGCCTGTATTCTTAGGAATCCTTCATTGGTTAGTTAAATTAATTTCCAAAATTGAAGCAATTTCTTCAATTGAGTTCTTAGATGATGATTTAGATGATGATTTTAAAGAAGATGTTAGAGAAGATGATCCAGATCAAGACAAAATTTTCATGAAATATATTTTGTCAGCATATAGACAATATATTAAAGATACTGATGATTTTTCTGGTGTTCAAGCTATAATGAAGGCTGAATATGCTAAAAAAAGTGAAGATTTTGTTAAAAATAGTGAAATTTTAGCTCAGGAAAACATTGGATTAAAAGAAAGATATCAAACATTACGAGCTGAAGCTGAAGTTATAGAACTGGCTGAAAAGAAAACTGATGCACTTACATCAGATTTATATAAATTTGAAAACTATATAAAATCAATGGAAAATAGAAGATCAAAATGGACAGCTATTATACAACAAATTAAAAATGAATTAGAAAGTTCAGAAAAGAATCTTGCAAAATGTGAAGAAGAAAAAAAAATTATACAAGATCAAATATCTGCTCAAGGTCTGACACCAAATGATATAGATAGAATGAATAATGAAAGAGATAGAATTTCCAAATCAATAGATGCAGTTAATTTGAGATTAGGTGAATTATCAACAGTTGTTCATTCAAAAGAATTAGAAGCTCAACAAGCATTCGAAGAATTGTCAACTGCTGCTAAAGAATATAATTTCAATATTTATACAATTGCTTCAACATCTTCTGATATAGATGCTTCACAATTTGTGGTAAAAATTGATAATCTTATGAGTGAAGAAAAATTAGGTTTAAGACCTGATGCATTATTAGATGGTCAAGATATTGGTACAGATTTCCGTGGTAGATTACAAAAATTGAAAATTTTAATAAATTCAAGAATTCATGAAACTCAAAATCAAAGTATTGAATTACAAGAAGAATTAGATTCTATCAATGAAACTATTAATGAAAAAGCTGAACAAATTGAATCATTAGAGAACAATTTATCAAGAAATAAAATGGAATATGATAAAATGTATGATACAATGACACAAACTATAAATCGTTATCATGCAGAAATTGAAAGATTACAAGGTGAAATTCAAGATTTACAATCAAATTCTAAACAAAGTACGTTATTATTAGAACAACAAGTTAAAACAGTTGAAATGGAATATCAAAGATATTTAAGTAATATTCAACAAGAAAGAGAAATTTTACATTCAAAAGCTCAAAAAATGATGGATGATGTGATTACTTTCAAATTAAACATCCAAAATTCATTGGATGATTTAGAAGGTAAAACTATTGAAGAGATAGAAAAACATAGAAATGGTGAATTTTAATACAAAAAGTACTAATGTATAATGACTTTGATTTGTTTTTGCAGTTTATTTATTTCGAAGGGTAATGGAGTTTTTTTTTAATTATATGGTTTACAATTTTGTATTATATATATAATCGTTATTAATTTGACATTGTTATTGACATTTATATAAAGTTGTATATACAACAATGTAGTTTTAAAAATTGTTTTAATCGTATCCCATGTAAGTAATATATAATATATTAACTAAATTGTTTGTTTGTTCTTTCTAGTTTTTATGATGAAATCAATATCATCATGATATAGTAATAAATAAAAATCAATGACGAAATATAACATTGTCATCATTTCTTAGCTTTCTTATAATACATTTTTTGAATCAAAGGATGATGTTCCTTCAATTCTTTATTCTTATTCGAACTGTATTCAATATATGCCATATCTTCACCACCAGCCAAACTTGCCAATGAACCAGCAGTTCTTTGAGCTTTAACTTTACCATTATTACTACGTTTAGTAACATTATTACCACGACCAACTGAATTATCAGCATCATCACCAACTTCTAAACTTGCAGCATCTTCATTCTTTAATAACACTTCTTGTAATAATTCTCTTCTTTCTCTTGCTGATGCATATGCTAAATCTGGTAAACTTTCCATACCATGTAAATGTGTAATAACTTTAAAAGCATAACCTTGATCAACAAGGAATGCTTGTCTTTTAGTAGAATAATACATTTCTTGTGTATCTTTTGAAACTAATGAATAGAAAAATGCATTAAAACCTTCATCATTTCTTCTCTTGGCTCTTAAGATTCTACCTAATCTTTGAGCTTCTTGACGACGTGAACCATAATGAGATGAAATTTGAATTAAACAAGTAGCTTCTGGTAAATCAATTGATGTATCACCAACTTTTGATAAGAAAATTGTATTAACTTGATCATTATATTGGAAATTTTGTAAAATATTCATACGTTCTTGTTGTGGAGTTGAACCATAAATAAATGGTTTACCTAATTTTAAAGCATATTCTTGTAATGCATAAACATTATCAGCGAAAACAATAATTTTATCACCACGTTTTTCATGATATTGAATTAAGAATTGACATGCTTGAAATTTAGTTGGATTCATAATATATAATAACATTCTTTTACGTGCACTTTCACGTAAATATTCTTGATAAAATTCAGCAGTCATTGGACACCAAACTTCTGCACATTGAACATTTGCAATATGACCTTTTTGCGCAAGATCCATCCAATTAGCTTCATATAATTTAGGGCCAATTAAGAAATTCAAATCACTAATTTTATCATCTTCTCTAACTAAAGTAGCAGTTAATCCTAATTTAGCATGTGCAGCAATAGTTGTAACAACTCTTCTAAACATAGCAGCAGGAACAACATGAACTTCATCCAAAATAATAAACCCCCATTCTCTTGAAGTTAAGAAATCCATAACTTTTTGAGAATCATGAGATCTATTTCTTGTATTAGCAACCATTGAATAAGTTGAAACAACTAACCCAGATTCACTATGAAACATTTCTTTATTATCAGATGTGAAAACTGCAACACTTTCAGGTTGAATTGTACACCATTGTAAAAATTGTTGTCTCCATTGCATAACTGAAACAGATGAAGTACATAAAACAATTGTTGATTTTCTAATAGTACATGCAGCAGTAATACCAACTAAAGTTTTACCAGCACCACATGGAAGCACAATAATACCAGATCTTGCACGACCATTACCAAACATCTTACTTAATGATTTTTCTTGATAAGGTCTAATTTGTGTTGATGGTTTTAAATCAATATCTAGATCTGGATTTCTTTGATCATTACGGAAATCATATTCTTCTAAAACAGGATAATCAATTTCTTGACATCTTTTTTTAACAATTTCCACGGAATCATTTGAAATTTCAAATGAATGAACAGCATCAATATCATCCTCTTCTATATCATCTTCTTTAGCACCAACAACAGATGCATAAATATCTTCTACTGTACCATCTGTTTGTCCTTCTTGTCCATTTGATGGTTTAGTTCCTGGTATTTTCAAATCACCTTGTTCTGGAGCTTTACCTGAAGTTAATCCATTAGCAGAATCTGATGAATCTATTCTTAACGGACCCAAAACTTCATCTTTTAATAACATTTGTAAAATATCAGCCTGTGTACTTTCCACAAAATATCTATTATGTTTTAAAACTAATTTAACTTTACCATAAGAAATTGTAGCACCTTTAATAAAATCCACAATTGATGTGGCAACTGGAACTTTTGAAAGACGATTCAAAACTGATATGATATCATCAGTTTCTAAACCAACAGAAACAGCAGCATAAAGAGAATAAGCAGTTATACGATATTCATGAATATGACTTGGTCTACTAATTGGTTCAGCAATTGTAACTAAGAAATCTTGAGCTTGTTCAGCTAATGGTGAAAAACTTTCCAATATAATTCTACCATCACTTGGAGAAATCCAAATTGGTCTTGAAGCATGATCTGGTTTTAATTTTAAATATGAAAAATCATTTTTATTAAACATTTTAGATACAACATCTGGTACATAATCAGGTGGAATATCTAAATTTGGACCAGCTTCAACCAACACATCTTCATCTTCTGCATCCTGTTGTTTCCTTTTTGTTCCTCTATTAGCAGTGGGGTTTTTTATCTTTAATGGAGCTTTTGGTTTTTTGTAATCATCATCTTCTTCTTCTTCAATTTCAGACATACTAGTATTAGTATCATCTGAAAAATCATCATCTGGGTTAACTAATTCATTGTAATTTTTGCGAGCACCTGAACGAAGAGACATGATAAGCAATGATAGGATATCTGATGATTTATCTAGTCTGAACTCGATCAAACTGATGCTAGAATCTCAATCCTGCTCAAATAAATTGAAGGCAAACTAAAACTCATATATTATCTTTATTATAAATTCAAAAGATCAATAAACCCAGACACCAATGTAAAAAAATATTACATAATCATTTATTCAACAATTCAAATTTATATTATATTAAAATTAAGTTAAATTACTTGAAATTATAAAGATTATTAAAGCTATTTGATGTTCTATATGCTAGTGTTATGTACTTGGTAGCTAAATAACTGATCAAAAAGTATTGTTGAGTAAAAAAATCTAGTGAAATAAATATATTCTATTGTACATATGAATGAAAGTAATTCTTTAATCAGTGAATTTATAAGAACCTGAAGCCATAGTGATGGAACCACCTTTATAAGAACCTCTTTTCATTTTATTTTTACCCTTTGTGAAATCTTTACCTCTAACCATACCTAATTTTTCATTAGCTTTTTCACCCCAAGTACCAGCAGCACCTTTATAAGTATTATCTTGTAAAGCTTCACCTTCAAATGAGATTTTTGATCTATCTATTCTTGAGAAATGTTTACGTTGACCTGGTTTTAATTCTGGTTCTTGGAAAGCTGGGATTGAATTTTCACGACTCGATAATGAAGCTGTACCTGAACTTGGTTCTGGTTTTTCTTCAATTTTTTGTTTCTTATTTGATTTTTTTGATGATTCATCTTCTGATGATGATGAAGAGTCTGAATCTGAATCTGAGGATGAGTCTGATGATGAAGATGAAGATGAGGATTCTGAATCTGAACGAGCTCTTTTCTTACTTGTTTCTTTCTTTTCTTCTTCAGAATCTGATGAGGATGAATCACTGTCTGAGGATGATGATGAGTCTGAATCTGAGGAGCTTGAGCTTGAGTCTGAGGATGATGAATCTGATGATGATGATGATTTTGATTCTAATTTTTCAGCGGCTTTGGTTTCAGTTTCTGATTCTGATGAACTTGAATCTGAATCTGAGGATGAGGATGATGAGGATGATGATGAGTCTGAGTCTGAAGAGCTTGAACTTGAACCAGATTCTGAATCTGATGATGATGAATCTGAACTTTCTTTCTTTTCTTCAATCTTCTTTGGTTCTTCTTTAGCTTCTTCTTCAGCGTCTGAATCTGAATCTGAGTCTGAATCTGAAGATTCACTTTCAGAACTTGAACTTGATTCATCATCTGATTCTGAACCTGAATCTGAATCTGAGGATTCTTCAGATTTTCCAGTTTCTTTTGATTCTTCAATTTTTTGTAAAAGTTCTTCTAATTTACCTTCTGGTTGAACTAAATTAACATTTTTTTTTTCAATTTCTTTCTTTAATTTCTTTGTAATTGAAGTGAATTCATTACGTTCAAGGTAATCAACCACAAGTGAAAGGATTTCTTGTTGTGAAGCCATCTTCTTTTTTAAATGAATGAATATATTTTTGTTGAATAAAACTTGCCACAATTCTTTTAATTTTAATGGAGAGAAATATTTCAAATTTTTAAATTTTTTTTTTTCCTATCAAAATTTACTATGGAAAAAAAGAAAAAAAAAATTAAAAGATGGTGGTTCGTGCACTCAATCAACACTTTTATAAGCTACAACAACAATTAAATTAACAGTATTCATTATATGTTCATTAAATATTCATAAATTGTTAATTCATATCATTCATAATCTTGAAGAATATAGTTTTTTATAATTCTCTTCAAAAAGTTCACGATAAGGTTTCCCTAAATCTTGATCAATATTACCATTTTGACCATCAACATTATTATTCAAACTATCAAGAATAACTTTAATAATACTACCAGGTGCTTCACAATTTAATAAATGACCACCATCTATATCCAAAGGTTTAACATATTTCAATTGATTTCTTATTTTTTCTGAACTTCCTTCTGGTGTCCAAGTTGATTGTTTCCCCATTACATGAATCACTGGTACGTTAACATTTGATAAAACTTCTTTCCATATCTTAATTGCAGGGCCTCCACATAGGTAACAAATCATTTGATGTTCTTTTGAAGTTTTAGCATAAGTTGAACCATCTTTTTTAATAATTTTCTCAGATTCTAAAAAATCATCAAGAATTTCTTTATTAAAATTTTTAAATATACTTTTTTTTCTAAAATAAGAATCAAATTCATTTTCACTAGGGAATTCTGTTTTAATAATCTTATTTAAAGAACGATTCATCTTTTCCATTTTAGCAGTATATGAATCATCACCATAAATCACAGGTTCAATAATTATAGCATGTTCAAACATCAATGGAGCCAAAGTACAAGCATAAAGAGATTGATACCCACCCATAGAATGACCAATAACAACATTACTACCTTGTAACCTTAGACTTTTAGCCACTTGAATCAAATCATGAGCACCTTCTCTCCAATCAGCAGCATAACCTAATCTACCATTATTTTCAACTGCACTTTCACCATGACTAACCAAATCAATAGCTACAGCGTTAACTAATTGCCATGATAAAGAATCTTCATTATCTTCCGAGTATTGGAATAATCTCTTGATATGATATTGCCATATAGCTTTAGTCATCCCAGTACCAGCCATAAAGAATAAATTAACAGCTCTTCTATGATTACTCTTTCTATCTCTTTTTAATCTATAATGATCAAACACAACAGCTAATGAAGCACCACTAGGTATAGTTGAATGCAGTGTCATTCTTGGGAATTCAGCTTCCACCACTTTCACATACTTATCATATGGTTTTGACATGTCTTTGATGATTTGTTTAGTATACATCATGAATATCAAGAAGAAGATAATAACGGGGCAATCATTTACCTTTATACAATCAACAAAATATTGGCATCACCACTATCACCACCACAAAGTTTAAACAATAGACATTGATTACTTTTCTTTTCGGCTATTTCTTGATTGTCACTAAATTCTGATTTGCTTTTAATTTGCCGTAGTCTTTATGAGTGTTTTTGCCAAACATCACGTATTCAAAAAACAATTTGGAAAGACCGAAAGACCCCTCATATATTTAAAATTCGAGGGATTTGACTGTCATTTACAAAAGTGTCATTATACATTATAATAATTAATATACCCGTATATTCGCATTTATTTAACCGTCCTTGAAAAAATTATATAAATATTAGTTATAGTTTGGCTAATGGAGCCTTTAATTGTTCATGATTTGATGGTACCTGTACCTCTTTGATCTCTCCTACCCTTTGTTGTTGTTGTCTTTTTTTCTTTCTAAAGACAAGATTCTTCTTTGCATGTTCATTATATCCTTTATTGAACAATGTAGTATATTCTTTATGATTTAATTGTGGACGATCAGTAAAATCAACTTCATCAGTATTTAAGATATATTTATTTAATGATTTTATAATTATCCCCAAGATATCTTCTGGATGTTCACCGTTAACTAAATGTCTTCCATGTGGGATATTATAAGGATCTAATTGTTTTATATGATTTCTAAAAATTTTAGCATGAGCTGGTATAGTCCAATCTGATTTATCACCTTGGATATGAACCAATGGAATATCAATTCTTTCAACAACATCTAATCCAATTGGAACTACTTTTTTGGATGATGTATATGAAATCATTTGTAATTGTTTATTAGTCTTCGTGGAAACTTTACCATCTGAATGAATTAATTTTTCAGATTCAATGAGATCATGTAAGATTTCTTTATTAAATTTAGTGAAGAATCCTTTATTCTGGAAATAATCATTAAATGAACTTTCATTTGGGAATTCAGTTATTAAAGCACGATCAACAACAGCCATTAAATTATCCCACATTATTTCAATCTCTTTATTCATATATCTTTCACCAATATTTGATACTGGTTCAATTAAAATCATAAATCTAAATAATGCAGGTGATAAAGATGCAGCAAACATTGTATGAAATCCACCCATTGAATGTCCTACACCAATATTAAAACCTTCAAAATTTAATTGATTAGCAATCTTATTCAAGTCTCTACCACCATCTCTCCAATCATATTCATAACCTAATTTCCCATTATTTAAAATTGCAGATTCACCATGAGTTGCAGAATCAATAGCAATAATATTATTAATTTGCCAACTTAATTCAGGATGATTAAATGAATAACTCATTAATCTTTTAGCATAATATTTCCAAATGGATTTATTCATACCTGTTCCATGACAAAAATATAAATTTATTGGATGTCTCTTGGGATCTTTAAACTGTGGACGAATCTTATAATGATCCACAACTAGTTGTAATTTAGAATTTGGGGGTAATGTTGAATATTTAGTGAATCTAGGGAAAGCCCCATCAAAGACTCTTTCAAACTTATCATAAGTTAAAGACATTTTCTCTTTAATATTATATTGATACTATGATATTATGGGTGAAACTTCAAGGAGAACAAGAGATTTGGAATAAGCAAGTAATATACGAACAACCAGACACACAGTAGAACAATCAGAGCTTTGCAGATACTATACTAGCACAGAATAACCAGTTTACCAACCAACTTTTCAATGGATAACCAGTCTAAACTCTGAGCTTCTTCTACCTTAACAATAAATAAATAAAACATAAATCTAAACAAAATGCAATTTAAGAAATCAAACAGATTTATAATTTGAAATCGAAATCCGTGTTTTCTTGTCTTCGCTTAGTGGGATTCACAATTACGCTAAAAATTGAAAAACGAGCATCCCGAAATTTGAAATCCCTTCTTATCTCATCAACTCCAAATTCTGTCACATAAAGGAACATAATAACGCATGTAACAAGCAGTCCTTTACCAGGCAACATAGGTAGCTTCCATTTCGTCAGTATATTACTTTAAGTAGTAAGCACTTGTCAGACTAATGGCCCATATATCATAGATCTGATCCAGTGTTGAAGATTGAAAATTGTCGAATTAGTACCTTGTCACTACATTTCTTAACTACTGTAAATCATGCTTAGTAAAACATGCACGGACTATTATAAGAATGGTATTTAACTAAAATGTATTAAAACAATATTGGAACTAAACATTAGATCATGATTCATTATATGGAAACTGGTGTTATTTGTGAGTTGAATAAGTGATAAAAAGACTCACTATATTGGGTATAAAAAAATTTATAATAATTGTAAATTGTGAAAATTGTGAAAAAAATATTAATACCTTTGTTTGTGAGATGTAAATTAAGAATCTGGATTACTATCAGTCCTTATATCAACTTCTTCATCTGTTTCAACATTCGTATCAGCATTCGTATCATTTGAAGAAGGTTGTTGTATTGTTTGAGAACCTTGTGAAGTTTGAGATAATTCTTGAGTTGAAATATCTTCTTCATCCGTAGTATTTGATTCTTCATATTCTGTATCACTATCAGTTTCAATAGCATTATCATTATTAGGTACTGATTGATGTTGTGAACTTGAATTTGAATGACTTGATAAACTTTCTCCAAATGATAATTTTTGCTTTGGTAAATGTTGTTGATTTGAAGTATTTAATTCTAATTTAGATTTAAAACTTTGAGGTGATGATAATGACATTAAACTTTCTATAGCTTCTGCCTCAGGGTTTTGATTCTTATCTTGTTGAAATTTATTTGCATCTATTCTTAAATTGGTTTGTAAATTTGGTCTTTTTTTAGGTGATCTTGATTTTGATATAGCTTGTAAAAATGCTCTATTTGCTGAACCATCATCATTTTCAAATTCATTTATATGAAGAGAATGATCAATTTTAATCTTTGTTGGGGATTTAAGTAAATTATTTGAATTTGGTTTTGTAATTTTTGATGGTGATTTATTTTTACGTGGTGATGATTTAACTTGAAGATGATTCTGTTGTTGTTGTTGTGTACTATCCCAAAATTCTTCATATGTTTTAGGATCCCCTTTTCTCTGTGAAGATACTAATTCATGGAATGGTTCATCTAAATCAGAATCTTTATTCATTACATTTTTTTCTAATTCATCTAAAGATTGATTAGCCCAACCATGTTGATATTTAACAAATGCATAACTTAACCTTGCTTTTAAAGTTGAAGAAATTTGTCTAATTGGAGGTTTTTCTAATTCTTCTTGATCATCTCTATGAAATTGTGATGGTGATTTTAAAGGTGATGTTGTTAAATCTGTATTAGTCTTACCAGAAAATGGAGTTTGTGGAACATTTGATAATCTAAATTTACCTGATGAATTTAATGAAGGTGTAGTTGGTGGTAAATTTGGTATAAGATCACCTGGTGATTGGAAATTACCAATTGATAATTTCCTTCTTTGAGATGGAGGTGTTTGAGGTATTATATCTTCTTGTTTTTTATCATCATTATTATTAGAATCTGATGTAATTGATGATGAACGTTTCTTTCTTTCAGGTGTAGAAGGTATCACTGGTTCTTTAACTAATTCTTGTTCTCTTTTTGGTGATTTTATAATTGAATTATCTGGTTCTGTCATGTTTATAGTATATCTTTTATTAATCCGAAATGACTTATAATCAAAATAGTACTTGTGAATACTCTCAACTTTCTCTATATGTTAAAACTTCTACTTCTTTACAGCCACTATACTCTTTAAATCTACTTTTCAAATGACTTTAACAATGTGTCTGAATAGGAGGCAAATTTTAAAATATGACTCGTTGATAATGATTAATACCCGAATGTAAACACAATATTTTTAAAGAAAAACAAAAAAAGGGATTGGAATTATGTCTCAAAAAGATGCTATGATAATCTATGAAATGACGATGCAATAATTGATAGTAACTATGGTTATTTGAAAGCCTTTAAAAGATGTAACAATTCAAAATGTATATCCAGTGTCCACTGTCTATAATAATTATGGCTGTAGCGGTTTTTATTTGTATTTTGAATTTTAAAATTGTTTCTATAACAACAAAATTTCTTCTTTTTTATGGAAATTCGCTAACTTTTTAATTTTTATTTGAAACTCGAAATTTGGTGGTTTTCTAAATTTTTTACCAAAACAAAAACAACACGAAAAAAATTGACCGTTTAAGGAAATTCGACGTTTTGGGATTATGATAAATTACATCAATTTGAGGTTTAACATGTGAATGGGTGTACGTTATTTAATGTCTTTAAGTGACTTGTGAATCAATTGATATTTGAAATTGGATACTCCTATGTCAGTCACAAGATAATCTCATGTGTGTTCATATGTTCCCATGGGGCTGGTTCTAACTTGCTGGTTTAGTCCCTACTTGGAAGTTGAGTATGAATTTCAATCGAGAACTTAAAAAGAACTTTACGTAAGTACAAAGGTACGTAGGTACGCTTAGCCGGCTATAACGAGATAGGTACGCTTTATCAACTTGTATTTTTAGTTGGACTGATAAGTTGCAACTTGCTATCGTATGAGACAGCTAGAAAATACAATTACTTGTTAAATACTTACAGACCTCCTTTTATAGCTGTCTTAAACGTCTGAATCTGGATGTGAAAGACATTTCACAAAATTAGTTTGAAATTATCCAACTACGTCTACAATCAATTGATAACAATATATGTATATAAGCTAGCTGTGATAGTATATATAGCTATACTGAAAAGACTATATCAATTGATCGATTGAAAGGGCCCTCATCAAAATCATATTCATTCTAATACCTAGGTTATGTAAAATTGGTTAAAATTTTTTTATAAATTCTTTGCAATTCACCATTATGAATTTGAATCCAATCATGATTATAACATTCTAAAATGTCTAACCTTTTATCAATATTAACACGTAGTAAAGATGAAACAAAATCTTTAGCTAAAAGTGAAACTTTTGACCATTGTCTTAATTTAAAATTTAATTGACCTTTTTTAGCACTTTTAATAATATTTAATTCATTACCATCTTCATAAAATGGTGAAATTCCACTAAGCATAATATGACTTATAATACCTAATGACCAAATATCACATTTTGAATCATAACCTCTTTTAACAAGTGATGATTTAGTTAATATACCTTTTTTAAAATCAGGATTTTTTTTCAAATCAAATCCAACTTCTGGTGCACAATATTCAGGTGTACCAACAACAGTAAACATTCTTCTCTTTGTTGAACAAATTGATTTAGCTATACCAAAATCTGCTAAAACAACTTTAGTGAAAGGTTCTGGTGTAGCTAATAAAATATTATCTAATTTTAAATCTCTATGAACTATTCCATTTTGATGAAGATAACGTAATGCATTTGTGATTTGATAAACTATAACTAATGCTTCAAATTCTGGTATTGAACATAATGAATTACCTTTAGCTAAATATGAAAAAAGATCACCACCACAGATTCTGGTTGATATTTGTTAGTATCTGTATATATAGTGATTCAAGCTGTGTTTTTTAATACTTACAAGTCTTCAAAGATATATAAATGCTCACCAATATGATTAGCTTCATGAACTTTTATGATATTTGGCTATAATAATGTTTGTTAGTATGTTATTGAGTCTTTTCATAAAAATATATCAGAAGCTTGTCAACATACATGATCCAATTTTAATAAAACTTTAGCTTCAAATTGAATTAAATTAGTTCTATTCTTTATGATTTTTACAGCACATAATTTGGAATCTTGTTTCCTTTTAGATACAAAGACCTTTTGAAAAGTTAGTTGATCATCAGCATTATCAATCGAATATAAGTATATCTTAGGTATCATCTCATACGTATCCAAAGGTACCATTTCCTAAGATCCTATTACTTATTGACCATCCAGGTAACTCTTTGACAATAGAACTTTCATTCATTATAGCATCACCATATTCAGCTTCTTGATTACCAAAGATTGATTGATATTCAAGTTCAATACCATATTCAATTGCAATTGTATCTAAATGATTCAATAACACTGTAGAGTTCTTAGCAATCTTAACATCATTGATATAAGTACCATTTAATGAAACATCTTTCAAATAGATTAAAGGAATTGAATTATCATCAAATTGAATACTCCAAATGACACAATGAGTACCTGAAATGGCTGGATGATTAATTGTTATTGTATTACCAACGTTTCTTCCAATTGATGTTTTTTGATTTTTTATTATTGGGAATGAATCTTCAATTCCTGTATCAACTTCACCAAATTCATTGAATCTATCAAGAACAATAAGTTCACCAAATTGTGGAATGTCTTCTTCAATCAGTGCCATATTAAATTTCGTCTACCTTAAAGATCGATCTGATTCAGCTAATGGAACAGAATTGACCCAGCTTTAAACCAACGTCAATATCAACATGATTTCAATATAACAACAAACACTTTAAAGTAATTTTCACACCAAATTAAATAATTAGCCGCCAACATGATTCAAAAGTTTTTGTTTTTCATATTGGGATCTGAATATATCTGATAATTTGCCGCTGACACCAAAAAAAAATGCTTTTCCTAACTAAAACAACCAATAAAAAGCTCAAAACTTCGGAATTGAAATTCGTACATAGTCAAATAGATTGGATGAATTATAAAAATTAAAACTATTCCTTTGAATCACTTCCCTTTAGAAGATCAAGGGCGAAAATAGCAAAAAGAAAATAATCGGGCCGAGCAGGGAATTGAACCCTGGGCCACTCGCATGCTTGTGGATATTAGATTGAGTGAACCCAATCTTCGCCCAAAGCGAGTATCATACCACTAGACCACACGGCCGAATTATAAAATTTGAAAATGTGCTGTTTTTTGCGTTCTGCAGCCCCCATTATGGTTCGGCCACCGTCAATTTCTGCTTTGGGCAAAAGGTAAACAAACATTTTTGTTGATGTTTTTCTTTTATATCAACTAAATTAAAGGTTGAAACATGAAAGTTTTGACAGACACCTTCATTAATCAACTATCAAATAGAGAACACAATAAGTGAAAAAGCATATTAATCATGGAAGAGTTTGGCGCTCGAGATATAAACAAGCCAAATGACGATGGGATCTCGTCAGGAAGATTAAACTTATTATCATCACCTTTGAAGATTTCATTAGCCAGTACACAGTCTCAACAGCAACAACAACAATTACAATTACAACATATCAACAAATCCTTGAGATCCAGTACATCTGCCATTGCAACACCGCAAGAGGAAAATGGTGATTTTGCAGTGATATCAAATCAATTTACAAGTCTTATTGAACAATTATCTAAAATTTATACTGAAATTGGTTATTCTAAAAATGATATACAAAAAAATGAAAAGAAATTATTCACAGCGGTATCTAATACATTTGATCAGTTTTTGGAAGATTCATTGAATTATAAAAATGATTTGATTAAACAAAATAATGAAATCACAACAAACTTGAAAATCATTTTAAACATTCTTGATGATCCAACTGGTAATAAATCTATACCTGATTTATATTTGAGGAATCTAGTTGTTAAAGAAAACCAAGAAACTTCAACTCTATTGAGTAAGAAAAAATCATTGAATATAGCGGTGAATCATGTTATGGGGAAATATCAAAGTACAATGTTAAAATATTTAGAAAACTGTATGAAATTAAACAAAATCCAATCAAGACTTGGTGATGATGTTGTTTCAAATGATGATGGAAAAGCTTTAAATATACCAAATTTAGAAAACTCAATAAGTATCTTCAATGTTTTTGAATCTTCAACTTCAAGTTCTGAGATTTATGAAATGGTTGCATCAGATCCAGAAACTTTTTTCCAAAATTTATCATTATGTGACTTATCAATTATTAAATTTGATTTAATTACTTCCAAGACACAATTTTGTGAAAATCAAATCCATGAAAGATTAATATTAGTACAATCGTTATCATCTGAGATTATTGAACTCTCAAAAGAATTGGAAATTGATTATAATAATGATTACATCACATTAGCAGAAACAATACAAACATTCACAACACCAAATACTGATCTCAATCAATTCAACATAGGACAAGATATAATCAATGAATTAGAACGTGTAATTCAAGAACTAAAATCAATAAAAGAATCTAGATTCGAACAAAAACAAACATATCAAAAACAATGTGAAGAATTATGGGTTAAATTAGGTGAAGAACAAAGTCAAATTGAAAATTTCCAATACATCAATAAATCATTATCAATTATTAGTATACAAAACTATGAATCAGAGCTAGAAAGACTTTTGGAGCTGAAGAAAGTCCTAATGAAAGATCTTATACTCGACGCAAGAAATAAAATAACAGAATTTTGGGATTTATTATTTTATTCTGATGAAGAAAGAGATAAATTTTCACCATTTAAAAGAGAGATTTATGATGATCAAACATTAAGTGAACATGAAGAACAAATTGAATCTTTATCTAAGAAATATGAAACTTATAAACCAATATTGGATGGTGTTCAACAATTTAAAGATTTGATACAAGATAAACAACAATTAGAAATTAGTTCAAAAGATTCTTCAAGATTATTACAAAGAAATTCACATAAAATCTTAATGGAGGAAGAAAAAATTAGAAAAAGATTATCAAGACAATTACCAAAAATTGTGGAATCTTTAAAAATTAAATTAAATGAATTTGAAAAAAATTATGGTTATCAATTTACATTTGTTGATTCAGAAATTTTATCACAAATTGAAGAACAAGGTAAAAACTTAGCGAATAGTGGAAGAGCATCAACAAGAAGAGTTGTAAGTGCTGGTGCAGGTGCAGGAACTGGCTCAACTGCACCAACACGCCCAACATCAAGAGCAGTTTCAAGACAACCAACAAGACCACCATCAAGAGCTCCATCAACACAACCAACTAGACAACCAACTAGAGCACCAACTAGACAACCTTCAAGAATGGCATCACGTACCACCTCAAGATTAAATTCTCCAACAAAACCAATACCAGCAAACCCAGCGCCATTATCAAATAATAGCTCATCAAGATTACCAATACAAAGCGTTCAAGGTATTAGAAAACCATCAGTACCAATCCCCTCATATAAAAGACCAACTCTGGCTTCAAGACCTTCAATACCCAAATCTCAATCATGTATACCCAAATTATCATCCCCACCAAAAGATTCAAGATTAAATATAAGTTCAAATATGTTGAAAGATCCTTCAATACGAAGAACTCCAATAAGAGCAACACCATCATTACAAAGAAGTACAAGTTCATTTCAACCACAATTATCAAGATTAGATGAACAATCATTAACAGGGAGTCCCAAATCAAGAACCAAACCAAGATTATCACCTTTAAAAGAATCTAATAGATCAAATTTACCATTATCAAATTTAAAATTAAAACCTAGTGTTAATACAGTAACAACATCACCTTTAAAATCTTTGAAAAAAGATGAATATAGTTCACAAGAGAAAATTCATGAAGAAGATGAATTGATAAGTTCTGATGTTGAGAATGATACTTATTCAAGTTGGAGAAGAGAACAACTACAAAGATTAAATAAAACTTCAATTGATCTGAGACAAGATACTTTTTAAAACTTGAAGTTTATGAGTTATTTGTTACTTTTATTAATAAGATAGATGATTTGTTATTTTATGTGTTTTATATTACTTTTCTATTATTATATACCCCTAATTGTTTTAGTATACGGACATTCGTTTTTTATATATAATTACAATGTAATGATAATCAACCACTTTTAATTATTAATCATAAACAACAGGTTAATGTGATCACCATTTTTTGGCTTCCAGACCATCTGGTGGTGAAGTTTCAACTTTTTTAGAACCAACTTCATCCCAATTTGTACTTAAAGCAGTACCATTACTTTCCAGATAAGATTTCATCATTGCACGTTTACCTTCTTCACTAGCACCTGCATAAATTTTTTTAAAGAAAGCATCTTCACCACCTTCTTCTTCATCATCATCTTCAATTTCAAATTTACTCCAATCTCTTGCATTTTTAGCAGATGATGGATAAGCAATTCCTGAAGGTTTTGAAATTTCTTCAATCGGAATTGGTTTAGGTTTATTCTCAGATAATGAGATATTTTTGGTAGGATTCAATATAGCTTGTTTCATTTGGGAATCAGATTCATCTTTTTTATTAGATTCATCATTCCCATTAACTAATTGAGTAGTTTCTTGACCACGTTGTTCAATTTGTGTCCAATCAATAGAAGTATCAACTTTAACCAAGATTAATTGAATTGTAGTTTCATTAACTAAGAAATTTGATGATTTAGGATCAATTTTAGCAAATAATGGATCAATTTCATATTGAAATTCTGAACTGTTTTTGGTTGGATAGTCAATTGATACAGAAGTTTCAGTAAATTCAACATTAACTAATTTCTCATCTTTTGGAACTTTATCAATGAAAATATTGATTATAACTTTATCATCACCTTGTTGTAACATATCAAGTCTAATACCTTTCCCTTTGAAAGTTGATGGTGTTTGTGGTTGGGTTTGTGTTTGTTCTTGTGATTGAGATGATGATGTTGTTGTATTTGTACCAGCACTTGATGGAGTAGAATCAGGATTATGTATAGCTGTCCAATCAAGATCTTTCAACTCTAATTTATCAGCCTTTTTATGTAATTTAATGAACCATAATTCAACTTGTTGTTTATCAAATGAATATTTTTTTGCAAGATTTAAATATTCAATAGCTAATTGTAATTCATTTTGATTATAATAATACAGGAAATATTTATGGAAAACAGTGGCTAAATGAGTTCTATTACCTCTATCTTTAGCAACTTTACCAGCTTTACCCAATACTTTAAATGTTTCATCATATTTTTTCAATCTTTGTAAAGCAGTAGCTTTACCAATCAATGCCTTGAAAGCATTTGGATTCTCTTTAAGTGCTAATTCAAATTGGACAAGAGCTTCGTCCAGTTGTTGATCATCTAGCAGCTTGTTCCCGTTCAGGATAATCTTATCAATGGCCATATTTATCACTTATAGTAACACCTCTTCTTCTTTGAAATCAATTCCACAATAATCAAGTCAAATTCTACAAAAGTTTATGATCCTTTCTCAATTCTGACACTAAAATGAAAGTAAATCAAGTAATCAAAAATAAATTCGCGGATACTTTAAATTGTTGTGTCCAGAACCGAAAAAAAATTTCAAAGCGATGAGATACGAATTTTAATAAATATAACCAGTATAATTGATTTAATATTGATTATAATAACTTGAAGTACAAGGGTTTCTTGATAAAATGAGTGATACTATTGCTAGCTTGAACGAACCAAAGGTTCAGTGCTTAGTGCTTGATGCTACACCTCTTATAACGCAACATGTCTCCACATTACAACAACATGCTAAACAATTTTATACAACTCCAACAGTTTTCAAAGAAATTAGAGATGAAACTGCAAGACGTAATTTGGAATTATGGGGTGAAAATTTAATTCAAAGACATCCAAAACCTGAATTTATTAAAAAAGTTAGTGATTTTGCTAAATTAACTGGTGATTTCCAAGTTTTAAGTGCTAATGATATTCATATTATTGCATTAACTTATGAATTAGAATGTGAATTAAATCATGGTGATTGGAGATTAAGAAAATATCCTGGTGAAGTTTTACAATTTAATAAATCTAAGAAATCTGCTGAAGCGAGTGAATCAAAAGAAAATGATGTTAAAGAAGATCCAATACAGAATAATGATAATTTGGAAGAATCAAAAGAAGAATCTAAAGAATCAAATGAAGAACCACAACCAGAAGTTAAAAAGAAACAAAGACGTAGAGGTGGTAAGAAACAAAGAGCTAAAAGAGAAGCAGCATTACAAGCAGAATTAGATGATGAAGAACAATCACAACAATCTCAAGAACAATCTCAAGATGATACACTAACAGAAACCACTAATAAATTAGAATCATTAAACATTAAAGAATCAAATGAATCATCAAATCAAGAATTAACTCAAGATTATGATGATGAAGAAGATGATGGAGATTGGATTGATCAAGATAATTTATTACAAGAAATGATTAAAGATAGTGGAGAAAAAATTGAAAAACAAACAGAATCTATAACAAAAATTAAAGTTGCACTTTCAACTCAAGATTTTGCATGTCAAAATGTTTCATTACAAATTGGATTAAATTTAATGAATACATTATCAGGATTACAAATTAAAAGAGTTAGAAATTATATGTTAAGATGTTATGCATGTTTCCGTATTGTTCCATTCCCTAAGGATGGTAAACCAAAACATTTTTGTTCTTATTGTGGTGGTCAAACAATTTTAAGATGTGCAGTTAGTGTTGATGCAAGAACTGGTGAAGTTACACCACATTTAAAAGCAAATTTTGAATGGCATAAGCGAGGTGATCGTTATTCAATTGCTTCACCATTAAGTAAAAATTCACAAAAAAGATTAGGTAAAAAAGGTTTTGTTCATAATAAATCAAATAAACAAAAAGAATATCAAGAACCAATTTTAAGAGAAGATCAAAAAGAATATTCAAAAGCTATTAAAGATGATGATTGGTTAAGAAGACAAAATGAAAAAGTCTTGAATGATTGGATTGGTGGTGGTAGTGCAGATAATGTTATTTCACCATTTTCTGCTCAAGGTTTTAGATCAAGTGGTGTTAAAGTTGGTAAAGGTAGATTTGTAAATTCTTCAAGAAGAAGATGAATGTAAAATACACTTTAAAATATTGAATTCCTGTAGATATGTATTAGATTGATTTATTTCTATATATAAAATCCTTATTAATCTTTCTATAATCAATTACATTCAAACAGAAAAATTCAAAAATGTAATAAATAAATAAAACGTTATGGACATAACTTCATCAAATTATTTTGTTAATCTTAAATTAATTATTTTTCAGTAACAAAAGTTTGACCTTTAGCAATGTTTTTAACTAAAGCTTCTTTAGCTTTTGAAATTAATTCTTCTTCATGAGATGAAATTTCACCTAAACCATGAATTTTTGAAACACCTTCTGGACCTAAAGTAACTTCAGTTGCAAAGAAATCAATACCTTCATTTTGGAAAATTGGATTTTCAACAAAAGTTGGTTCAATAATATCTTTCTCACCATCTAAACCTTTTAAAACAGCACCTGCAAATCTTGCACCAGCTTGAGCCATTGATAAAGTGGCGGAACCAGCACCATCTTTAGCTTTAACAACTTCATCACCACCAAATTGAATTCTATGGATTAAAGCATCTCTAACATCTTCTTTTAAATCTTTATGAGTAGTTTGAGATAATAATGGAACAATTGTGATACCTGAATGACCACCAACAACTGAAACTCTTTCATTAGCTGGGTTAGTACCAACAACTTCTGAAAGGAATCTTGAAGCTCTCAAGACATCTAATGTAGTAACACCAAATAATCTATTCTTGTTGTAAACATTTTTTTGTTTGAAAACTTCACGAACAATTGGAACAGTTGAGTTAACTGGGTTTGAGATAACTAAGACATTAGCATTTGGAGCATGTTCAGCAACAGCTGAAGCTAAATCTCTAACAATTGAAGCATTGATATTGAATAAATCATCTCTAGTCATACCAGGTTTTCTTGGAACACCAGCTGGGATTAAGACAACATCAGTACCAGTTAAAGCATTTTTTAAACCATCATTTTCTGGAGTGAAACCTTCAACTTTTGAATCAGTTGGAATATGAGAAATATCAGCGGCAACACCTGGAGCACCTTTTAAATCATATAAAGCTAATTTAGTAACTCTATGGTTTAATTTTAATAAAAGGGATAAAGGTTGGCCGATACCACCACCAGCACCAAGAACAGAGACTTTATAGTTTTGAGCAGCGGATGAAGAGAAGGATCTTTTTGCGATTCTAGAGAACATTGTGAATATGGAGATAGATAAAATAAAATATAGTAGGAATAATATAGATATGAAATAAATAAATAAATAGGACAATCTGGCGGTATATAAATGAAAAATCACCAAACAATCAACGAACAACACTGATAAAATGAATGACCATTGCTTACCGCTCTTACTCAGCACTGACGTAACACAGACGTACGGTGTGTGCGCGTGTAAGCTTTGTTGAGCCAATCACAGGGGTTTATTACCAATTGACACAGGGGAATTACACGAAACGGTTCCGTTTGAAAATCAAAAGTCATGAATAGAATCGAACAATTTAAAAGGATAACCACGCAGTATTGACGGATAAGTAACCGTTGTTTGACTAGAAGGGAGAATAGGTAGACTATGGTACTATTACTACTCAATTGACTTCAATTGATATCTTGTTTGAGCTCAATTGGTATCCTTTTAGTCAAATTGTTTGATAGTAATCACGTGCATACGCTTTATAGGTGTTTGTTACCATCAGTTGATATAATGCAAGTACAAACTGTTAATCCATCAATTGAATGATCATTGATATACTATGATCTATCCTAATTCTTCCGTTCCATATTCCATAGAAATTAAACTACCATCTCAATTGATTAATGGTTAGATATCAATTGACAGGTGTCAATATAAATTTAAAGGTGTAAAATCTTGCATTGTTAATCAGGTAATACATCATTTCCAAAAATTTGATTCGTTAAGGTACCTTAAATCAGGTATTTCAAACACCATAATCATATGCATCTAATCTTGATCTTCATTGAAAGTTTAGCCTACTTTGCTACATTTGAGGTCCCTGAAACTTAAATCCTGATATACAAAAAGTGTACCTTGAACTATTAAGAATCTATACATTAAATAAAGGTGTATAATCATCATATCATCACCTCATGATTCAAGATTTAAATGAGCCTCTGATCTCAAGGGTGTAAACTCCATATCCTTAAATCCATCATCCGTTAAACACTTTCATAATTTATTTAGTCTTCCATTAAAGCTTTCAAAAGTCATTCAATATATATACCGTTCAATAAAATATATAAACACAACAATCATCAAAGGACAATAGGAATCACAAATTTATGTGTTCCATCCATTATAGCCATTTTTTTATATAAAGTTTCGAATGACCATAATCTATTACATCTATCCTATTTTTCCCAAAAATGGATGAATGTAAGCTACGTGTAAATTAACCGTCAAGTCTCGACGTTTATTGCCATGGTTGAATGGATTTAAACTTTTTTACGATACAAAGCTAGATTATTCATATGACTTTACATGTGAATCAAGTGTATTTTATACTCAATTAGCTCATAGAGATCTATTACACTCCTAATCACATAGAATACTGACCCTTGTTCTATAAAAAAAATTGTATTAATCCTAAAATAACATAGATTAACTTGTATAAAATTTCGGGTTTTTAAGCCCTTTTATGTAAAAACTATGTGAAGCAAATATAAAACACATTCGCGAGTGATTATCTAATCGACATTATTTAATCTATATGGTATAAATTATTAAATAAATAAATTAATTTGTATTAAAAGAGTAGTATATTTCAAAACGCAGTGGAATCAAAATATTATGTTTCATTTGTTTATATCATAAAAAAACAGTATTTCAAACTTTTTTTTTAATAATTTTTCAATTTCAAAAGAATTATCAACCTTATAAATTTTAATTTTACTTTAAAATTAAACACTTTCAAAATTATCAATAATTTTTCTTAGAAATTGATATAATTAGCTAGCTATATATTATATTCCATTAATTTAGAGTATAACAATATATTCAAATTACTACACTTATATACAAATTTATTAAAATAATTTTAATTTAAAATATTACATAATACAAAATATGTCAAAATTTAACGGGTTAAGAATAATGTATTACTAGTGTAGAGTTAATGGTGATAGTACTACTCTTAGATCTATTTCATGAACGATAAGATCAATCTTAATCAAGTAGATCAAGATCTTGAAGATTTAAAAACCATGATCTAGAGTATGGAGATCATTGATTATGATGTTTCATGGGTGATTTTTGTTCTAAATACTAAGTAGATCAAATGAATGTCAAAATTAACTACATGCTAATATGTTAAATAAAATCAAAACTGTATTAATATATATAAATTGTTTTCTTTGTAAAGAAACAAAAGAATGAAAGACAAAAGCTTTAGTCAATAAAACTAAAAAATTAAAATTAAATTATGCAAAACAAATTTTCATGTTAAATAATAAATTAAAGATCTATTGTAATTGATAAGTTAATTCTCTACTTGGAGCATTAAGAATAATACCATTTAAAATACCAGCAATTAATCCAGCACAAGGTAATGTGAATATCCAACCAAAATAACAATAAGCAACAATTCTCCAATTAACAGATTTAACATCTTTGTTACATAACCCAACAAACACTGTAGCACCAACAGCTTCTTGAGTTGTAGAAACTGGAATACCTAATTGTGTAGCCATAACTGTTGTAACAGCTGCACCTAATTCAATTGAAAACCCTCTTGAAGGAGATTGTAAAATTAATCTATTACCTAAATTTCTCATAATATTATAACCAAATGTCCAAACCCCTAGAACTAAAGCAGCTGCTGTATAACATAAGACCCAAATTGGAACATCAGCTTTCTTATCAACTTTATTTGTTGTATAAATGTTATAAACTGTAGCTAATGGACCTGCAGCATTTGCAATATCATTTGAACCATGTGCAAAAGACATTGTACACGCAGTAATGGCTTGTAACAAGGAGAATAAATATTCAATTTTATTATCATAATATTTAGATCTTGAATGCATATCTTTTAAATCACCAGATAATCCACCTTTTTGCATTTGATTTGAAATAACATCTTGAGTCCAACCATGAGAAATAACTAACCAAATTAATCTTGGCCATTGTTTTGGTTGTTTAGCTAACGAGAACCATAATTGTTTTGTAGTTTGTTTTGGAGCTAATGGAGTAGAAGGTTGTTGAGTAGTTGGTTGTTGTTGTTCAATATCTTGATATTTAGATTCCAAATTTTGTAAATCTCTTTCATAATTTGAAGCACCTTTATCACTTGAAGTTTGATCAACTTGAACATTAGTTTGATCTTTTTCAATGGTTTCTGAATCTTGTAAGATTGGTTCATCATCAGTATGATATTTACCTGCATAATAATCTGGAACTAATAAATGACCTTTTGGAATTGGTGGGATATCATCATTTGATTTAAAATAAAAAGTTGGGCCCAAAATAACATGATACCATTTTAATCTCCAATCTTCATGAATCAAACGACGTTTGAAATATGGTAATAAAAAGATGAAATAAATAATTGCAGCAACTGCACCAACACCAAAGATTGAACCAAGAATAGCACCAGTTGATAATTTATCTAATTTTAAATTTGGTGCACCTTTCCAAACAATCAACATGGTCAAGATGGCAAATGTAGCAAAGATTAAAACAGGCATTAAAATTAATCCATTTCTTAATGAATGTTTTCTTTCCAACACGGTATATTTTGAAATTAAAAAGAAAATTGCAGCAAAACAACCTGCAATAGCTGGTGCAATAAACCATGAGGCAACAATTTGTGAAAATCCATTCCAACCCCAATGAATATTTTTAGCACCAACAGCTGCAATACCTGAACCAATAACACCACCAACAATAGAATGAGTAGTAGAAACTGGTAAACCAAATGAAGTAGCTAAAGTTAACCAAAGTGAAGAACCAACAAGGGCACAAGCCATAGTTAATAATAAAACAGCAGGATTATCTTCAAAAACAGTAATATCAATAATTTTTGATCTAATAGTATCAGAAACTCTTGAACCAGCTAAAACAGCACCTAAAAATTCCATTAAAGCAGCTAAAATCATAGCTTGCCAATATTTAAGAGATCTTGAAGAAACTGAAGAAGCAAAAGAATTAGCAACATCATTTGCACCAATGTTCCAAGCATCTAAGAATGCAAAGATCATAGAGATTGCAAAGATGTAATCAAATTGATGTAATTTACCGCTCATTTTGATTATATATTTAGCTCTTAATTTTCCTTTGATGATTAGAAAGACCTAGTAAAAGAGTGGAAAATCTGGGAATAAAGAATATATTTATATAAAATAAAGATCGACATTATATGAGTATAACCGTTTCATTAAAAGTACGAGAGATTAATGAAATTAAAATATGGCTGTATTCAACCCATGTGCTCAATTAATTTAAAATATCAAACTCATAAAAACCAAGAGAATTTTGAACAGATGTAATTTTTTAATAAGGTAAAAAGTAAAAAGTATGAGTATTTTGTGCCAAGTTGAACACGATTGAGACGGTGTTGCACTTAACGGGGAGGAAATAGGCCCAGAGTTTTTGGTTGAATTGAGCCCACGTTGATGGTGAAGACTCAAGAGAAGGGATGGTGAAGGGAAGACAGTGAAGGTGAAGAAGGTGAAGGGAGAGTAAGAGATGGTGATGGTGATGGTATAGTATATGATAGTATAGTATAGTATCAAGAGTATAGTAATGTAAGGGTCCTTGTGCATAGTTGAGACGCGCACCAGAGTGGATGGATCATAGTATTACAATAGAGCACGTTGTCAGTATAAAAGATTGTCATCGTATGCTCAATTTCCAAAAGAGTGAAATGACAGTGAAGCAGCCAGACAGGAGCCCACAAGACTCAAGAAGTACACTCAAACTCACATGGGGTTATTTGATTAATGATAAACGTTTCTATATAATGATAACTGATCATCTTATTTACGAAACAACATACATCCATAACAAAGAAATAGAAGAGATGATACATAATACAATCATATTATTGTGTTTCTTTTGCTGATACCCTGTTACTCTATTACTGATCTATTACTCTAGTGTACTCCATACTTTGATATTTAGACACGTTTATTCAAGCCTTTAAGCCTCCATTCAATACTAAGACTAAAACATGGGCTTTTAATTGAATACCATTAATTGTTGGCGTATATTCATGGCATCTTGATATATACTGCATAGATCAAGATTTGATTAACACGTACTCTTGACTCTTGATAAACGTTTTCAAATGAATTCTATATACGATAACGGCAATTAAAGTTCTTATATACTGAGCGTTTCATTGATTATGTATGCAACCTACTCATCAGTGGCAATTAATAATACAATTGATATCCATTTTGTAGATATGTAGTACTGTCACCACAAAAATCTCATGAAAACTATAAAGTGGGCGCTTGAGCTATGATTCTGATCTAATCACTACATAGAATCTATTCTTTCAATAAAATCTATAATTTATATTCATCTAGTATATAAAAAACATATTTCCATAATCATCAGTAGTACAGTATATTCATGCAAAAATTCATTAATCATCAAAAACAATCCAAAAATCATCTCCCAATAGCTCACCAGCTATCAATTCCCAGATCCATCAGCCTTCTCAAATATATGATCAACACTACCACCAAGATATAATTTTAATTGTCTTTTAGTTGCAGGTAAAATTTTACATTTAACTTTTGCATCAGGTCCAATTCTTTCATAAGCTTGAAATCTATGACATCCACCAAATGCAAAATAATAAATTTCATCATTTTCTTTTATAGCCATAACATCTATTGGTGGTAATTCTCCATTAAGATCACGGGCTTCCTCAAGGGAACAAGTTTTTGATGCCATTGGTATACCTTTTAATTGTGATTCCATTGAATCTATCTTGTCATAATCTAAAACAGGTGGAATTGGTCTTTTGATTTGATTTAATGGTAAATATGAAATTTTACCAATGTTTCCTGATTGAATTGACATGTTTGATAATTGTATTCTTTATGTATCTTTATTATTTGATTGATTATAAACTTTCCTATCAAAACTTTATCTTTAAAGGTACTTTTCCACTTCTTTTATACTTTTCAATATTCATAATTCTAGAAACTAAATTGATTACTTATAATCCTTGCGGCTTATGTCATCCGCGCATAAGCACCATTGTTAAGCATATAAAATTACAAATCATAGAATAATCTATACTTCATTATTATTAATTTAAAAATTCATTTCATTAATATTATAAATATATACGTTTAAATTCATTACACCTTTATACCTTTCTAAACTTATTTGTGGTCTTCTTGTCATATATCTTGAACTCCCATAACAACTCTACCAAATTCCGCTTTTTCAACAATTTTATCAAATAAATTACCATTAAACATCCCATTATTAAATAATACATTATTATTCCCATTATTCCCATTATTATTACTCTGTATCGTACTTTGTGTAGTATATTTATCTAACGAATTTAATTGATCACTTGAACTAAATCTTGTTGGACTATTAATCCCAAATGATTCATCTTGTTGTAAACTCCTTTCATCATATTTATTTGAAAAACAAGGTAATTCTTTAAATTCATCTAAAGATTCTTTATGATTTATTGGTGTATTAATACCTTGTGAATTTAAATAAGATCCATATAATAATATTTCATTTATATCATTGGGATTTTCATTAAAATTAGTTTGTGATTTTTCATTATTTGATGGGATCAAATCCATGGGTATTAAAGTACCATATCCAAATATTTTTATACCTCTTAATGTTTCCATAATCCTAGTCTAATTTAATACAATACAATAACTTAAAGCTTTACTGTTTTCAATATAAATAAATCTAAACCCCTACTATACTTTGATATGTAATTAATAGTTATGAATTTCAATTATTTCCCCTGATTTTAATATAAAATGATAAACAAGCTGTACAGCGCAAATTTATTTTTCAAAAATATCGGTGACCAATATAAAATTTGATTTTATGGGTTATTGTTTTTTTAATTTATACGAAAGAACAAATGGAAGAATAATTTGATAGAAGATTAAAAGAAATCGAAAGGTTATAAAGTGGAGAAGTTCTACATGTTCAATACTAGTTTCTATCGTTATACCTTAATGGATATTATGGGTAGATTTAGTTATGAGTTAGACTGGGATTAAAGAATTTGGACGCTGGCTTATAATCGGATTAACGTTCCTTCAAACCGTTTTCGTTTTTTTCGTTTTTTTCGTTTTTCGTTTGCAGCGGTAATGAACAAATTAGGAAAAAAAATTACAGTCAGTGAAAAATTGCGCGATATTTGATACAAGTATAAATTACTGGTGATATATAAAACATCAATTTTCCTTACATTTTTATAGATTAAATTATTCACAAATTATTCATATTTTCATCATTATATATATATTTATATATCATATTAACCCACTATTTTTCAAATTACTTTGTACAATCATATCAGTAACTGCTGTTAAAACAAATTTCATACTTTGAGAATCTGTTGCACATGTTCTATGAACATAAATTGGTTTATTTGTTCTATTTAATCTTAAGAAAATATCTTCAAAATATTTAACTCCTGCATTTGAATCACCTAATTTCCCTTGATAATCTGGGAAATATTTCTTTATTGGAGATCTTTTAATTTTATTTTCAAATAAATCAATCTTATTTAAAAATAATATAAATGGTGTATTAATAAACCATTTACTATTACATAATGAATCAAATAACATTATAGCTTCATGCATACGATTAACTCTTTCATCTTCAAATAACATTTGATCATATTCTGATACTGCTAAAACAAATAAAACTGCAGTTATATCTTGGAAACAATGAATCCATTTTCTTCTTTCAGATCTTTGACCACCTGCATCTAAAACTTTAAATTTTGATGAACCAATATTAAAATTTGTTTCTGTAATACCTGTAGTTTTAATTCTACCTTTTAAAATATCTTCATTTGTACATATATAATTTGGATCTGCAAAATTTGAAATATTTTCAAAATAATATGATGCACTACCTTCTAATTGAAATTCATTAGCTCTAAGGAAACATTGTTGTATACCTTGATCATATTTCCATAAATTAGAAATACTTGTAGCAATAAGATCTCTCGTTACTTCTGTTTGACTTCCAATTGTAATTGCACTTACTCCAGGTCCTATAGAATTATCATTTAATCCTTGATTAATTTCTTGTAATTGATTTAATTTATCATTATGAATATTTTCATTATTATTATTGGTATTATTGATATCATTATTATTATTATTTTCCTCTGTTGCATCCCAAACAGATCCTGTACGTCCTGTACTTTGTACTCTTCTTTTAGCTTCACTTCTTTCACTATATTTCAAAACATAATCATTAAGGAAATTACTACCACCTGCAACACTTGTATCTATATGATCCAAGACTTTTGCTCTTAAGATGGCTTGTTTAAATGTTGAAAGTTTTGAATTTGGTTGATCACTATCTAATGGTATACCCATTTTTCTTGCTTGTAATATAAGAATCCTCATACTTTGTATAGCATCTGCCCAAATAACTTGAGCATATTGTTGACGTTCTTGATGTGTGAATCCATTTTGATGTAAAACTTTCATTTGTTTTAAAACTGTTGATTTACCTGATTCACCAGCACCTAATAATAACAATTTAACTTCATTTTTTTCTCGTTGTCTTTCCATTTGTAATCTTTTTTCAATAGCTGCATTGGCTTTTTTACTTTGTAATAAAGGATCATGATCTTCTTCAATTGGAGTGCTAGCTGCACAACCCATGATGATTTATATGCTGTAGTTGTTGTAAATGTTGGGTTTAGGGATTAGTATATAATTTGTTGTTGTTATATTGTGGTATTTGAACAAGTCTTTATAATATGAACAAGAAATGTATATGAGTATCTTGAAAGTGTAGCCTGATTGTTCTTTGAGGAATTATAAAGTATCAGAAAAGTTTGAGATTAGATCTATAATTATTGTTTGTTTTGAGTGTGTTTTTTCCCTTCATTTATTTCACGTTCAAAACATTTCGGTTGTATCAGATTTTGGTTCTTTGAAGGAGCCCCAAAAAGTCGACTGACATTTGCAAAGTGCCAATAAAAAGTATTTTGTCTTAAAAGGGGAATTACAATTTTGCATCAAAAAAGAATCAAATTATATTTATTTCAGTTTTATATTTTCTAGATCAATTCTATATATATAAACAACTATTTTAATTCAAAATATTCGATTGATTCCCTTGGACTGGATGTTTAATGGTAGAATCTCACTATTAGAATCGTTAAAATCCGGTTCTGAAACATTTCTGTGAAGTAAATGTTGTTTACTAGCTCCATGATTTTTCCATCCTTCAACACTTTCATCTGAATAATTATAATCTTGGAAAACACCACCATATACAGCAGATGTATCTGCTCCTTTTAAATAATCTTGTTCTAATGGTTCAGATGTAACTGAAAATTTGGATTTTTTCGTTGAAGGCCTAGTATCAAAAATTTCATCTTGTTTATTGATTGGTATGATTGTTTGATCATTATTAGCTGTATTTTCATTCCATATTGATTTTGGAATACTATTTTCATTATAATTCTCATTTGGATATAAGTGATAATCAGTTTTTGAAATAATATTGCCATTATTATTGTTATTATTGTTATTATTGTTATTATTATTTCTCTTTATAGATCCTAATGAAATTAATTCTGATTGATAACTATTATTAGATATTGGTCTTAGATTTGGATCATGTTTAGAGCTCGTGAAGTCAGCACCTAAATTAATTGATGATCTTGAAAGTTTTGGTTTAGCTCCAGTGGATAATAAAGCAGCATGTAATGATATATCATTCATAATAAGTCTCCATGGTTCATTTGCTCTATCATGTTTTGAAATTGGTGACCCATTACCAGAACCATTATTTTCATAAGCGATTTGACTATTTGGTCTTGAGAAATTAACAAGTGAAGGTTTAGATTTTGCATGTCTCTTGAAAGATGTTGATTCTTTAATGGATCTGGAAGTTTTTAAACTTTTCAATGTATGTTCATTTTCATCATTATCTAATGGTGATTCAATTCCTGGTGTTGAAGATGTTGCAATAATTTCAATTCTTTGAACAGCAGATGTTATTGTATTTTGATCACCAACATATTCTTGATCATTATAATAATCATCATTTTGAGATTCAAGTTCAGGTTCAGGTTCAGGATTTGGAATTTTAGATAATGGATGTCTTCTTTTGAAAATCCAAAATCCACGACGTGCTGGTTTAGGTTCAATATAATTAATTTTTGATATAGATTTTGTAATTTTTGGTAATGAATCAATATTTTCAACATCTTGAGAAATTTCACAATTTTGTAAACATGATGGATTATGATAAATTGGTGATTTTATAGATTCAGTTTCAACATTTGCATGACATGTACATTCACAAGAATGATCCAGTTGAGAACCAACTTGAGAATTTGGTCTTGATTTATGCCTTCTATGAGATGATAAATAACTCTTGATTGTTGATTCCAATAGGGTTTGATGTCTTTCATGTTCTTCCTCTTGTTCTTGTTCACCAAATAAACCTTCTCTTGAATCATTTGAAAACCCATCAAATTGACTTTGATTTAAATCATCATCTTCACGGATTGTTGGTTCAACTTCAAAATCCCAACGTGATCTTGGTTCAGTTGTACGAAGTGTTGTAAATGGTTTAGAAGGATCACGAGAGTGAATGATTGGATCTCTATGACTTGTCTTATTCTTATTATGATGGACTTCAATCTTTAATCTTTTGAACTTATTCTTTAACAGATTTATATTATAACCCATTGCAAACAAGACCCACTAAGAAATGACTAGATATGAATATGACTAGCGCTCTGCAACAACTAACCCTTTGATTGTCTCCATTTAAATAAATGTATAAGCGCCCATGTTTCTCCAATGTTTGTTGATTTCTGGAAATCATATGGATTTGTTTTTGGTTGAGTTTTTGTGTCACAAAAATGTATATCAAAAATGAAAAACAATAAAACATAGATAACCCCGAAATAATATAGGCGTATTAAAAGTTGATTAACTACATCAAAACATTGTATACTTTTCTAATTTTTTTTGTTTTATTATTATATTATATAATTTTCTTTTCTTCAATTACTTAATTCTCTAAAAGATCTTTCAATAAGATCTCTCATTTCTTTATATGAAACAATCATACAAGTTTGTTCATCATGAGAAACAAGTAAGAATTTTTCATCAATACCAGCATCTAGTTTATTTAAAGTTTTCAAAACAAATGCTAAATCTAAAACAGGTTTACCTCTATCATCAACTTGATTGAACACATATTCTCTAAATAATTTAATTGGATATCTTTCACCAGATTGTGCCCATGTTGGATTTGATTGATATTCAGGTCTTTCTAGGATAAAATTTAATTTTGTTAATAATCTAACTAATCTACCATTTTCTAATTCTCTTGTTAATTGAGATTCATAATAATCACCTTGTTCTTGAATTTGATTTAAACTTTCAAATAATTTCTTTGAAATAATTTTTTGGAAACTTTCAATATTTGGGTTTGATTCATTTAATAAATATTTTAATGCAGATTTAAAATCTTCATCAATATCAATATTTGATATGATATCTTCATTATTGGAAAATTTTGAAGAATTTGGTGATGATGATATAGCTAAACTTAATAATAATTGACCTAATTTTTGTAAATCTTGAATTTTCAATAAATTAATAGTTTCTAATTCTTCATCTTCATTGGAAAAATCTTCAAAATCTAAAATATCAAATATACCACAATCTGAAAGACGTATTCTATTTAAACTTGTAACTATAATCTTAGTTAAAGTTAATGATCTAATTGGTAAATTTTTAGAATGTGAAGTTGCAATAGCATTTGTTAGTTGTAAAGTATAATTCCACAAAATTTTTGGAGTAATTTGTTCAGGTTTTGCACCAAGATTTGAATGGAAATGTTGTTCAATTAAATTTTTTGAATTTGGATAATAATCATAAACAATAATTAAAGAATTATCACCAAAACTTCTTGAAGTGAAAGCATCAATAATTTTCGTTATATTTGAACAATTTAATTTAACCCATTTTTTAATAGTTGATATACTTTTATCTTGATTTAATTTAACATTTTCAATACGACGTAAAACATAAGCTTTACCATCATCATTTGAAAAAGCTTTATATAAAGAACTATAATAACCATAGGTTTGATTTGATTTTTGTAATGAATTATCTAATGGAACTAAATTATAATAAATATTAACTAATTCAGGTAAATTTGAATGTTGTAAAGTTTTCAAAGTTGATTCATTTTTTTTAATTAAAGATTCTCTTAATTCATTTGGAAGGAAAAATTTTGAAGAATTTTCTTCATTACCTTTTAATGGAATTTGTAAATGTGGTGGTGGAGCAGGTGCATATAAATGATGATTTAATGGATAAGAAGTTTGAGGAAATAAAAAATCTTGAGGACCAGTAACTTGAGAATATGGATTTAAAGCTTCTGAAGATTGGGCATAAGGATTTGGTTGTATTGAATCATTATTTGAAACAAGATAAGGATTTGTAGGTATTGGAGAACGATTAATTGAAGGTTGGATATCATTATTATTATTTGTTGTTGTTGTTGGTTGGAAAACTGGACTATCAAGATTGAATTGTTTTAAACCATTTTGAGTAGAGGTTAAATCATCATTATTATTTATAGTAGTACCAGATGGGATAAAAGAAGGAATATCATTAACTTTTGGTGAAAATCCTGCAAATTTATTAATTGGTTTAGTTGGATTTGATAAATTTGGAACATTTGAAATTGAAGTTGATGGAAGGAAAGTTGAAGATGAAGCTGGATTGAATTTTTTTTTTAAATCACCACCAGTACCAGCGTTAGTACCACTAGTTATACTACCACCGATTGAAGCTGAATTTAAGATCCCACTATTAGGGATATTATTACTTAATGCACTTGTTGGTCTTGATGATATAGTGGGAAAATCACCAATGGATGGATTTTTCAATGGATCTAATGGTTGTTGTAAAGGTAAAGAAGTAGCAGATGTGTTTATATTTGAATTTGAAGTTATTGTTGATGATTTATTTGATGATTCATGTTTAAATGAACAACCTTTCCCTTCAAATTTACAAAACCCATGGATGGTGATATTCCTACATGGGACATCTTTTGCCCAATCTAGATTAGCTTGTGATAGTTAGCTTGATGCTCTTGAAACTTGTGATAATACTTGAAACTCACCTTTGTCCATGGTGTGACACTTTGACTATTTGATATTGATATTGATGGATCTCCCAATGGACTCTTTCACGGCGCCTCTTCTGATGGTTCCTGTACCCACTACCTAGTCAGTCTATGCCCTGTCTGTACCCTGTATAGTCTGTATAGTCTCTGTTAATACACCGCGGGTCAATCGGGTATGTTGTTTGACGTTGTTGAATTACTAATATTCAATTCAATTTCCAAATCTTTTTGTTTTGATTCAATATTATTACACGTCTTTTATTGATTTGTATTAGGCGCCCATAATTACCATACTTTTAATTTCCATAGCGACGGCCATTACCACGTGTTACCCGGTACTTGAATAAGGGGACACACAGTATTAATAAAGTACCTCATTAAGGGCCGAACATTAAGCATTAAGCACCGATTATTGTATAAATACAGGGTCTAATCTCCATTATTTGTATTCTATTTTATTCAATTGATTAAATTATTATAGCTATTATACAAAAATCATGGGTGTTATCGTTTTAACTGGTGCTTCAAGAGGTATGTATTGGGATCTTTATTAGGTTCATAAGTGATCATTATTGACACATTATCTAGGTATTGGTGCTTCAATTGCTGAAATTTTATTACAAAATCAAGAAAATAAACTTGTTGTAGTTGCTCGTTCTGAAAAACCATTAATTGAATTACAAAACAAATATGGTAAAGATAGAGTTGTCTATGTTGCTGGTGATCTTTCAAATGAATCAATTTCTGAAAAGATTATAACTACTGCAATCGATTCATTTGGTAAAATTGATTCAATTATTGCCAATGCAGGTGTTTTGAACCCTGTGGATAAAATTGCAAATGCTAAAATTAACGAATGGAAAGAATTATTTAATATTAATTTCTTTTCCATTGTTCAATTAGTTTCAAATGCCTTACCACATTTAAGATCTTCAAAAGGTAATGTTGTTATTGTTTCCTCAGGTGCTTCAACTAAATATTATGATGCTTGGGGTGCTTATGGTTCTTCAAAAGCTGCTATAAATCATTTTGCAATTCAATTAGCTGGTGAAGAAAAAGATGTTTCAATTGTTTCTGTTGCTCCAGGTGTTGTTGATACTAATATGCAAAATGATATTAGAGATAAATGTAAGTATTAATTAAACAATTAACTAGAAGATATAGTACTAACATATTATTCCAGTTGGTAAAAATATGTCTGATGAACATATTAAACGTTTTAATGATTTGAAATCAAATAATGAACTTCTTGATCCAACTATTCCAGCTACTATCTATGCTAATTTGGCTCAAAATGGGTTTAATAATGAAATTAATGGTAAATATTTAAGATATAGTGATGAAATATTAAAACCATACTCAAAGAAATAAAAATAACTGATAAATACTTTGAAATATAAGTTTATAATACTTACGCCAAAGTAGGAAAGGTTATGAAGCACCGTCGCGAAATTCTCGATTTTAATTGTTTATACCAAAGATCGTGAACGATTTCATGTATCAAAATGACCTCTAAGATTCAATCTGTCTAAGATTTGAGATATATACCCATCAAAATGATGATGCAAAGAGTTATCTTGGGCTCAAGAATTGCTTCAAAGAGAAGTATTTCTCAATTCGCTACTTTGAGATCAAATTCATTAATTAATTCCCGTTTTTATTCAACTTCTAAACAACAATCATCATCATCATCATCAACTCCACCACCACCACCACCACAAAATCAACATAGAGGTAAAATTGCTCTAATTTTAGGTGCCTTAGCAATTGGTTCCACATTGTTTTCAATTTCATATCAAAAATCAGGTCCAGTTGAATTAATCGAACCTGCAAAGCAAAAAGCTTTTAAAAATGGTGATGTTTCAGTTATTTTCGTTCTTGGTGGTCCAGGTGCTGGTAAAGGTACTCAATGTGCTAGATTAGTTAATGATTACGGATTCATTCATTTATCAGCTGGTGATTTATTAAGAGCTGAACAAAAAAGACCAGGTTCACAATATGGTGAATTAATTGCACAAAATATTCGTGATGGTGTTATAGTTCCACAAGAAGTTACTATTGCCCTTTTGAAAAATGCAATGAAGGAAAATTTTGATAAAGGTAATACTAGATTTTTGATTGATGGATTCCCACGTAAAATGGATCAAGCTATAACATTTGAAGATGAAATTGCAACAAGTTCATTTACTTTATTTTTTGAATGTCCTGAAGAAGTTATGTTAAAACGTTTATTAGAAAGAGGTAAGACAAGTGGTCGTGCTGATGATAATATCGAAAGTATAAAGAAAAGATTTAGAACTTTTATTGAAACAAGTTATCCAGTTGTTGAATATTTTGATAAACAAGGTAAAGTTGTTAAACTTTCTTGTGATCGTACTGTTGATGATGTTTATTCTGAAGTTAAAAAAGCTATAAAAGATAAAATTAACATTGAAACCAAATAGAAAACTTCATGAAGTTGAATTATATAGAAATTTGTGCATAAGATTTGATTTTTTGAATATGTTTGTATTTGTAGTTGAAACTATTTTGATGATGCCCGCGAATCAAATTTTAATGTCAAAACAAAAACATAACAAATAAACTTGATCAAACGCCAATTATCAACTCTCTAAGCTCAATCCATACTATACTTTTAGAGGATAAGCTACAAATACAATGGGTAAACCAAAGAATCACAAGAAAAACAAAATACCCATTGAAACGGTCTATATAGCACCACCTAAAAATGTCCAAACTGAAGAAGTAGAATATGATCCAAAGACTAGAGTTACTGATCCATTTGAAAATGATTTGGATTTTTTGTTAACAACTACAGCTCATACTACAGTAGAAGGTCCATTATCTTCAACATCAACAAATATCAAATCAAATAAATCATCTTCATTACCAATTGATCAAATAGAGCAAAGCCAAGTACCTAACGAATCATCAAAACCAAAAGTTACCAAAAAGACTAAAAAAGAAATCTTAAGTTTTGATATAAGTTTCTCATCAGATGATGATGAAAAAGATGATATTGGTAATATGGAAAGCATAGATGAAGTAATAACGACCAATCCATCATTCTCTAAGAAAAGCAATATAAATAGAGGTACAAAACCTAAAACTAGTGAAGAATACCTTGCAAAAGAATTAGGTCTTGATTCATCAGATACAGATGATTCATCATCAGATTTTGATGCTGATTATGATAGTGATGCTGAAGATTTTGATCTTGTCAATGAACTTTATGAAAAATTAAACATTAAAGATTTTAGTGATTCTATTATTGGTGAAGAATTAGATGAAGATGAAGAAGAGCAAAATGGTCAAATCAAAAACAAACCACCAAAAAAGAGAAAACCAAGGTCCAAAAAACCACGGGAATCTAAAGAACCTAAAAAAGATGAAAATAAATCGCAGACTGATGATATAGAGAAGAAGAAAAGTAATAGAAAATCTAGAAGTGATAGAAGACGTATAAAGAGAGAAGCAGAACGTCAAAACAATAATGAAAAATCAGAGAATTTGAATAAGACAGAATCTAAACAAGGATCAAAAGACTCGACTGAATCTAAAAGCAAACAACAACTTTCAAATAAATCAAAGAATAACAAGAAGGATACCAAAAACCCACAAGATAAGAATATTGAACCTCATTTTAAATCACAAGAACAAAAGCCAGATAAACCAAATAAACCAAGATGGGCAATTGCAGCAAGTAAGAAGGGTAATTTGAAACAAAAAAATTTTAAAAATGATGAATTAAAACCAAAAGGGAAAGAAAATAAATCAAATGATAATAATGATAAGCCTCACGTCTTGACAAGATCACAATTGATTAATCAAGAATCTGGATCTAAAAAGGAAAAAATACCTAATTTTGGAGATTCTAAAAAATCATCAAGATCATCAAGATCAAAGAAACCAAGAGAAAAATCTGAAAAGAAAGGTTCAGAGACGGCTAATACTAATTCTAGTGAAGTTAAATCCAAAGATTGAAGAAATACTGATGATTTATGATAAAGATTAAATAGTATTATGCATTATGTTATATATATCTTTTTCTTTTTTAATTAACCATTACTTTCATTATTCACTCTCAATTTCCATTATAGCATCATCATCATCACTTGAATCATCACCATTGATTAAATCTGTAGCTCTTTGTTCAATACTTTGATTTAAAGTATTTGAATTATTATTTATTATATTTTTTTGTCTATTAAATAATGGTGTTACATTATTTTTTTGATAATTTAAAGTATTCGAATTTAATTGTAATAATTCATTTGAACGTTTGAAAAAAATTGAACCATTTGATGATATATGATTTTCCTCTGATGATAATCCATTTTCTTCAAGTGCTCTTCTCATTAAATCTTTTGCAACTGGATCATTATTATTTATTGATAAAGCATGATGTAAATTTTCAATTGATTTATTAAAATCACCCAATTTTAAATGAATTAATCCAATTGCTGAATAAATATTTGAATCATTATTATTTATTCTCAGAACTTTTTCAAAACAATATAAAGCTCTTGGAAATAAATTCAATCTTCTATAAACATGACCTAAATTTGCATGAATTGATTGCCATGCTTTTGAATCTGAATCAATTTTTTTAGCAACACTTAATGCTTGAGTAAAATAATTTTCTGCACTTTCAAGATGATTTTTATGATAATAAATAACACCTAATTCATTTAATAATAATGGATCCATTGTACATATAGAATATGAAGATAGTAAATATTCTTCCGCCAGTATTAAATTACTCATTTGTAAATATTGCATACCTAAAAATAAATTTGGTAAATGAGTTCCAGGGAAAAATCTTGATGCAGTGGAATAAGCTGATATAGCTTGTTCATGTTCACCTTCAGCGGCAAACGTATGAGCAAATCCAATCCAAGCTTGACCAAAATTTGGATCTAAAAGTGAAGATTTAAGGAAAAATTTTCTTGCTTCTGTTATACGATTTATTGATAAATAATAAATTCCAATAGCTAACCATGAAATTGAATGCTTTGGGTAATGAGCTGCTAATCTATGAGCAGTATAAAATAATTTATTTTTACCACCAATTTCATGAAGACATGAAAGATAAGTTGGTAATGTTGCAAAATTAAATTCATCTTTATTCAAGATTTTTTCACAAATTTCTAAAGATTTTTGAAATTTACATTGCATAAACAATAAATCAGCTTTACTTAATAAAACATCATTATTTTCACCCAAATTATATTCTTCATTCAATTTCAATTCTGCATCTTCAAATTTATCACCATTAACATATTTGTTAATTCTTGTTGTATATAATGCTTTAATTAAATCACCATTTTCATCAGCATCTTGGAAATCCAATAAGGATAAAAGTTCCCATTCTTCTAATGGAGTCAACATATTATTTCGTATCATTTCATCAAAAGCTTCAAAACATTTCACATCAACTAAGATTGCTTCTTTAAAACAATCTTTTGCTCTTTCCAGATTATTTAAACGAGCATATATTTGACCTCTTATAAAACATAATGAAGCCTCAAGTTTTATACCACCATCTAAATTCTTAACATGTTGTGCTTCAGATTTAAAAGGATTTGTCTCACCAACTATATCTAAAGCTTCATCAAATTTTTCTAATTTCATAAGACAAAGTGCAGATAAATATCTACAACTAACACTTGAAGAATCCAGATTATTCTTAGATAATAATTGTCTTGCTCTATAATAATTCCCATTTGAATATAGCACCTGTGCAAGCCAAAAGGCATCATTAGGATCATTTGTTAACGAAAGAACTTTATCACCAATATATTCAGCAGTTTTGTAATGATGTTGCATTAGTGCATCATGTCTCCAAAGTCTCAATTTCTCAGCCTGTGATAAGTTGTTGATGGAATTGTCACTTGTATTAGCACTTCTAGCACCTCCATTCCCCAAACTGGAGCGGTTGAAGTTCCCACTAGATGGTGATTCAGCACTAGCATTTGCAGCTAAAGGACTTGGGAACAAAGGTTGATTTGGAGTGGACCGTAGCGTATCATATGTTCTGTTAGCAACCAGTGGCGATATGGCGAGCGTTGAGTTGTGCTGCGAGGGACTGGCGGGCATCCTTGTAATCCTTTAAACCTCTTCAAAAACCCTTTGAATTCCTTTAAATTCCTTTAAATCCAATACTTTTGTTTCTAAAAAGTGTTGATGTTTTGATTTTAATTTTATGTAAACAAAAGATCAATAAAACGCATTCGCGAAAGAAAATCAAAAAGAATTCGCGATTTCGCGAAAGCTGTCAATTTTTTTTTTTTTTTTCTTTTTGGTGCGTCATTTGAAGAGTCATAATTAAGCCAGCATTATAAAAAGATAAGATATTGGAATTTTTCAGACTTGAACATTTTTCATCAATTGAAATACTTTATATTCATAATTATAGAGACAATTATATTGAACATAACCATATCACAATGACTAAACCAGTTACACTACATTTAAGAGCTGAGAAAAAACCATTAGAAGCTCGTGCAGCTTTAACCCCAAATTCTACTAAACAATTAATTCAAGCAGGTTTCACTGTTTATGTTGAAGAATCAAAACAAAGTGCTTTTGATGCTCAAGAATATGCTAAAGTTGGTGCTAAAATAGTACCAGAAGATTCATGGAAATATGCTCCAACTGATCGTATAATTATTGGATTAAAAGAATTACCTGAAGAAGATACTTTCCCATTAATTCATGAACATATTCAATTTGCTCATTGTTATAAAAATCAAGGTGGATGGCAAGATGTCTTGAGTCGTTACGCTAGAGGTAATGGTACTTTATATGATTTAGAATTCTTGGAAAATGATCAAGGTAGAAGAGTTGCAGCTTTTGGATTTTATGCTGGGTTTGCAGGTGCAGCTTTAGGTGTTAAAGATTGGGCTTTTAAAAATACTCATCCAGATTCTGAAGATTTAAAAGGTGTTGAACCATATAAAAGTGAAGATTCATTAGTTGAAGATGTTAAAAAAGATTTAAATAAAGCCTTATCAAAAGGTGCTAAAAAACCAACAGTTTTAATTATTGGTGCTTTAGGTCGTTGTGGTTCAGGTGCAATTGAATTACTAACAAAAGCTGGTATTCCAGAGGAAAACATTAAAAAATGGGATATCAAAGAAACTTCAAAAGGTGGTCCATTCAAAGAAATTGCAGAATCTGATATTTTCATTAATTGTATTTATTTATCAAAACCAATCCCACCTTTTATTAATTATGAATTATTAAATAATTCAAATAGAAAATTAAGAACAGTTGTTGATGTTTCAGCTGATACAACAAATCCACATAATCCAATTCCAATTTATTCAATTGCTACAGTTTTCGATAAACCAACAGTTAAAGTTAATACAACAAAAGGTCCAAAATTATCTGTTGTTTCAATTGATCATTTACCTTCTTTATTACCAAGAGAAGCTTCAGAATTTTTCGCAAAAGATTTATTACCATCTTTATTACAATTACCAAATAGAAAAACTGCAAATGTTTGGGTTAAAGCTGAAAAATTATATAAACATCATGTTAAACGTTTAAATAGAGAACAAAAATTATAGATAAAAAGCAAAATTATTGTTTGATACAATTATATAGTTCTTAATTTACATTATTATTCTCTATTATACAGTAGTTTTATTCTAATTCAACAGAAACTTTCGGAGTATTCTTCTTTTTAGATTTTTTACTCTTTTTAGTTTTCTTACTTTCACCTTTCATTATTCTTTTCAATTCTTCTTGATCAGCTTCATTTTCACTTTCACTTGCACTTGCAACATCATCATCATCAATAGAATCAAATCTTCTTTTCATAGTTTCAAATTTCTCAACACTTTCCGATGAAACTTCAATACAATTTAATCTTTGTCCTGTATTATAAACTGCAATTTGATCTTTTAAATTTAAATCCCATATAACTATATTCCCATCTGAAGAAATTGAAATTAGGTAAATTTCTTTATCAACTTTATATAATTTAAAATCTTTAATACGATTTGTATGACCAATTAATGTAAATTTTGGTTCTGGTTTTATTTCTTCATCATCATCTTTTTCATTAATTAAATCTTTTAATTCATAAAATTCTAATGAACCATTACCTAACCCAACAACAACATATTCCACATCATTAATTTCATAAATTTCTAAATGCATTAAAGTTTTACCCAATGCTAATACATTAACAATACTTGCATTTGATGTCTTATAAACCAAAAGTTTATTTAATAATCCAACAAGGAAATATCCACCATCTAATGACCATCTAACAAATTCACCATTTTGCCAATCATTTTTAATCTTCAAATTAGCAGCTTTTTTAACAGTCATTAAATTCCATAATCTAATTGTTTTATCATCACCAACACTAACTGCAATTCTACCAGTTGGATGTATAGCAAGATCATTAATTCTTCCCTGATGACCTTTTAAAGTTCCAAAAATTTCCCAATCTTTTGTTCTCCAAATAATGATTTTCCCATCTTCAGAACCACTTAATAACCATTTACCATTACTTGTCTTACTATCATTACCAGACATTAAATCTTCATTTGAGAATTTCAAACTTGTAATACTACCTTGATGACCCAAAAGAGTACCTAATTCTTTTCTTTTTTGTAAATCATAAATCTTGATATGTTCATCATTACTACCAGTGACCAAATATCTTTTAGCAGCAGCTATAGATTTAATAGATAATGAATGTGCTTGGAAATGGAAAATTGGTTGGAATACAGGAGATTTATCTTTTTCTAATAAAATTGATAATGATAATAAATTATGTTCATATGATCCAACATAAATACGAAATTGAATTTTGTTGGAACTTAATGCTTTGGAAGCTGGGATTATTGTTGGTTTTATAACACTTGAAGGTTTTGTTTTAGCCATCTTTTTGTTAAATATATATCTATACTTTTGATCAACTTGTAATACTAAAGAAGTTGTAGTTTTGTTAAATTTTGTATAGACCGGTATTAATTTTTAAATTTTTCATGGTTAAGTACCACTGTCCCCGATGAGCTTCCCGGAATAACTTTATTGTCTACTTGTCTACGATATTAAAGTAATAAAGTAAAAATTTATTTATAAAAAAACACCATTAGCAAATAAAAGTAAATCAAATATTAAAATAGCCAATAACTAAACAAAAGTTTGTATAATCCATAAATCAAAAATAAGCCAAAAAATAAAGCAAAAATCAACACAGTAAATATAGCAAATATAAAGTATTAAGCACCACACTCAATTATTAACATTAATAACACTAGTAACAACTTCATTAACTTGATTAAAATGTTCATTAAACAAAACTTTAACCCTTTCATTACCCAACATGATTTTCCCCAAACCTGTTCTAATAAATTCTTGAAATTTTTCATTCCATTGAAATTCATAACCTGAATTAATCAATATAAAAAATGACATTATTAAAATTAATAAAGGTAACCAAAAAAATATTAACATTTTATCATTTTGAACATTTTTACGTTGTTGGAAAAATTTATTTAGGAAATCATCATTTTCATCTGATGATGATGTATCTGATCTTGTTGATTCTGTTCTTGTTGTTGAAAATCTTAATTTTGGTAATAAGGAATTGGTTTTTGGAGTTTTGTTTGAAGTGGATGGATATAAATCATCATATTTTGGTAAATCTTCAACATCTGAAGAATTTTGGAAAACATTTTTAACTTTATTCCATAATGAACCATCAGATTGTCTTGTAATTAAATTATTTCCAGTTAATTCATTTGAAGTTGTAGTTATATCATTAGTTGAAGGTGGAATAGTAGTCGGTGTTGTTATAGGAGTTGGATAAATCTCTTCCTCTTCTTCATCATCATCATCTTCAAAATCAGCATCTTCACCTGATCCAACTTCACCCCAAGATTCTGAATCAATTTCTTCTAATTCAACACTTTCTTCTTCTTCATCATCATCACTTTCTAAACAATCATCAGTTAATTGATCATTAATTAATCTTGAAATATGAGCACCATTTGAAAAATTTAAATTTAAATCAAATTCATCAATAGAAAAAATTGATGAATTATTTGAAGAATTTGAAAATTTTCTTTGATGATCAACTAAATCATCATCATTAAACAGTTCTTTAACACCTCCCTGAGCTAAATCTTTTGGAACTAAACCATTATTAGATCTTGCCATCAAATTAGCTTTAAATTTAATCAACATCTCCACCGAAGATTTATCACCACTTAAACTAGCCATATGCAGGGGAGTAAATCCATTAATATCCCTAGAATCAACACGGGCACCTTTTTTCAATAATAATGAAACTAAAAGAGTATATTTTTTTAAACATGATAAATGTAATAAAGTTTGACCTTCTTGGGTACATAATGACCAATTTGGATTATTTGGCAAATGATTAATAACTTTTAATACTAATTCTTCATCATTTAATGAAGATAAATTCATTGAATTTATATTAATATTATTATTGGTACTATTGTTGTTATTATTACCTTCATCAGAACCAATGATTTTTCTTGCTATATTTCTTGCATCTTCTAATTTCCCATTCATTTTTAATCCAACAATTTGTAATGCCAATTCAATTAATTGTCGATCACTATCATCAAGATATGTGAAAACCGAAGTATTAATCATATCAAAGTTTGATGAACCATCTTCATTTTCATTCTCTTCAAATGAAACAATAACTTGTCCCGGGACAGCAGCAGGAGGTAAATATGTAACTATAGTAGAATCACTCCAACATTGAGTTGATAATGCTTTATTATTACCAAATTTAACTGTCAAGCCTTGTCTAAAATTTGAACCTAATAATGTGATTTCAACACCACCTCTCAGAGGACCCTGGGATGGAATAATTCTTTGAATTGAAGGTAATGTTGTGTTTATAGTTGAAATTTGTTGTAAGTTATTTGATGGAGAAATTGGATCAATTGATTCTTTTTTAATTGATGAAGATGAATTATAACCATTAAATAAAGTTGATGGTTTCCTAGAGGGGATGATGTTTAACCCATCAGATAATTCTGGAGACCAAGTTTTCTTTCTTTTAAAAATTCTTGAATCAGTTGTATGAGGTTCTGAACTATCTTCTTCAATTGAAGTTGGTGATAATGGTTGAGAAATATGAGAATTATTATTTGATTGATCATTTGAATCATCTAGGGTTTTCTTTCTATCCATAATCATTATTGGAGTTGATACATGTTTTGCTAAAATTTCATCTTTTGAATTTTTTAATATAAATAATAATTTAAAACCTTTTGATTCTTGATGATGTCTACAATAACAAACTAATCTTGCAGAGATATCCAAATCTTTTGAAGTTGTACTTGATGATGATGGTTGTGGGAATGATATGATTTCTTTACAATTGAAAATGATTGCACGCTTGGAAGTATTTGTTCCCCAATTTAAATTATCACTTATACCAGATTTTCTTCTTGATGCTCTTTTTTGTTCTCTTTTGATACATCTTGGACAAATATTACAAGATTTTGAATTTGAACTTGTCAAGACAAAAGTATCTAAGAATAAAATATTTTGTTTAAGATCTTCAGGTAATTCATCATTTTTTAAACATAATTTTTGTTTGGCAATTGTATCTGAAGGTAAATGCACAAGAAATTGTGGTGGTGGAGGAGAAACTGATAATTCAATTTTAATTTGAGTTTCAACACGTGAATAATTTGGTAAGTTCTTGATGTTCATCTTATAAGGTAAAGAATTTGAATCAATATCTAAATATTCTTGTGGTAATTGATTATTAAATTTTGTTGGAATATCTTTACCAAATTTTAAATTTGAAAGGATATCTTTTGATTGTTGGAACATGGAATTATGTGGTTGTGGTATTTCATTTATTGATATTGGAGTTGTATAAATTTCATTTTTGGAAGTATCAGGACTTGTTAAATCAATTGAATTTGGTGTAGTTGCATTTATTCCATAGTTATTATCATTGTTATTAGTATTATCATTTGATTGATTGAAATATAAGAAATCATTCTTGTTTAGATCGTCAGTTAAGAAGCTTTGAAATAGTTCATCATCATGAGGAGCTTGACCTTGTGGTACTTGTTGTGGTGGTACTTGTTGTACTTGTTGTTGTTGACTTTGATCTTCATATAATCTTTTATCTAGGAACTCATCCAAGATATCGAAATCCTCATCTTGTTTCAAGTCCAAGTCAATGGACTCTTGTAGTTTGATAGACATTGTGATACCTTTGATACACTTTGTCTAGTGGGTTGTGTGTTGTTTGTTGTTTGTTGTTTGTTGATGGAATTGCCGTTGTTGTTCAATTGTTTATTAGCTGTTTTTCTCAGTAAAATATTTTCAACGCGAAGGAAAGTAAAATAATATAAGAATATAATAGTAATACAAAGATATAGTAAAAATATAATATAATAGTATAGATACAACGATATAAATGTTCTAGTGTTGTTCTACGTGTTCTTTATAGTATAGATTGTCTCATTGTTGGTTGTTGAGTCTGTGTATTCCCATTATGACTTATCCCTTTATTCATAGTGGCTCTGTTGAATAAGACTCCCAACAAAACCAACGGAAGTGAACAACACTAAACACTAAACACCAGCTAAATGAACCATGAAACCATAGAACAGAGTCACAGTATCAGAACATTCTAGAAGAGTGGTACTACATTATTATATTATTATATATCTATAATACATTGTTAATTGATTATTCTTATACTATGATATTCCTATACTCTTATATTCTTATTCGTATAATAGTAATAGTAATAAAAGTATTCAGAGTAAATCTAGATTATTTTATTACATAATATTTACCCTGCCTTTGAACTTTCCCACATTCATCGAAATCTTGAAATAAACATCAAAGGTGTGTTATATTATATATGGTATTACTAGTGATTTATATATTATACAACAATGGGGTTTAAAAACACTTTATACGTCACTGGTATGTATTACTACTTATACTTATGATTACTAGTACTAACAACATCTCCAGGTTTCTCAAGAGAAACAAAAGCTAAAGATTTAGCTATAGATTTTGAAAAGTAAGTTATATTAAATCATTATTATTATTTTATTTTGTATTTTTTGTTTTGTTATTGATTTATACCCTAATACCCTTTTTATTCTTTACTTCTTCTACTTTTACTTTTTCATGATTAACTTGATTTTAGTTTCACCTTCAACATATCAAAAAAGGCGAATCAATTTAAAAATCAATGTTTAAATCAATATAACCATTCATTCAAATAATCAATCAATTCATTCAATTCAATTCAATTTTTCAAATCATTTCTTATATCCCTTTATATATATATATATCAACCCATTCAATCAATCAACTTTCAACTCAAAAACTCAAAATAAAATAATTCAATATCAATATTTCAATCTCATACAACAGAACATTCAAATTAACAATCAATTTTCAAGATTCGGTACTCTAGTAAGAGTAGACCTCCCACCAACAAAAACTCCAGATGGTCCACCATTTGCATTTGTTGAATTTCAAGATTTAAAAGATGCAGAAACCGCATTAGAATTAGATCAAAAACCATTTTCATTAGATGATTCATCAATATTAACTGTTCAATGGGCAAAATCTGAACCTCATCCTTCAGGTGGTGGGTTTAGAGGTGGTCCTCGTGGTGGTTTTGGTGGTCGTGGTGGTTTTAGAAGTGGGTTTGGTGGTCCTCGTGGTGGATATGGTTATCCTTCAAGAGGTGGATATGGTTATGGTGGTCGTGGTGGTTATGGAGGTGGATATGGTGGTTATGATGATTATGGATATGGAGGTGGATATGGAGGTGGTCGTGGTGGTTATGGAGGTCCTCCAAGAGGTGGGTACGGTGGTTATCCTCCAAGAGGTGGGTATGGATATGGTGGTGGTCGTGGAGGATTTAGAGATGATTATAGAGAAAGAGGTTATGGTGGTCCTTCAAGAGGTGGTTATGAAAGAGGTGGTGCTCCAAGACCTTCAAGAGATGAATATACCGGACCTGGTCATAGAAGAGATGATGATGATGATAGAAGACCTGATGCAAGATCTGATGGTGATTCTTATAGAGATATTTCTCCAAGAAGAGGTAGAGATGAATCTAATAATTTTGAAAATGATTCTAGAGAAAGACCAATTTCAAGATCAAGAAGTCCAAGAAGGGATTAGAAATCATATAAATATAAGTATATAAATCAATTTGTAATATTTGGAAAATTAAATTGAGTTGTAGATTATATTGATTACATAATGTTTTATACCCGATTAAAATTTATCAAATCATATTAAAGATGAATGTAAGATAACTGAAAAATTCATAAACCTATACTAATCCATATAACAACTTGATCCACTCCAACTTCCTCAATCATTATTAGCACACCATGTCCACCATACTATTCCTTAAAAACAAAACAATACCGAAAGATCCATACAATGAATTATTCACCCAAGAAAACTTTGATATAAATTTCATACCATTACTAGATCATAAACATCTTGAACTTTCCACAATAATAACTTATTTAAAATCACATGAATTCTTACATAAAACAAATTCATTAATCATAACATCACAAAGAGCCGTTGAAGTCTTGGATTTGGCATTACAACAAATTGAATTAGATATTAAATCTAAAATTTTAAACAAATTAGCATATACTGTGGGTCCTGCTACTGAATTAATCTTGGGGAATTTAGGGTTTACTAATATAAAAGGTGGTTCTGAAGCTGGGAATGGTAATATATTATCTGATATAATTATAGAGACGCTATCATCAAATGAAAAGATTACATTTTTCACAGGTGAAACAAGAAGAGATATAATCCCCAAGAAATTATTATCAAAAGGGTATGATTTAAAAGAAATTATCATATATAAAACTATTGAAAAACCTGAGATTATTGAAAGGTTTATTGATGTTGTTGATAATAAAACTGGGTTGGAGAAATGGATTGTGTTTTTTAGTCCTCAGGGTACAAATGAAATTATTAAATTCTTGAAGAAAACTTTGGATGAGAGTGAAGATGAAGATGTTTTTAAAATTGCTTCAATTGGTCCAACTACTGAAACTTATTTGATTGAGAATGGTATAACACCGGATTTGGTTTCTTCAAAACCTGATGCGAATTCTTTATTGAAACATATTAAAGAATTTGATAGTCATTTATAGATTAATTTATAATGCATGTATTTATAATCATCTATATGTATTGCTAATGCTTTTATTTTTTCACTTATTAATCATATCAGAAACAACATTAATTGTTTCATTTTCATTTTGATAATCAATCTCCATTAAATATTCATCTTTATCAGAATCATTTATAATTTTAATTTTTGGTAATGCTAATTTCCCAATTTTTAAAGGAATTAAATATAATTGAAATTCATTAATTTTTTCTAAATCTTTATCAGAAATATTAAATTTAAATTTTGTTTTACCATTAATTAACCAATTATCTTGATTTGATAAAATTTCTAATTGGAATGTTTTTATTGATGATGTTTGAAATTGAACTTTCTTTTTTGATGTTTGATTTGGATCAGAAGTTTCTGAAACTTTATTAATTAATGATTTTAAATTTAAATTTGTTTCTATTGAATCTCCTATGATATAATGAGTTTTGGGTTCAAGATTTAATTCCACTGTATGGATAACATGAACTGATGGAATTTGAACATCAATGTATAAATGTTTATTGCATTGGACATAAACATATTCTTCAAACGGTTTTTCAATTTTTAAATAATTTGAGTCAAGCAACCTTTCTTCAAGTAGTTTGTAAAATTTAATTCTCTCGTTAGGAGAAACTGAATTAATAATCTTTTTATCAATTTTATTAAAATTTATTATCTTGATTTCTTGATCTAAAATATAGCTATTAAAATCAAATTTTAATCCTTCAATAATCAACTTAATAAATGTCATGTATTCATTTAAAGGATTGTCACATCCACTTTTAATTCTGTTTGATTCTTCAATAAATTTTTCAAATAAAATTTCTTTCAATTCTTTTTTTAAATCTCTATAAGTTATATCTAATGTTAAAAAATCATTTGAATCATAATGTACATCATCATTTTTTTCAATCTTGAAAAAATAACTTCCAGGTTGTTCACCAAATGCAATAAATGATGAAGATTTCATTGAACTACTAACTTTATATTTATCATTACCTTGTAAAGAGCATGATAAAATCCTTATTGGAAATTCAATATCAGCTGTACCAATGGAAAATTTAGCAAATAATCCATTTTTTTTGAAAATATCTTGAACAGAAACTGCTATACTGCATGAAGTATCTAAAATTTTTGTCACTGTTTGAGATTTTGATTCCATGTTGCAATCAATAAAACTTATTTGCGCTTTCAAATCTAAAATATTTGAATTTCTTGCACTATTATTTATATATGGTATGATAATTTCATAATCTGTGAAATCACGTAAATAACCTGTACGTATTGTGAGAACATCATCTGAATTATTATCATCTTTTAATGAAACTTGATATCCCTCATCTGAATCATCATTTGATAGTTCATACTCTTCAAGTAAATTCATAATTTTAATATCAGATGTTGGTTCAAACCCTTCGGTTCTACTCCAAAGTCTAATTTCAGTTGAATCAACTGACCCAAATTGAGTTGATATAAATAATGAAATTGATTTCTTTGTCAAATTTATATTTGTTGGATTTTCAATTTTTAATGATAAATTACCCAGGGATGTAATTAAGAAAGGTTCTGAATTTTGTTCATCATTTTCGTCAAATTCATGAACAAGTGTAAAATTATTAAAATTTGTAATAAATTTAAAAAATTTAAATTCACCTATTATTATATCGTTTGACTGGAATTCAATTGTTGTTATACCTTTTTGTAAAATTATATCAGATTTTTCAAATTTGAAAACTTCATCATTTGAATTTTTTAATAAAATTCTGGAATTTTGAAGTTTTAATTCTGTTTCAAATGGACTTCTGAAATCAATATTAATTTCATATCTATCAAAATCTCCTTTTAAAAATGGTTTTGGGGAAATATCAAATAAATTATCTGCAGGATAAATTAAATTCTCATCAGGTATGATTTTTTCCATTTTTTCAAAACTGGATTTAACATTTTTTGGTTCATATAATTGTCTCCCAGAGTTTAATTTATATGAAGATGTTATATCTAAATATAACTTTGATAATGAAGTTTTCTTAGAAATTGAAACAGCTTGTTGATCATCACCATCTTCATTCTTAGGGGATTGGAAAAAATCTGCATCTTCATTTAAATTTTCAAGACAATCAGCATAAATCTCTTGAAGATTATTACTAATTAAATCCCAACCTTGTGATTGATAAAATTCAGGACATGTAGATAAAACTTCAACAGCTTTTTCATAATTTTTATTGTGATAATCAACTAATGCAATATCTATAGATAATGCATCAACAGCTCTTGGTCTACCAGAGATACTAAAATGTCTAATTGCTTCACTAGTTATTGTGATAAAATGTTCTTCAAAAATTTCTTGAGATTCAAATAAAGTTTTCAATTCTTGATGTTGTAAAGTGAATGATGCTTTATGTTCATTATCGTTATCATCTATTGATATTTCATTCATCACTTCACCAATATGAAACCCTAATAGAGTACCTAGTTTCACAAATTGTGATCTTTGAACTAAGAGTAACTCACCAAAACGTTCAGATACTTGACTTATATTTTCATCACTTTGATCTGATGTAAATGTATTGATTTTAGAGCACAAATCCAATTGTAAAACTTCATCAATCAATGTATATGCCCATTCACTAACTTGAGGGTCCGTGATACCATCTTTAGTGTAAAGCTTTAATATATCATGTATGAATAAATGTAATCTTCTTAAAAATTCTGAAACATGAATGGAAGCTATTGACAATGAAGGGGCTGCTTGAGATAATGCATTCAAAATTAAAAATTGTTTGGAGAAAACATATGATCTTAATCTAAATAACGTTACACTTTGATCCTGTGTTTCAAATAATGATGGGATAGATGCAAATTTCAAAAGATTTGTTATAGGTTCTTTAGCAAAATCAAATGTTTCTTCTGGGAAAAGATCTTTATTTTTTTCCAATGGGGTTATGGTTTGTGATAAATAATCATATTCTGTCAAAGCATCTTCGAAAAGACGAAGTTGAAAGAATTGTCTTGATAATCCTTCTGTTAATGCTAATTTTAAAAATGTAGATGATGATGAACTTGGATCATCACCATTATTATTATTTAAGGTATTGACTGCAGCACTCAATTGCTGTAATCTAGATGAAAAAGAATGTAGTATTGAAGACTTTAGTTTATTATTGAGTAAATTCCATGATTCATTTTCCTCCAATTGATTGGTATATTTTTCCTTGAGCCTGATACAACGATCAATATCACGTTCAGGTGGGTTGAAATCAACTTTAAGTTTCTCGAAAACACGCGTTCTGTTCTTGTCATTATCATTTGAATGATAGAATATCAAATACCAATCTAAAGGACCATTTGAACCATCAACATTTGATTTAAGCCATTCTCTTATAAGTGGTCGTATTTTGGACTTATAAGAGTCAATATCATCACTTTCAATCAACATTAATCTCACATATGGTGTGTTCAATAGACGGATTGTTCTTTCCAGCGCTTCAACATTTGACGTGTCTGAAATTTTGAGAGATGGGCCATCAGCGTTATTATCAAAATTTTTGGGAGTTTCTTCAATGAATGTGGTTTGTAATTGAGGAATTGAACGTAAGCTTTCCTTTTCACTTTTCCTCCAATGCAGATTTGTCAAGTTGACTTTTGATTTCAAGTCTGTTCCTAGTTTGGCATAAACATCGTATGGGTCATAGTAGCCTATTCTAATGGGTTGCACATCCAGCGACATAATCCGCTATAGAAGGAACTTGAGGAACTTGGTATTTGATCAAAACATTTGATTTGAACAGCCTGATCTAATGTTGACGTTTTTGATTAAATATTTAAGCGCGAAAGCGCGGCTTATGTAACACATTTCTAAGATTATTGTTTTGGTGAAATTGTATATAGCGAAGTGACTTTGGACTTTGTCCAAGGAAAGCAAGTGCAAAGACTTCAAGATCACGACAACCACGATCCATTGGTATCAATTGGACCCAGTATATTACCATGAGTGACGAACACAAGACACCAAATAAGTCTTACGACTCCACTTATCTCGGGTCAACACAGAAGAAAACAGCTCAAAGACCATTCTCAAGAAGAACTTGGGATATCAGTCCCAGACCACCATCATCACCATTTAGAAGACTTGCAGATTCTGCTAGGAAACAATCACCTGGTTCTGGAGTAAGTTCACCTCTTAGGAGAACACCTGCTAAGAAAGATGATGGTAAGACAGATGAATTGATGAATTGGATTGCGTCAATAAAACATAGAGCAAGTACAGCGCTAGAGGAAGATGAAGAAGACGAAAGATCCTTTTATGAACGAATTGAGAAAGAAAAACGTCAAGTTGAAGCTCAAAATCAAATAAACACCGAAGCTTTTGAAAAGCTGGGATTGTTACTGGATAAGGAGCAAACAACCTTAAAATCTGAATCAAAATTTTCCAATATATCCAATCTGGAGAAGGAATCATCTGAATCCGAAGAGGAATCAGAGGAGAATGATTCATTATATAATGAAGGTTCAGCTAATGATGAAGAACCTGCCAATTATCATTATGAAGAAGAACAATATCCAAAGAATATCAATACCCAAGAAGAACCTGTCGAGGTTATGTCTCTTGATAGTGAAGAAGACGAGGAAGAAGGTGAATTTCAAGAAGAAGAACAAGATGACTTTGACGAGGAGCAAGGTAGTGATAATTACAGAGAAGGAGAACAACAAGATCAAAATGTTGATAATCAATCTGAAGGTTATGACTCTGAAGGTAATGTTATATTTCCAGATGATTCTCAACTTCTACAACTACCTTCTGATTCAGAGCATGAGATCGGTGAAGATGAAGAGATTGAAATACCAAAATACGATGATAATGTTTTCGCTGAAGATTCTAAGAATGAATACGTTGTAACACCTCAATATCAAAGTGCTTATTCACACAGTCGCTCCCAACCACAGGCAACTTACCAATATCAAGAACATGATGAAGTTGACGAAAAAGAGGACCAACAGGATAACCAAGGTGACTATGATGAAGACTTTTCCCAAGAAGAAGACTATGAGAATCAAGAACAAGAGCAAGAACAAGAAGTTGTTGATTTGTCAGATGTTGATGGAGAAGACGAATATGATGACGATTTGGAAGATGATAATGATTCATTTAATGACCAAAAGGATATTCAGGAAGATGCTACTCACCATCGTGAACCAAACTCAGATAATGATCAACCAACTCAATATCAGTTCCAAGAAAACACCGATGGTTCACAAGAAAATCAATTCTTTTCTTTTGATATGCTAGCCAGTGCTGCTTTGAATCAAATACCGCATGAACAGTCCACACATAGAACAATGACGGAAAGAGTTGTTGACATCGATGATGAGGCAGATGTTTTGGAAGAAGACCCACAAGACGATGAAGATGAAAATGTGTTACAGGAAGCTCCAGAAGATGACGACGATGAAGAAGATGTGCTACAAGAAGATCCAGAAGAAGACAACGAAGAAGAAGAAGACAACCAAGATCAATATTCAGGTGAAACTTATTACAGAGAAGAAGAACCTTCAACAGAACAAGATCAAGAGGTTCAATATGAGCAACATTCAGATGCAGGATATGAATCTGAAAACCAAGATTATGAGCCATCTGAACATCATGAGGTGGAGGATATCTATAGTGATAATGATTCTGTAAATGAGGAAGTTGTCGCAGACCACCATGAGGATGAAGTACTTGATCATGAAAACCAGCAAATCAATATAAATGAACAAGAGGAGACTACGCCATCTCAAGAATCTGAAGAAATTATTGAGGATAATGATCAAGAAGTCTCTGAGAAACTTGATCTAGAAGAGCAGGAGAACTCACCAGAGCCAGAACAAGAACAGGAACCAAAAGTTGAGGTATATGAAGAAGAACAATATTATGACTCAGATAATGAACCATTTAAAAGTCCATCACATAGTTTGTTTGGTTCGTTAACCGTTGACGAGGTGTCTGCTATTCAAGATGATGAAGATGAGGAATTGGTATACGGTGGTGTAACTTATAATACAAATTCCATCTTAGCAAACATTGAACACGATACTGGATTCGAAAAAGATGAGCAAGAGGAAAATGATCCTGAAAATGAACTAGATTTAAAAGATGAAGATGGCCTCGAAGGTAATGACGATGTTGACAGAAAGGAAAGAAACGACCAAATTGTCGAAAAAGATTATAATACCAAAGAAGAAATAAGCCAAGAAGAGAAATTACCTGAAAGTAAAGATGTCGAAATTGAAGAAACACCAAGAACCATCACATCAAAGAGTAGTTTTGCTTCATTTTCAAACTTTGGTGGAATCAATAACAATTCTACAATCTCATTCAAAGATGCTTCTTTAGAATTTGAAAAATCTCTGAGCAACAAGAAAGACTCAGATGTCACAGACGTGAATAACGAGGACAAAGGTACATATCCAAAAACAGTTGAATTTGACTTACCTGATAAGAGTGATGTTGATATTAAATCTGGTTCAGAAGAAAACGAAGAAAACGAAGAACAGAAAGGAAACCAAAACAACCAACTTGAAGAGGTACGAGGTGTTGTCTCAAGTATGCTTGAACAGTCATTAGGTGAAAATCCTGAATCATTTATCGAACACGCAAAGAAAGGCCAAGAAGAATTGGTTGAAACAGTCAACAAAACTACACCTGCTGAATCTTTGAAAGAAATTGCTGATAATATGATCAGAAAGTCTTTGGGTGAAGAACCTGAACATTTGGTTGAATCCGTCATTGAAGATTCGAGTTTGAAAGATACTGCTGATGAAGTTGTTAACAAATCACTCGGTGAAGAACCAAAAGAATTTGTGGAAAATAGATTGAACGCTTTAGCTAATGCAGATGAAGAAGAAAATGCTGCAAAATCTTTAAGTGATGAATCCGAAAGACTTATTTACAAGGTTGGAGAAGGTTTGGATAAACTTAACGCAGCTGCACAAGCCAATAAAGATAATGAAGGGGAAGTATTTTCGAAGAATATCTCAGAAGTTGCTGATGAACTAATTAGTGAAGCTGGTGATGTTACAAAAGAGCATATAGATTCCAAAAAGATTGAAGAAGCAGCAGCTCATGATGATTCCATATTTTCTGAATCTATTCCAGATGTTGCTAAGGATCTTATCAATGATGTCAAAAATCTTCAAAACGATAACATATCAGACCAGAAAGAGGAATTTGATAATAACCGAAATTCAGCTATTGTGAATACAGCTAAAGCAGTTACAGATGCCGTTAGTGACGTGGTTGAAAAAGCTAAAGAGGAAGTTGAAGAAGCTATCGAAAGCTCAGTGATTGAACCTGAAAATGCTCTCGATGTTGATAATTCTTTCAATGAAGCCCTAAAAGTTACTGATGATCCAGATAAAACCGAGTCTCAAGAGATCAACAAAAATGATAAACCAGCATTTGATTTTGCAATTCCAGATATAATTAGGGATTCATATCTTCAAGGTCTGAAAGTTGCTCAACAAATTCAAGAACAGGGTGAAAACTTTGTTGAAGAACCAGCTAAACCAAAATTAAACATGAGCTTTTATAACAAAGACAATGAACCAGATAACTCATTAGGTGCTAGTAATGAAGCCATTGCCGGATCATCATCTGAACAAATGTCACCAGAGGAGAAACCAAAACCAGATCATATTGCTAACAACTATGAGAGTGTTAAAGCTGGTATTGAAAGTTTACAAAAGGAAGATTCGAACTCTAGTGTTAATAAGAAAAGAAAATTAGAAGAGACCGAACTGGAAGAGTCAGAACCTACCGGGATCTTTCATAAGATTAGAAGATTTGCAAGCTTTACTAACTTTAGCTTATCACCAAAAAAATCATCTCCAAAAGAGCTTCTAGATGAAGGAGGAAGTTTAAATCAAAATTCAGTTACTAAATCTAAAGAAGAAGCTAAGAATATTTTCAAAGCTGTAGAAACTTTGACTGAAGAGAACATTGAAGAGCCTGTTTCGAAGGAGACAGAACATCAAGCTACGGGAATCAATTTACCACAAGCTGTTGAAGATTTTGCTAAATTCACAGAAGAGAAAGTTAATGAAGCTGTTATAGAACCTGTCAATAGCGCTAGTGCTAGCCCTTCCCCAAGAGGGGAAAATGAGAGTCTGATAGACATCACAGAGGAAGCGGAAAATTTTGTTAGTTTTGTTGAAGATCAAGTGGAAGAATTTATTGATAACTCTGTTACAGAGACAGAAATTAACCGCGATGAGGATGAACAGGAAGTTGAATTTAAAGTTCCAGCTGAAGTAAAGAAATTAGCAACATTTATTCAAGATAAGGTGGATGAAGCAATTGAAAATCAAGTCGCCGGTGAAGATATTAATCGTTCATCTGAGGAAACAGAGATCAAAGTTCCACAAGTTCCACAAGAGTTACATGATTTAGCAGAATCATTCACTGAAAAGGTTGAAGAAGCAGTGGAAAATGAAGTTGAAGGTGAAGATGTTAATCGCTCCACTGATGAAATTGAAATCAAGATCCCAGAGGAAGTTAAAGAAGTTGCTGGTGTCCTTGAAAACACAGTGGAAGAAGCATTGGAAAATCCAGTACAAGGTCTCGAACATGAAGATGATATATTGGAAACTTCACAAAAATCAGAGTCAAATGATATCAATTCTGGTGCCAGTGGTGATGTTGAAGAAGACGATGTTCAAGTTAATGATGATTCAAATATCATAGATAATGATCTGGTAAATTCATTTAAAGATAAAGTTGAAGAAGCTGTTGAAAATCCAATCGAAGGTGAAGTTGATGACAAAGATGGAGATAATGAAGATGCTGTTTCAGAAAAAAAACCTACAGAAGAAAGCTCTTTCTTTTCAACTATTGCAGAAGACGCAAAAGAAGTATTAGAAAAGGCTGGTGATATCGTGGAGGAGACAATTGAAAATCCTTTGACAACCGAAGAGGTAAATCGTGATGAGGATGAGATTGAACTGGAAATACCACAGGAAGTTGAAAATATTGCTAATGATCTTCATGAACAAGTAGAGGAAGTAATTGAGAATCCATTAACAGAATCTGAAATTAATAGAGATGATACTGAAAATGAAGCTAATCTCTCATCGGAGGTTTCCAATTTAGTTACAAATGTTAAAGAAGAAGCTGAGAATCTATTAAATTTTGCTGAAAATACCATTGATGAAGCAATTGATGCACCAGTGGATGAAGGTATCGACAGTACACACGATATTCCAGATGAGAAGGGCGAAGGTGAAATTACAGAAGGTCCTGATCAACAGATTGTTGAAAATGAAGACGCAGGAAATATTGAAAATAAAGAACAAGAAGAAGATGATGATGATCAAGAAAAGAAAGAAGATGATGACCAAGAAGTGGAACTTGAAGGAGAAAAAGGAAAAGAAGAGGAAGAAGGAGAAGAAGCAGAAGAAGTAGAAGAAAGAGATACACTAGAAGCTCGTGATCCATCAACCGAGGTCCAAGAAGATGAAGCTTCTGATGTTTCTAAAGATACACCAGTTAAACCACCAAGCTCCAAGTTTGAATTTTCACAAATTCCACCTCAACAACCATACCGCTCTCCATTTAAGAGAGCTATTGATTTCATATTCAGAAGAGGAACCAATGAAAGATCCAGTACACTGAAAAGCTCCGTTATATTGAAAAATGAAGCTGAAGATAAAGATGTTGAAGAACCTGCAAAGAAACGTCAAAAAATTCAATCTTCAAATGATTTTCATGATCACATAATAATGAAAACCAGAAGTGGAAAAATCGTTGGTGCTAATACTGAAGCTGATATTGAAGATGCTAAAGCGCTAGAAAAGAGAGAAGATGAATTGATTGATCGTATTGCTCATGGTAAAGTCCATACTGAACATGCTGTTCATGATATTGCTGCTGAACATGAACGTATTGAAGAACACCATGATTTGGAAGGTAACCATATTAAACTTGGGGACCTAAAATCAGACCAAGTCGAGCAAGAAATTGTTGAAAAAGAAGAGGAAATTGAAAACACAGAAAGAGAAGAGGAAACTGAAAACACAGAAAGAGAGGAAACACCTGTTCCACAATTTGAGGTCAAGATTGAAGAAGCCAAATTTCCAAATACACCAAAAAGACGCACAAGAGGTAGATCATCCAAAAGAAGTCGTACAGATGTTGATGATTCAGAAGAACCAGAAGAAAAGAAAGAAGAATCCGTTACACCTAAAAGAAAAGCCAGATCAAAGACCAAGTCTAGAAGTCGTAAAGAACTTCCTCCAAAGAGTGAAAGAAAGTTAAGAAGTAGAACTAAATGATCCACAATTAGCTTGTTTTTTTTAAAGTGTAATAAAGAATTGTATAATAATCGAAATGTGTTACGAATTTAAATTGATATTATGATACATGAATCGTTAATTTGAAATTTTGTAGAATATTATATTAGTTATTAAAATGCAAAAATGTGAAACTCTATGTACAGTTAGTTGTTTTTTTCTGAATTCTATTAAAGATGACTTAATCTATAGCATATAAACAAAATGATTTCTAAAATTTGGAGTTTGCCGGACTAGGCAATATGTTTCATCAGATATTCAAAACATCCAAAGAATGCAACACTTGTAATGACAGATCTTGTAACACTAACACTCAACCCTCTATACATCTGTCTTGTTGGGAATGTTAATTTTCTCATTAATAAAGGTTTTGGTGGTTTTCTGGCCAATTCTCTTATGATATTTGACGTTATATCTCTTTGAGTTAATGACTTGACAGTATCAATTGGAAAAACTAAAACCCAACTAAATATACCAGACATAGCACCGGCCAAAGTAATACTTAATGTGGACATGGGTATTGTGGTACCTGGTATAACTGCATTGGCACCACCTGAAAATGCATCAATTAATATTTTAGAAGTTTCATAAATACTAAAATATAACCCAGACCCCAATGCATCTCTCAAAAGATGAAATTTATAACCTGAATAAAGACCCAACATACCTTCGCATCTTCTAATTTGTCTTGCAACTTGAAATGTTGTCTTTGGCATCTTTCTCGGGTTTAAATTCAATTCAGCTTGCATGAGGACATATAGTTGTTGAAATAGTTTGGTAAATTCAAAAGGACATGCAAATAAACTTGTACCAGCACCAGCAGCAAAACCTGAAGCGAAAGACACCGGTGCATTATTTATAGCCAGTATTATTTTCTGTTTTCTTGACGAGTCCGAATCTTTACTTTGTATTGGTTGTATTGTATAATGTTGTAAAGCAGCGGCATATGGTTTAGCAGCAGTATATAACGACACACCCAAGGATTTGGAAAATGAAGTTGATAATAATGGAGCGGTAACACCTCTGAATAAACCTTTGACACCTTCTGTTCTTATCGTCTTTGTTAGACAATCATAGATCCCATTGAAAGGATGTGTTTGCATACGAGTCTTTATGGAATCTAATGGGAACCCCACCACTGTTGAGAATAAGGATGCAGTATATGAAAGAATGGTTGGTCTCCATGGTTGGAAGTTTTGTGGTAATATGTGTAATGCATGGTTGAGATCCAACTCACCAGTAATAGCTGGAGCCACCGTGACTTTATGACTTGCACTCATGGATTTGTTTAGGTATTTTGTATGGAATATGAAATAATGTCTTCTTTTTCTTTGATTTTAAATCTTGAGACAGTTTACTGAGTATGTTGTGCTATCTTTATGGGATTTGACTCAAATTTATTTATTCACTTGTATGCATCTGCTTCGAAGCGTAAAGAAAATTATCACAACAAAAGTAACGAAATAGTACTATTGGACCGTGAAAACTTGAATACTTTGGACACAAATTTTCAGAAAATGACTGATAGACACCTGGATATTAATATTCAAGCACTCAAGCTTGACAAGATTGAAAATTCCTGTTAAAACTCACGTAGATTTGAGCTTCTGGTGATGGAAAATGGTCTTGAATTAATGAATCACAAGTTCGCCAGGGCAGAATTTTTTGTGAATCAGATGAGCGACCGCGAAATGATGAGATTATACCTACATACCACAGTCAATCATGAATAATGTGACACATTGAAGCAGATAGAGAAGAGTAGGAGGAACGACTGAGCGAAGGAGGTATTAATGTGCACTATTAGGTACCAAAGGTACAAAAAAATCCCGAGAAACTTTAAGTTTTACTTATTATATTAATACACAAGATTTGACTAATTATGCTTGTCTTTTACCAGCAGATGATTTTGATTTAGTTTGTTTAGCTTGAGTTTCTGATTTGGAAGCAGAAGAGGATGAACCTTTAGATGGTTTGACCTTTTCAGCTTCAGCAGCTTCAGTAGCTTCACGTTCAGCTTCTTCTTTGTTGAAAATTTCTAATCTTTGTTGATATTCCCATTCACCGTAATATAAACCAACTTGTAACATGATAATACCACCTAATAAGAAGACAATCATTGATGAAGAAGCAGCAATGACATTGATACCAGTATTGGCATCAACTTCACCCCATTCACCATGTAAAGCACTATCAGCACCTGTTCTTAAGTTGGTTAAGTAGACACAGACAGCTAAAACGTATAACAATAATGAACCATATTCAAAATATTTTGAATCTTCAGAAGGTTTATAAAGTTTAATAAACATACCAATAAAACCTAAACCGATGAAGAAATGAATAATATGCAAAGGAATTGATGGAATTTGAGCCCATGTTTGATAATGTCTTAATGAATTATCAAAATCAGCTTGACTGACTTGTTGTGAGAACAATGTTTTGGCATCATAAGGCCAGTTACCCAATAATAAGCCAAGGAAGAAAAAAGTACCTGAGTTTTGAAGTTAGTATATGAATATTCGTTGATGAGAGGGGCGAGATATCTTCAATAATCCCCGTTGTACTGGATTAAAAAACACATACCGGCAATGATCAACCCATTGGCGACTGGTAAAACGTCTTTGTATTTAATAGCCATCTTTTGAATTGAAATGATGTGCAGTTGAGTAAATGCAGAATGTGGTTTTGATCTTAGATGAGAAACGTTGATACTTTTATACCCTTCATTTTGTTATCTATTGGCAAGTTTTTTCCCTAAGAAAAGCCTTCCGCAGCGGGGCTGATTAACCATCAACAATTAGCAGTAGAAATTGCATTATTTTATAAGTTCTTGGAAGTTTTATACGGTGTGATTGATCTCGAATGATACCATTAATAAGAACATATAGTCGATCATAGAATTACTGATCAATACAATTAATTTTAATATCATCATGATAGATCCCTACATTGTTATTAAAAACCCGAACCCAAATTTATTGAACAAATATGTATAATTTATGGAAAAGATTCTTAAGCTTCAACAGCTTGTTCAGCAGCAGCTTCTGGTTCTTCAGCAGCTGGTTCTTCTTTTTGAACGTATGATTTAACAGTTGGAGCTGGGATAGCTTCATCTTCTTTTGGTTCATGAACTTTAACGTAATCTGGTAAAGATTTTGGACCAACTCTGTTGGTAGCTGGGTCTCTCATAATTTTAACTTTAACACCTAAAACACCTTGTCTTAATAAAACGTGACGGGTAGCAGTGTCAATGAAATCTTTAACTGGTTGACCAGAGTGGATTAAGAAACCATCTTGGAATTTCATAGCTTTAGCACGAGCAGCTCTTAATTTACCTGAGATAACAACTTCAACACCTTTAGCACCAGATTCCATAACATATCTGACAACACCGTAAGCAGCACGACGGATAGCTAAACCGTTTAATAATTTGAATTTTAATGATTCAGCTTGAGCAACAGCAGATAAACCACGGTCTTGAACTCTTTCAGCGTATAAGACAATAGTACCTGGAGCAAATTTGAATCTTTTTTGGACTAATGAGGTTAATTCATAGATTCTTCTACCGTTTTCACCTAAAACAGCGTTGGTTTGGGTAGCTCTGATAATAACTTCAGTTCTGGTTGGAGTAACTCTGACTTCAACACCAGCGTAACCTTGTTCAGCTAATTCTCTGGTGAAGAATTCGTTTAATTCGGCGTAGAAGACACCGTCAGCGACCAATTTTCTTTTCTTTGAGATGATGTTAACCATTTTTGATATGTTATGTGTGATTCAATAATAGAACTTTGTATAGTAATAGTATGAAGTTGAATTGTATATATTTTTTTATTCACTACACCTGCACAGTTCCCAGCTACTGGATGCACTGGCTTCAAAGTTTTTCACTATGTCAGGGTAAATAATTTGAAAAATCTTGACTTTCGCGAAGTTTTGCAGTGCACTGAGTGATGTTTGGTTTTCTTGAAATGGGTGACTGAATTACTTTGGTTTTCTTATAACATCCGGACATTATATTGTGGAAGGCACGTGATAAAAGATAGGGCATACAAAATCACGACGCGCTCAAATTTTCAAGTTTAAAGTTTTCTAACATAAATAAACAATAGAAATTGATTGTTTTGATTTCGAATATAATAACATAACGCATGCTGCTGCTATAGATGATGAGGATACATTGCGTGGCACTGCCACTAGTGATGATTGGGCATAGATGAGGGTACTTACTATACTTGTACACAACTTACAAGAGTCAAGAGTCAAATTATTGTAAGTTAAGTAACAGCTTGTAAGTTGACTACGCGCGTATGGATCAGATGATACAATGTCCTAAGTTCTAAGTCGATTACTGATATATATTTGGTAGATCAGATATACGTCTAGTATATACTATATACCGTATACGCTAAAATAACCAATCGCACTCAGGAGTCAGCTGCTGAATTACTATAATATAGTATACAATATATTATATGAGTGATGATAGTACAGTATTATAATTTATGTATACATGACAATTTACTACTACGCGCGGATAAATTAACGTTCTTGCAAATATGTTCAAGGTTCTAGGTTCTAGGCCCATGAATATTCATGAATCATGAATCTTTATCAACAACAGCATAAAGCATGATTATTCTTTAGACGCGGTAAAATTTACGACAAACGCGCTTTGAACAAGTTAAAGCCCGTCAAGAACAAAGCAAAAACATGAGTCCAAAAGTATGAGTTATAAGCACACAAACCCTATGTAACTTGGATCTAAATAGTTCATTTAGACTCTACATTATGACTTGAATTACTTTTGGAAAATAGATAGTAAAAGTAGCTTTGAAAACGTGAAGTTGTGAATCATTTTTAGTTCTTGATTGTCGATTAAATTTTATAACTTGATCTTCAAATTGAAGTATGTGTCTAACGCGTTCACCTGGTGATATAAAAAATGTGCCTGCGAAATCAAACACATTCCGACGGAAAACAATAATAAACAATAACAAGATCATAATAAACAATGGTAACTGGGGTATTATAAACTCATAGCAAACTTAGATATCAGAGATGAACTCTTGATTATCCAATGAAAGCTTTCAAACTTGAAAACATTTTCCGTGAAGCTTTGCGGCTTGTCTGGGAGTACCGTGTGGTGTCATAGTTTACCGTAACCTAAAACGCAAAACCTAATAAATTTACATGGTTAAAGGTTAAAGGACCACATGGCTAGCCTCATAGACACAAAGCGAATCTAAACAAGCGTTAAATTTTATATGGTAATCAGCTGTATAGTAGTAGCCTGTAGGTGAATGAACAAAATCGCTGGTGGTGATGTTATTAATTCTAGGCCCCACCATCTACTTGAAACGATAATTCTACTTATACTCTTGTCACTTATGTTTATCCTGGATCTCTCAGCCATTTAGGTACTTACCAAGAGTCTCTCGACCTCTCATATTTCTTGGTTCCTTGTTTATTTGATTTCTTGATCTTGAGACTTGATTTCAACCGTTAACCAGCGTATTTTGGAAAGTTTTGAAGCATGGCTCCAAAAATAATTTTCTAGGCTGCAGATCAATGCTGGAAGAGTGCTTGACTTGTCGCCCAAAGTGGAAATCGCACAGATCTCGGAGAGCTGCACAATTCCAAATCAGTCGATTCAGTCCCGATTTGGAACCGCACCATCCAAATCTATCCAGCATTCTTCTCTGAAGGGATGGAGTCGTACCAAAATAGTGTATGGCACTAGTTTTACGGAATCATAACAAATAATTTTAGTGAAGAATGTTTATGATCCATAGTTTTTCGGATGATGAGTTGATAAACAAACATTTGAAGCTTCAGAAAAAATTATAAATACAGGTCAAATCCTCCAAATATTCTTAGATTTTTTATAATTCTTTTAATCATCATCAAATAGATCATTATCAAAGTTCCAACTTTAGTCTTTCGTTAACAAAACAATCAATATATCAATCACAATGCAATTCCAATTAGTCACTTTATTATCTGTCGCTGCTTACGCTGTCGCTGCCTCTGCTGAATCAACCTCAGTTGCTATTGTCAGTGAAGAATCAACTGTCACTTCATCAATCGAAGACTGTGCTTCAACTGTTACCAACTGTCCAGCTAGATCATCTTCTGCTCCAGCTGCTCCAACTACCGTTGCTCCAACTAACGGTACCAACGTTACCAACGGTACTGTTAACCCACCACAAGTTACTTCATACGAAGGTGCTGGTAACGCTTTATACGCTCAAGCCGGTGTTGCTGCTATTGCTGGTGTTGCTGCTTTATTATTATAAGCTGATTAATGGATTATTTTTCAATTATAATCGATCATTTATTCATCATTTCTTATAAATATAATCAGTCATTTTATTCAATATAATAATAAACTTTCATAGTTCATGATTTAGATAACGGGTTTTCTCAGGTTTGTTAGGTTTTTTTAGGTTTTTGTATATTAGAAGTTTAGATCAATATAACATCTAAATTTTGGTTTTTAAAAGTGAGTTGTAGAGATAATTTAGGTAATAGCTATTCATCAAACGATCTATTAGCACCAATAACTATTCGATCGGAGTTATTAAAATTTCATTAGAGCTAGTTCCTACTTCCAACTAGTTGGTCTGCTTGATTAGACTGCTAACATCTTCATTTAGTTAAACTAGTTTGTCAGTACGTACGTTTATCATGAGTATTTGGTTGAAGCGTTATGTTGGTTCACAAGCTACCACACAATTTAGTATAGCTCCACCTTTTTAGCTTAATATTAAGGTAGTAATTCAAAGCCTTTGACTTCAAGCAGCGGCTGATCCACTCTTTATAGATGTACGTCACCGTTGATTTCCTTCTACGCTCATGCTAAGCAGCTACTAAAGCGTAAACTAACACAAGGCTTTCAAGCTCATAGTATTTTAGTGGCATTTGCGCGGCGACCAGCTCCGTTACCCTTCTGTGGTTTCGCACTTAATTTTCAAAGGACGTTTGATTTTTTAAGTTTTCCGCGTTGACTAGGAGATTTCCCTTTTTAGCTGCGTATGTTGGCTCAAAATTCCTACACTCCAAAAGTAAATTGTACAATAATTGCAGTCAACATTCCACATATTTCTAAAATTGACTAACGTTCATTTGTATCAGAAACTATAACGGTGATCTTCTTCATTAAAAGCTTTTTTTTTACTTTTAGCGATCTCTTGAAGAATAAAAGAATCTTGTACCTGATTTATATATAAATTTTCAGAGGGTCGGATTTTCAGATACAGATTTTTTCAAGGTGTCAGGAACTAAAATTATCAGACAATTATAGCTATTATAAGCACAAAGAGATATATCGCTAGATTATTTAGAGGACTTAAGATAAGATGAGAAGTTTCAAATGTGTTGTTGTTGGTGATGGGTAAGTCTATATTACAATTAGTGAAGCATTGTTAAAATTTCAGCATTGATAAGTATTAAGTGCTATCATGAAATTTGCAGCTTCGTGAATGAATAACGTTGAAATTTGAATATCTAACAATAAACCATATAGTGCTGTTGGTAAAACTTGTTTATTGATCAGTTATACTACAAATACATTCCCACAAGATTATATTCCAACAGTTTTCGATAATTATACCAAGAATACTTTATTTGAAGGTGCACATTATAAATTAGAATTATGGGATACAGCAGGTCAAGAAGATTATGATAGATTAAGACCTTTATCTTATCCTCAAACTGATGCTTTCATAGTTTGTTTCTCAATTGTGGAACCATCTTCTTTCAAAAATATTAAAAGTAAATGGATCCCAGAAATTAGACATCATTCTTCAGATTCAGTACAAATACTTCTTGTTGGTACAAAAGCTGATTTAAGAGAAGATCCTCATACTTTAGATAGATTAGAAGAATCTGGTAATGAACCAATATCCAAAGCTGAAGGTAAAAAAATTGCCAAAGAATATGGCCTTTATGATTATTTAGAATGTTCTGCTGCAACTCAAGAAGGTGTTGAAGAAATTTTTGATTCTGTGATAAAAGCAGTTTTACAAAGTGAAAAAGATGCAAGTGTTCCACCTGCTCCAACTGTTGTTACTAATCAAAATAGAAATGTTTCTGAAACTCAACAACCTACAAGGATATCTAAAAAACCAAGAAAGAAGGCTAAATGTACAATTTTATAAGTCAATTAAAGACGGAAAAACCCATATCATTGTGTTATAAAAGTTTATGACTGAGCATTCATTTTTATTTTTCTCTGGTTCTTCTTTTATATCTAATTTTCTTACACTAAATTATGTACTACTTTTCATTGTTTTTCAATTTTTTATTTTATCATTGTGTTGGTGTTATCATCAATATTGCAAATGGTGTGCAATATCATCTTTTATTTTATTTTTTCTACTCGTTTTGTTATACCTCTTTTTTTTTTATTTCATTTCATAACTTGGAAGTTTTGTCTGGATGATTTTTGAATATATTTTCAAATTCACTACAATTTTTCCAAGTAAAGGACCTCTTAAAATTGATTCTTCTTAAAAATAATATACAAGTTTTGATAGATTTCATTGGACATTAAAATGACTGTAAGACGTTACTATTGGAAGGTGTTTAATTTCCCATCATCTTTGCAGCTCTTGCAGGATGAACACCAGTTAAATCTTGAGCTTTAGCAGCATCAGCTTTTTTCATTCTTGCTGCTCTTTCTTCTTTTAATCTAGTTTTTCTTTCATCTAATAATTTATCATTTTTTTCTCTGATTTTATCTAATCTATTAGTTGAATTACCACCACCACCAACGGTTAATTCAACATTAATTTTTCTATTTCTTAAAGTTGAATGATGCATACGTAAGGCAACTTCCATCTTATGTTGAATATCACCTCCTTTACCATCAAACTCTAAAAATGCTATACCTTTATCTGTTCTGATCCTTATTCTATCTGGACCTGCTGCACCAAAATGTGATAATAATTCAGTTTGTGTAACATCATAAGGTAAGTTCCCTACGAATAATAAGAATCTTGGAGCACTACCACCTGATCCTTTACCCTTTTTACCTCTTCTTGTTTTACGTTTCTTCTTTACAGGTTCTTCACCTTCTGTAGTTGTAGTTGTGGTTTCTTTATTCTCATCTTTTGATACTTCTTCTTTCTTTTGATCTTCTTTTGATTCCTCAGTTTTGTCCTTTTTGGTCTTGTTACGGAACTCTAAGGCTTTCTTTTGTTTCTTTGTAAGTTTAGCTTCAGCTTCAGACATCTTTGTAGCTTAATTTATGGTTCTATATTATACATCAATATTCTTATGTATGTTACATTTTATAGTGGGTAAATTTTTTTTTTCTATAGAGATGAGATCGCAATACCGATGAATTTTGGCAGAATTTTGAAGTTTTTAAGAACATTAATTTAACAACTAATAAATTTTGTTACAAAACAATTGAAAATTCAACTTCAAATTTCCAAATTCATTTTCAATTTCCAAATAGATTCATAGAAGGGAATGAGCGAGAGAGAGTTCAGACCAAGCAGAGATCATGATGTCAAAATAAAAAGCAGAAATCAGTCAATGAGCCCCAACAGGCTGAATAAATCAGCAAAGTTTAGAGATCGATCAAGAGATCGTTCACATGATCGTTCAAGTATAATATCCAATGGGAAACCAAGTGAGAAACCTAAGAGGAACGATGGTGATGATACCGAAGAAAAAGATTTGAAAACACAAGATGAAAGAGGCCGTAGTTCATCAAGAAAAGCTGATGAACCTCAACAAGAAGGTTCAAATGATAATGGTCAAGATATGATGATGCAATTAATGGGATTTGGTTCTTTTGAGTCTACAAAGGGAAAACATGTTGCTGGTGTTGGTTCAGGTACCGCTAAAAAGAATAAAAAGGCTCAATTTAGACAATATATGAATAGAGATAAAGGTTTTAATAGAAATTTATCACCTGAAAGATCCAAAAAGAAATAAAGTGGCGGCTAAAATGAGGTTGAAGCTAATTTTAATTCTACTGTTATTTATAAGTTTTGCTCTATAAAAGTGCTGAGAGACAATGAAAATGTACATTAATTTATTCTAATTCTATAAAATCATTGATTTGTATGTTCAGAATATAAATCTTCATACAATTTTCTAATATCTGTATATGCTTTAGTTAATTTAGTAACTTTTTCTTGTAATTCTTGAACAAGTTCACCATCATTTGAATTTGAACCATTATTGGATTGTTGATCATTTGCAAATACAACTTCTGAATTAACACCGTTCAAATTTTGGAAATATAAAGATTCTTTAGAAACTCTATTTAAATGTTCTTCAATGTTGAATAATTGTTCTTCTTGATCTTCACCAACTTGGAATACAACATCTTGTTCTTTAGGATTCTTATTACTAATGACTCTTTTGAAAGGTGGAATTGCTTTTGAAGTTTTATCAATGGTTTGATTTAATGCATTTTTATGAGTTGAAAATACTTCAATATTTGTAATTTTACTATTTAATTCTTTTAATTCCTTAACAATTTGTTTAGAAAGAACATCACTTATAGTAATTTTACCAGATGAATCACCTGAAACTAATAATGAACCATCTAATGAAAGTCCTAAACTTGTAACAGGATTTGGACTATGATGTGTTAATGTATTTGTTAATTGATGATCTTCTGATAATGTAATCACTTTACCATAACCACCTTTAGCTTCCAAGACATTTGTTGCAGGATTTGGTTCATAAATATTTATTTGACGAATATTACCATTGTTTAAACCTAAATAGATTGCTCTATCAGCAGAATCAACAACAATAGATTCAACTTGTTGACCAACGATAAATGTTGATATTAATTGGAAATTTGTTGTTTCATAAACACGTATCGTTGAATCTCTTGAAACTGTATAAATTTTAGAGTCTTGATGAATACTATTATTTATGAAAATATCTGTAATTTCCAAAGTATTATCTGAAATGATCTGTACAGGTTTAATAACTTTATCATCATCTTTAACAAATGAGATTAAATCAATGATTTTCCATATTAAAACTCTTGCATCTTTACCACCTGAAACTAAATATGAACCATCTGAAGTTGTTTTCAAAACATTTACACTTTGATAATGTGCTTCTTTAACACATAATAATAAACCTGAGTTTAATTCCCATACATATATCTTACCACTAAGACCACCACCAACTAATAAATATGGTAATCTAAATTTTGGGAAATTTGAATCATTTTCAACATCATATTCTTCATTATAAACATTTGGTGAATTTGGACATAATGTTAAACTTGTCAATTGTTCAGGGATTGGAATTCTTTGATCTGGAGATTCTTTACCCCATGTATAGACATTAATCAACGCTTTGCCTCTAGAAGCAACGAAAACTCTATCACCAGCACTTGTCCCCGTTATAACTGAACCATGAGGGTATGATGAAGATTGACGAAATGCATAGTTATGACTCTGTGTATGTATTGATGTAGCGAAAGCATTCACTTGAGCAGCGTTTTTGTCATCACCATGACCTTCTGAGTTGTAATAAACTATTTCTTCCATTTTCTAGTTGTAGTTTAGAGCAGTGAAAAGTATATTTCCTTACAATATACCAAATCTCTATACTGACAAAACATAGGGTTTATAATTTTTTTTTTCTTCCTCATCGCTGGTTACACACCCCTGGTCTCCCGCCAAAAAAGATCCAGATCAAAATCAAAATCAAATGCGTACGCGACTGAAAAAAGAATCACTTATTAAAAGAACAAGTCAAAGTTTGAAAGAACCAACGAACAACTGGCAAAGAAATCAATCTTTTATACAACGAAAATGCCTATCAATATCATCGGAAGTATGGTCGTTCAAGGGCCAGAGGTCCTTCCAGGCTGGCAATACATCAAGAGCTATGGACCGCTATTAGCAGTGATTGGTGGTTTGAAATACTATTGCCGCGGTACTACAAACACTTGGGAAAGAGATCTTCATGGGAAAGTTTATATCATTACTGGTGGTACTTCTGGACTAGGTGCTGCTCTTGTCGATGATTTAGCTGCTAGAGGTGCTCAACTTATCTTGTTGGTGAGGTCAATTGAAGATGCGTGGTTAACGGAATATATTCAAGATCTTCGAGACAAGCATTCAAATTTCTTGATTTATGCTGAAGAATGTGATTTATCCTCTTTATACTCTGTTAGAAAGTTTGCCACTAAATGGTTAGATAATTCACCTCCAAGAAGATTAGATGGGGTTGTTTGTACTGCTGCTGAAGCATTACCTTATGGTAAAGAACGTGAAAATTCTATAGATGGTTTAGAAATTCAAACCGCTGTGAATTATGTTGGACATTATCATTTATTAACTTTGTTATCACCTTCATTAAGAGCTCAAATACCAGATAGAGATGTTAGAGTGATATTAACAACTTGTTTGTCTCAAGCAATGGGTAATTTAGATTTAAAAGATCCATTATTCATAGCTAAACGTTATCCAAAGAATAAACCATGGACAGTTTATGGTACTTCCAAATTACAATTGGGATTATTTGCTAAAGAATTTCAAAGAAGATTATTAGCTGTACCAAGAAAAGATGGTTCGCCACTTAATGTTAGAGTTAATGTTGTTAATCCAGGTTTTATGAGATCTCCAAGTACCAAGAGAGTTTTAAGTTTTGGTTCATTATTCGGATTATTTTTATACTTGGTATACCTACCTATATTATGGGTTTTTTTAAAATCATCTGCTCAAGGTATTCAATCAATATTATATGCATTAATGTGTCCTGATTTTATTAATTTAGATGGTGGTAATTTCATTTCAGAATGTGACATATATAAACCAGCAAGAGCTGAGTTTGAAGATGCAGAATTACAGAAGAACTTGTTTGACGCTACAGAGAAATTTATTTCTGAAGTGGAAAAAGATTCTGCTTATAAACGTAAAAAGGCAGAAGCTATAGCTAAAAAATCCAAAGAAACTAAAGATAAGAAAGAAAAAGAATCCAATGCGAAATCAAACGATAACTCGAAAGAAGATATTGGTTTGAAAACAAATAGTCAACCTAAAGGTGAAGTACCATTATTCCCAGAATTAGATAAAGATGGTAATATCAAATCAAGTAAACCTGCAGCAACCAATAATTCCAAATCCAAGAATAACAAGAAGGGTAAAAAGGGTAAAAAAACTTGAGAAGTAAGATAAACTAATTGATCATCAATCTATAAACGAACTTTGCATTCAACAATTATCAATGTAGCTTAAAATCCACACAATAAATTAATAATTTATTCCCATACTTTATATTTCCGACCACACTGGCACGTGATAATCTTACTATAGTCGGAACTCGTCCTCTTATCTTTATCTCCACCAATGAGCTTTGGATTCTCGATGAGATCAATAATCAACTGCTTCGTAAGAAACTTGAATAATAGGAGACGTGCTTCTGGTGCTTCTTATGCTGATAATCACATAATAAATTGAGAATTTTGATCTCGTTGATACACAATTTTAAAAAGGATCACAAAGTTCAAACTTGATCAGATCATCACCAAATCATCAACAACTTCAAGCAAGTTCTCAAACGGTTAATACTCATATCACCGGCGCGGAAAAACTTTAGATAGCGGTACTTCAATTTAACAAAGGTATTAATCAATTCTTCATCGTCAACATTCAACATAGCAACAACAACAACATTCATCCATATACATCCATCACAATATATTAGCTAATGGCTTCTTCACCGATGTCGTCGTTGACTCGACTTCTACAAAAACAGAATGAAGAGAAGAAACAATCAAATTTGAAACCTCAAAGTACTGATGATAATGAATTAACAAATGCTGTTTCTATTGAGGGTGTTGAAATACCAACTTATGGTGAAGAACTTCTAAGTCCAGAACCTGAAATCCAACAATCAAGCTATAACCAAAGAAGCCCCATTTCTATAACACCTTCAAGTTATAGTTATTCAAGAGCTCCTCCAATTAGAGCTCCATTACAAGCATCAATACATCGTAATCCATCTCAATCTAATGGGTTTTATAATAGTGGTGGGAACTCTTATTCAAATCACTCATACTCTTCAAGTATACCTTATTCTGCTCCAAATAGTGGTGGTAACTCAGATTCAAATACAAGCTCATCATATTCAAGATTAAGTGGATTACCTTCAAATATTTCAGCTATTGAATCAATAAATATTACATCACCAAAAGTTTCTCAATCAAATATTGAACCAAGATTTGTTATTTCAAAGCAAAAAGTCGCAGCATCTCAAGCTGCTAATTTACAATCAAGATCAGTTTCTAATTCCAATAATAGTGGGAATGGTATGTTTTCAAGATCAAGAAAAAATTCTCAATTAGATTTAGGTTCTTTTTATAACAATTATTCATCATCACAAGCATCTCCAATAAATGGAACAAATACACCCACAATAGATACAGTTGCTGGATCACCATCAAGTGCTTCAAGTTATGATTCATTACATGGGAAATCAAGACATAGTTCTATGGCTGACTTAAAGAGATTTTTCAAAAAATCTGGTTCTTCACCTAAAACAACAAATGGGAATGGTATTAATTCATCAAGTTTTGCAATGTCACCACTTACAAGTACTTTTTCCATTGGAAGTACAGCATCAAGAGAAAGAACTGGAAGTATGAGTTCTTCCTATAGTAATAATGTTTCTCAATATACTACACCACAAACATTACCATTTTCTAAAAGATATGGTAAATTTGGTGAAAATTTAGGTGCAGGAGCTGGTGGTTCAGTTAAATTAGTTAAAAGATTATCAGATCAAAAAGTATTTGCAGTTAAAGAATTTAGACAACGTATATCAACTGAAACAAGAAGAGAATATGCTAAGAAAATAACTGGTGAATATTGTATTGGTTCAACTTTAAGACATGCAAATATTATTGAAACTGTTGAAATTGCTTATGAAAATGATCGTATTTTACAAGTTATGGAATATTGTGATTATGATTTATTTGCAATTGTTATGTCAAATAAAATGAGTACTAATGAAATTGATTGTTGTTTTAAACAAATTTTAACTGGTATTGAATATTTACATCATATGGGATTAGCTCATAGGGATTTAAAATTGGATAACTGTGTTATAAATAGTCAAGGTATTGTTAAATTGATTGATTTTGGTTCTGCTGTGGTGTTTTCATATCCTTTTAGTAATAAATTAATTGAAGCATCAGGTATAGTGGGGTCTGATCCTTATTTATCACCAGAAACTTTAGTTTTCCCTAAGTATGATCCAAGACCTGTTGATATTTGGTCAGCTGCTATGATTTATTGTTGTATGGTTTTGAAAAAATTCCCATGGAAAATTCCAAAATTAGCTGATAATAGTTTTAAATTATTTTGTTCAGGTAGAGATTCAGATTCTTTAAGTTCTTTATTAGTTAAAGTTCCTGCTTCAAAACCTATTGAAGAAAAACCAATAACAAAACCAAGTGGATTATCAAACTTATCAAAAGCTTTTTCCAAACCATTATCAGAAGTTGAAACTGTAAAACCAGATGAAAACAAGAATGATAGCAGTGCAATTTCATCATCCGAGTCAGAATCGTCAAATAAAACTGATACCAATGAAAATGATGAATTCAATCCATCAAGTCCACCAACAACTGCAACTGGTGAATATGGTACAACTCCAACAACTCCAACTCCATCATATGAAGCATCAACTGCAACTACAAATCAAGATCAACAAGGTGAAGCACATACATCTCAATTAATTGGTGAAGCAAGATTATTACAAGCATTACCAGCACCAGTCAGACCAATGATTGGAAGAATGGTTGATTTAGCACCAGCTTGTAGGGCAACAATTGATGAAGTTATGAATGATTCATGGTTGAAAACTGTTGAAACTTGTTGTGTTGAAGATCGTATTGATGGATCTGGTATTTCTCATCAAATTTTCCATGAATCAAAGAATCATGTACATACTGAAGTTGATCAATCTGAAGCACATATTGCTTCTTTAGAAAAGAAAAGACGTGGTTGAATAAAAAATAAGCCATGGAGTATTTTATTACATATATTTAAAGTCATTTGTTTTGTTTTGGTTATTAATGATTATAATTTATAAGTTCATTTCGGGTAAGTGTTGTGTACAAAGAAGATGTACACTCTTATACTTTACAGCATATATAGATTCATTTATATTATAGAGTTTTTTTACGTTTTAACTGGGTACATATTATTTACATTTTCACATTAGATATTTGATATTTGATATAGAACGTCGTCATATTGAAATGTTCTATTTTGAAGAAATACAGAGTCTTGTAGATGTTCAAGTTTATTTATAATCTTGTATTTTACCTATGTACAAATGAAAATATACTTTATTATTTCTAATCCATAATTTTCCACTTTTTTTTCTTTCTAATATACAGCCAATAATTTTTCTTTTTCTTATATCACAACGTTAATACCCATACTTTTAGCAGTAGCAATAACACTTTTACAAATACCTTGTAATTCTTGATCTTTATGACGCAAATCAGTCTTCTTAATCTTTGCAATTTCATAAATATGTTTCAATGAAACTTCACCAGCAAATGCTTTACCCGGACCAACTTCTGAAGCACCTTTATCAACACCAGCGGCTTTTAATAATAAATAACCAGTTGGTGGTGATTTCAACTCAAATTGGAAAGATCTATCTGGTTTAATAATAAGAGCAACTGGGATTGGAACACCTGGATTAAATGAAGCAGTTCTTGCATTAAATTCTTTACAGAAATCAATAGCTTTAACACCTTTAGAACCTAATGCTGGACCAACTGGGGGTGTTGGAGCTGCTTGTCCAGCGTTGACTATTAGTTTAACGAAAACGTTCTTTATTGGACCACCACGACCTGACATCTTGTTATTTGAACGTGTTGAATCTAAATCCAAATCAAACTATAACAAGTTTAATCAATACATCTTTCAAAATCTATATATTTTCAGTGTTGAAAAATTCAACTTTTTTCAGAAACATGATTATGTAATCATCATATAGTGCACCAACCGACAATTGTCAACATAATAAACAAGATTTTAGTTAAATTTACTTGACTACAAAAGTTTGTACAACAAATTAACGATTATATTATTGACTTTAGTCTAATGCAAAAGGAAAAAGAACCCTTGAGGTGAAATGTTATTAAACAGTGTGAAATCATCATATTGATATGAAGAGATCAATGCAATTTTGAAAAAAAAAACTAATGAATTATTAAAACTTGTATAATACTTATTTGATGATTTTAATATCTTTTGAATCTTTTGGATTTACCAGATCCATGATCTTTAGCATATCTTTTTTGATTTGAAGATCCAATGTTTCCAAGGTTATTAGTTGGTTTTAGGCCATTGAAACCTTTCTTTTTATTATTTGGTGATAAATTAGTAGGTTTGCTTGGTTTTGCAATACCAACACGTAATTGTTTGATTTTATTTGAAATTGGACTACTTGTTGATGTAGTTGATGCAGATGATGCGGATGAAACAGATGATTTGTTTGATGATGATGATGATGATGGTTTGTTAGTATTAACTTTAGATTGTTTTTGTATTGGTGCTGAAACTTGTTTAATATCTTTATGAGTTAATCTTGTATATATCAAATAATATGCTGATGGATCTTTTAGTGCTTGTTTTTCTGTGATTGTATTTATATATTCGTCATCATATGTAGCCCATACACCATCTGGTTGACGACAATGTGCAATATAATGACCAGAAGATACTGATCTACCTTCATGAACAACAACAGAGATTAATTGATATAAAACAGGTTCAGAATTTGTGGTATATTGAGATAAATCCAAGATCAATGGATATGAAACACCTTGTTTAACTTTTGATGATGAACTACCATTAAATCTAAATCTTTTCAAATGAACAGCTAATGTTTCTGGAGCTCTATCAATTGTACTAATCTTAATGGCATTTGTTCTTTTCTTACATTTTTCACAAACATAACCACTCTTATCAGATCTATCAGTCTTAATTAATTCTGGTGAAAAGAAATCTCTTATAGATTTATTGATTGAATATCTATGTTTAGCTTCAGCTGAATCAGTTTGAGCTTGTGCACTTAATGAAGATTGTTGTTGATTAACCATTTCAGATTGACTATTTTTTCTTGAAGCGCCTAAATGTAATGAAAGATCATAAAATTCTTGTTGTGTTTTAGAAACATGACCACAACTTTTACAAGTCACAAATTGATCTAAAGAACCGCCAAATATATCATAAATGATATTTTCATTTAATTTCTTACCCTTTGGTGTACCATCTTCTTGTAATCTTGATAATAAAGACATGAAATATTCATGTGAATCTTCTTGTTGCCATTCAGACATCATACAATTGATATCATCTAATTTACCAATCAATTTCTTTGGATTTATGAATTTTGGACCACCTTTCTTAGGATTATTTTTTTCTAAATTCCACATTCTAGCAGAAGTTTCAGCTAATGTTTGTGAAACTGATCTTGGATTGATGGTATCCTTATATTTACCATTTGAAATATCAAGCAAATAATGTTGAACAGCAGGAATATGGATCATAGCTTGAACAGCAGCGTTTGTATAACATGTAACACCGTGGTTCAGTAAACCTAATGGTTTACGTGTACTGTATTTAGAGCCCCAGTTTTTAATTATTCTATCAGAATCATTAGAGCCTCTATCTGCTGGTGATTCTTCTATTCCGTAAAAATCACTTAACTGTAAAGCAGACAGATCTTTAGATTTTGAATCATCACTGTCTTCATCTGATTCTGGTGATGTTGGTGGTGTGTTTGTACCTGTTCTACTAGCATTTTCTGATTTTTCAGCTAGCAAGTCCCTTTTGATATCAGGTTCTTGATCTGCTTCTTTATCATCAGTTGGTAATTCATCAGCTTCACTTGATTCCTCATCTTCACCTTCATCCTCAGTTGATTCTTCTTCGCTTTCTTCAGCTTCACTTTCAGATTCCTTGTCAACGTAATCAACATCGTCTTCTTCTTCTTCTTCATCATCTTCATTATTGACATCGATTTTAGATGTGGAAGCAGTAGGTACTGGTGTTTCTTCTTCGTCTTCGTCTTCTTCTTGGTCATCTTCATCATCGTTACCACTTGTACTTGAGCTATTATCTTTTTGATATTTCTCATAAACCTTCTTGCTTATTATATTGTGAGGCGTTAAGGAAACAAAATCTCCGGTTTCAGCGTCTGTATAGTTTGTATCATCATCTGAAGAGCTTGATTCTGATTCTTGTTGAGGAGTTGATTCTTGAGTGGCTTCTGGAGTTGTGCTAGCTTCAGTTTGGTCTTGTTCAGATTTTTGATATTCATCGCCATCGCTGTTGTTTGATTCCGAATTGACGGCGGATGGTGATGATTCCTCTTTTTGATCTTCAGAGTCTTGAGCATTTTCAGTTTCACTTTCACTTTCATCATCATCAACGAGTTCTAAATCTTCACCTAAATCTTCATTGTTTTCGGATTGCTCTTCTGAACTTTGCTTTGTCAGTTTTCTGATTTTTTTACCTCTTTTATTTGTGGTTGTGTCATCTGCTAGTCTTTTACCTGTATAACCTGCAATTGCTTGTGCTAAAGAAGCAGGACGCGCTTTTGCCATTCCGGAACTAGATTGTTGTATGGATCCTGTCTCTATTTTTGACGTTAGATTCTGTTGATCACTATTAGATTGGTCCTTTGCAGAGCTTTGTCCTATCTTGATGTATGATGCTGGTTTATCTGTGACTATATCTTGATGTTTTGCAGATGAGAAATGTAGAGGATCTGCTAATATTCTTTGAACAAGTGGTGCAATATTATCCTTGATGATATCTGGGGTACTCATTTGACTTTATAATGTCCTTTGATGGGGTTCCTATGTATAACGAGATTAACCCAAATATCTAAATTCAAAATTGAATACTTGATTGTGTAATTAATTTAAAATCTCGTATGAAAGATTTCTGTAGTGATGCTTCTTCTATTTTTTTTCGTGGAAAAGTTTAAAAGCTGTGGAATCTATCAAAAAGTGGAAAACCTTGAAACACCGCGATGAAATTAAATAAATGGGCAATAGAGAAAGTAGAACTGTGACGCCGATTATCTATAGTCTATGGTTCAATAAAGTATGAGTGCAATGAATATAACTGCTTTCTGAGAAGAAATAAAATAATTTTATATGTCAAAACTGCCTTTCTTGAAAAAAACGCTTCTTCTCGCTTTTCAAAATATTCCTTACAAAAATTTTTACTTTTCAAAAAATCAAAAATGCGCAAAAAAAAAAAAAAAAACTTAAAAAAGTAAAAATAACTAAAAAAAAAAAAAAAAAAAGGTTATTAAATTTATATCGCGTTTTACAAAAAAACAAAATTAACGGATCAATTTGGAAATTTTGGCATATTCGCGATTTCGCGACTCAATATACAAGTTTTAACGCTCAGTACTATTGATATGTAATACCAGTATTGTTATTGTACCTTTTTATTGCAGCTATAACTCTTCTATGAATCTCAGGAAACTGGCTAGTACAAAGGAGACATTCAATGGACTGATCAATGATTCAATAGATAAAGAAAACGCACTACACGCTTCTCTAGTACGTGAAAATTCACAAAATGGATATGTTTATCCTGCTTTAGGATCACCAATCAAGTCTAGAGATTCCCAACCGTTGAAAGATCATTTATACAATGTTGGTACATCATTCAACTGGTGTGATAATGGGAGCACATTCATCACCGTTTCTGAGGATCATGGTATCCGAACTTATATCACATCACAAACTTTAATTGATGATGATAATTCACAGTTAATCCCATATTTAAGGATCTTCAAATCAACGCCCATCATTAGTTCTGCTTTATATCCTGATTCTTCTTTATATTCCGGATCGTGCTCTATGTTAATCTCTCAAAAGGATGTTCCATTGAGATTACAAAGTTTAATTCCTAATGAAGACAATGAATATCCAATCATACAAAGTTATCAGATCCAAGATAGACAAACAGAGATCTTCCAAAAGGTTAATTCAATGTCATTCTTGGATGGTGCAAGATTCATAACAGGATCAAATAAATTTATATCGTCATTTGATACACAAAGATCTGAGGCTATTGCTTCTATCCCGTCAAAAAGTGGAATTGTTAGCGCTTTAACAAACGCAAAATCAGAATTTGCAAATGATGGATTCTATTCAGGTTCGTTTTCAGGTAAACTTACATTTTATTCAAACGATTTAGAACCTATAGAACAAACTAAAGTTCAAAATGGGAATGGGATTACTCAAATCATAGAATCATCAAATGGAAAATATTTATATGTCATTTCAAGAAATAGTTCACATGTTGAAGTGCTAGATATTAGGATGGGGTTAAAACAAGTTGCCAAATTAACAGGTTTAGTTACTTTGAATCAAAGGATAACTGGTGATCTTTTACCACAGTCACAAGGGTTAATTATAGGATCCAATGATGGAAAACTTTTGGTTTATAAAGATGCAGAATTGGGTATGGACTGTGAACCTGAATTCGTTACTTTAAATGATTGTATCCCAATCTCATCCGTTGTTGTCAACCCAAGTGAATCGCAAGTTTTGGGTTTGATTAAAGGTGATCGCTCAGATGAATATCAACAAGTTTCATTACAAAAATTAACCTTTTAGTATTCAAAAGATACAGAAAAGAAAAATCATAAATTTATAGAAATCAACATAGCATATCTCCATTAGGTCATTAATTCATTCATTTAAAAATAAAATCTCTTGTAATTTTAAAGTCACCAAATCACGACTAGCCGCTGCAGCTGCACTTCTGATTTTAAAATCTTCTGAACTTTCAGGTTTAGAATTAGCGTCAACCGCTGTATTACTTGGATGATTACTCAATTTCATTAAATTTGGTTGAGTTGGACTTGCAACAGAAAGACCTGTAAGACTTTTTCTTGAATCTCTTAAAAATTTAAACGCAGATGTATCAGAATCAGACTTTCCACTTAATTTCGATGCATTATCATCTTCCAAATCATCTTGTAAATTTCTAACATCAATATCACTATCATCATTCATCTCTGAATCACTATCATCACTATCTCTAACATTGCTTTTCCCTTTAGCTCTTCCTAGATATTTGGACGTTAATAGTGCTTCTAATCTTTGCTTGTTTAATATCTGATCAAGTCCTCCTGGGATGTTACCACTTATTGCCGATTGAATTTTTTCTTGAAAGCTTGTAGCTGGTTTACTTTTCCCTTTTGAATTTGGAGCTGAGTTATTTGGATCTATTTTTAATGAATTTATCTTTCTGGAATATGTATCAAATTTTTCATTCAAGAACCTATCAAAATCAATAACATCTTCTTTTTTAACATCCTCAGAATTACTTAACAAGTTACTTATCCAAAATTTATTCCAAAGATTTTTCAAAATTTGATTTTCCACACTACTTCTAAAAATTTCAATTGATAATGAATAATATCTAGAAGAATGTAGTCCAAAATCTTGTATCTTCTCACTTGGTATATCTTTCACGTTTTGTTGGCCATTTTTCTTAATAGATTGGGATCTTTTAACAAATGGAGAGGTACCCAGACTCTTTGAAGGGGTTGCAGTTGTCATAGTATTATTTTTAACATAATCATCTGTATAGGTTCTGAAAGCACCAATTTCAACTTTACCATTTGCAATAGTACGTTCTGGGTCAACAACGATAGCTAAATATGGATCTTGAAATTGTTGATTAAGTGATTGAGTAGCAACATCAATTCCTGAAAGCCAACAGCCATATCCTGGATGTGAATGATACCAACCCACAATATTTTCATATCTACCTGTCTTTTTCAAACTATCAAGATATTGAACCATAAATTCATAACCTTCGGCTTGTGCATTGACTCTAGTTTCAGTACCTTCAACTGGTAAAGGATAGACATCCATAACAACGATTCCATTTTTAACAATTCTACCAGTAAGCATTCCCATAATTTCAATTGATCCTCCTGAACGAGCATGAATTGTCATTTTCAATAAAGCTAAAGGTGATACATAAACATGTTGAAAATAATTGGGATCTTTTTTCCATGGTTTAGTTTCACTCAATTCTGCATTTACCTCTTGAATATAAGTATCATTATAGAATGTCTCAGAGCGCTCTGAAGAAGATTGTGATAGAATTGTATTTAAATCTGCTTCCACTGTGTCTAAAGGTTGTGTATGATTATGACCATGTTGCTTTTCACTTTCGCCGCCATCAGTCTTTGGCTTGGAGAAGCTTTGCAGAAAGAATGCATTTCGTTTAGCATTGAGGTTTTCAATACCTATACCTGACATCACTGGTTGAACTCTTTTATGTATAAGTATGATTTATGATGTGTGTAGACTTGATTTTGTCGTTGTGAATGAGCCTCAAGTTGTGGTTTGAGATGGTATAAGAAGCTATCAGCTAGCTAGCTATATTTGGTTTTAAGGTTTGAGCCCTGATCTAAAGAGTTTCGCGGGCTTACAGTGCACATTGTACTGTGTGCAGTGTAATTGGTAAATCTGTGCCGCCTGGCTCTTGAATATTTTAACAAGTGTACGAATTATATCAGTGCATGGGTGGAATTTGGATTTAAACTTTGGATTTTGCAACAACTTTGACTTTCCCCATTTGATCATCTTCCCCAAAAGAGCTTTACAAAATTTACATCAAAATTTTGGCGCATCAAACCTCAAATTGTCATTATATAAAAGAAGTACCATATCCTTGATTTTTGTTATATCATTGCAATCAGGTTCTGAATATATGCTAATTCAAACGATTTATCAACATTCGGCTCTCAAATGCTGTTAGCAAATTATTAGTCAATGTCTCAACTGATCATATATTATTTGCATGTGCCCTCTATTAAGTATATGTACCAGGTTTTAATCAGATATCAAGGTGCTCTATTATCTATAAAACATATTCAACTGGCTTTATTTAATTCATATAATTAATTATATCTGGAGCTGCAATCATAGTGAGACGCTATGGTGACAAGTTATAATATGATATATCAAGTTAGTTTTATACATTATCGATGCCAATACAGTATATATTATATTAATTAGAATATGAAATCAAATGATATTATAAGTTTATGATTTATAAAATATATAAAAAAGATCAAAGTTGAACCCATATGAGATCGAAGAAAAAGTTGAATAAAATGAAAATAATCAAACGTATATGAGAAACAATAAAAATTTATTAAAATAATGATCTTTGTCAGAAAGGCCAGCAGTCATGAGAAAGAATTCGAAAAATTGATATAAAAATAGCAAAATGATTTAAAGTCAAAATCTTCATGTAATAAAAAAGGTATTTGATCCATTCCAGTCTTTCAAAATATGACAATAATCAAAATTGGATACCCCCAAAATTTCATTGGGCATAATTGCTTATACTAAGAAATAAAATGTTAAACAATATATGAAAATACTCCAATAAAATGAATAATAGTATAAGACAAAATGAATACAAAAACAATGTTGAAATCTAATAATCCATCTCTGGAATTTCATCTGCCTCTCTTGGAATTGAATCAAATTGTCCAGCATTTTGAGACTTTTGTGATTCCAGAAAATTTGGCCCTTGAGGAACACCATAGTACATGTAATATGGGGTTGGTGCAGTATGTCCATGAGCAGATGTGTTCAGTGATGGTGGTGGATAATCAACCAGAGATGGTTCAGGATAATAATATGGATAAGATGCATATGCAAGATATGATGACTGGTCAAAAACATAATTTTTTTCTGGTAAAGTATAATAGTAATATGGAACTGGTTGGTTTTGTGAAAGAACTTGGCTATAGTTTCTTCTTTGTGAATGTAGTGATTTGGTTGTTCCAAATCCACTAGTTGGTTCAGTGGATTGGTCATTAATCAGATGGTCACCAACAGAAACATTAGTTGATGAGTACAATGACTTTGTATCTCCTTGTGATGAATTGATGGTATGGTTACTTGGAGATGATGCTGGTGTATGCTTATCATTTGATGGGTTATAATCATGACTGATATTTTTTGATGGTGTATGATTGAGTGAAGCAGTTAATTCATTTTCAACAGATCTAGTTTGAGGATATCCCAAATATTGAGAATAACGATATTTTAAATTGGCAGTGTCATTACTGAATGAAACTGAACGGTTTGAGAAGTGAGCTGGGTGTACATGCTTTGCTTGACTACCTGGACCTTGAAAGTTTGAGTGGATATTTGGGTTTGGAACCACAGAAAATTTACCAACTTGTTGTCTAGCTTCATATGGTTTGTTAAAATTAACCATTGGTGAACCTGTACTTGCTCTTCTAACAGGTAAGTTGACTGGTGGTGGTGCAAGGTTTAATCTTGGTTGATTGTTGTTGAAGTTTTGCTTTTTGTGATGGAGTTCACGATATTGAACATGCATGGTTTTTTCTAAGAACACAGCATGATTTTCTCTCTCAACAGCAGCAGCAGCAGATTTTTCAGTTTCAAATTTGATGAACGCAAAATTGTTACCAGGTTTTGTGACTAAAACAATATCATTGATCTTTCCGTGTCTTGAGAATCTTTCGTCTAATTTTTCCTTGGTGACACTAATATCTAACTGTCCAACAAAAACTGAAAACTTATCAATAACAACTTCAGGCTCAACCTTGGATACTTGTTCACTTGGAGACTCGATATTTTGAGCCCATTCAACAATCCAATCTGGACTCAAACGCAAGTTAGCATATGCTCTAATAGCATCATCTCTGTATGCAAATTTGCAAAACCAAGCTTTATTCAAATTAGATTTTCTGAACTGAGTATCATTATTACCAACTGTCTGTTCAACTTCACCATAAATTTTTAAAACATCTTTGATGTCTTTTAATGGAAGGTCAACACCAGTTGCTGTTGCAATATACAAAGTTCTATTGACTTTGGCTGGCTCACAGCGGATGGATCTACCATCTAAAATTGAATGTTGTGCACCTCTTAATGCTTTTTTTGCATCTTCATCAGTGGTATATTGAACAAAGGCATAAGGTCTATTGGATGGATCACGCAAAACTTTCACTAATGCAAGAGTCCCCCACTGTTGGAAATATGTTAGTATTCAACTTGTTGTGATGTTAAAAGGTTTAAAGTCTAAATACTTACTTGTTCGAAATGTTTGGTGACAGAAATTGATAATTCATCATCAGTTTTACTGGATGCAAGACTGGCAACAAAAACACATGATGATGGACGGCCACGGAATTCTTCTTTGCCCTTGGAAGATTCGGTTGTGTTTTTTAAACTCTCAACTTGTTCTAATGTTTGGTTTGGATCTTCTGGATCAATAATTAAATCCAGGTTATCGTTATCTGAATCCGAATCATCTTCCATTTCTGATTCATCAGATGAAGAGATTGAAGGTGGTAAAATTTGGGAGATTTTTGGATCATAGTCTGAGCGATCCATTCTAGCTTTTGGAAAATCATTCAATCCATCGAGATCATCTGAAGGATCTTTAATAACGGTCAGGATAGTATCTTTGGAAACCATTTTTGAGCTTTATTTGATAATGAGCTGTTGGTCTTTTTAAGCTTTAGCTGCTGTGCTGAATTAAGCGCTGTGATGGAACAATAGAAACAATGTAACTAGTGCAGTAAAGTGAATATGCTATAGCTTTTGGAATGAGTTGAAATTAGTGAAAAAAAAAAGATAAACTCTTATGCTTTCTTGAGCTTGCCAAACTTGAAGATCTAGCAGCGCTGTGATAACCAAAACTTTGTAAAGATATAAGAGAAGAACAAGAAGAGTATGAAATGCAAATGAGAAAATCGAAGGCTATCTGGCTCTTTTATAATATTTCAATTTGTTGTTGGAGATGTTTCTTTTTCAATTGCAGTCGGCGTCTAATTTTGATCATGATATATATGATACATACATCAGTATGAGATTATACTTCGGATCTGTCCTCATTTTTCAGGCGTGCGTTGCAATATCATTTTGTCTTCTATACAGCGGCTGAATATCTAGAAAGGAACAAACAATTTTAAAAATATGAAAATGATGCTGAGATTAAGCGCTACATTATGGATGTTTTATTTTATTTACTTGTGCTCATTTGGCTACTTTATTTTGGTTAATTAGCTGATGTCTGAATGATTTAGTCCTGATTCTAAGGACATTTTTTATGCTATTGTTTTTAACTGTATTTCTGCCAAACAGGCAGTCAAATTTCATGGATTTTTAATATCCGACGATTGTTTAAGATCGGTTCCTCTATGAGAAATGCGATGGGTCTCTGTGCGCAGTAGTCATGGAGATTACGGTGCATGAAATGCACATCCTGCTTGTTAATGCAAACAGATAATCTTGGACAATGTTGGTCCTTTTGATCATGCTAGTTTGATGCGAGCTTTTTTATGGTTGATATTGAAACCTGGTGTGAATCAAACAACCGATACAATGGTATTAAATATGAGATTAAAAAATCTGGCTCCTGATTTTGACTCCTCAGTACTTGAATATGTGGCTTTGTTCGATATGAAATTCATAATCACTGAATATCATATAAACTAATCAAGCCGTACCATAGGGGAAGAAAGATATGTATAATACATATTATATATATTGACTTAATTATTTAGCTTATAATACTGTATCCGGTATAGCGATGTAGTCTGGCCTCTTATAAGTCATTAATTTAATATAGGAGCCTCTAACCTCTCTATAGCTAGCTAGTATACAGAGTGCTATAATCAATTAGTCATGCTTAGGAGCTGGTCCAAAGTTTAATAAGATTATATACTTTGCATATATAATTCACAATATTGTATGAGCAAACATTGTACATGCTCATATAGTATTTAATTGGCTAGTACTCAATTGGTCTACATGACAATTAATATATCTATATATAATTATAAGTTATATACAAATTTATAGCGGATCAGCTCATTCTTCATGATATATATTAATGTCGATTCTATAATTAGCCAATTATCGAATACATGGAACATGTTGTATAGCAATTTTATATATCTATATAACACACTTCATATATATATATAGTAATAAGATCTGCTAATATATTTATAAAAGAAATATATACGCTAGCTGCTGGTATGTCGTGAGCATATTGTATATATAAGATTTTGAATTATCGTCATGTGATGATAATATATTATATATGTTACAATAAATAATATATGTGTAAGGCTATGAACTAGTTAATATAGTATATATATAATATATATGTTATAACAGATTTGCAGCTCAGCCCAACATCACTTAATATTATCAGCTATAATTTACAGCACATTTTTAAATAATGAAGAAATCGCAAAACGACGTTAATATGATCTCTAATAGTCTATATTAAAAGTATACAGCCATGATGTAGTTGTATATATTATAGGTCAAGAATATAATTAACATGGTTTTGAATCAGCTTATTATACTTCGTGTGACGTTTGTAGTCGTCAATGCCTAATGATATTAAAGCTCGTTATTCAGGTGATCTGATCAAATATAACTTATGCATATTTGATTTTTCGGAATGTGATTGATCTATTAGATAAGTAAATGAGAATCGAGATGTAGTCTGTAGAGCTAGCTTGTTTGAATTTGAAATAACATGCAGCATGCAGCTACACTACCCTAACCGGTTTAATAAGATTATAACTATTGTAGCACAGCTGTAATGATATACGAGGTTTATATATAATAAGTAAAGATATATAATAGGCTCCACATATATAATATATTAATACATGTATCAGGTTTTAAGAGGCCAGTTTATAGATTTTACATATCAGCTAGTAGTACAGTATACAATTGAGATACTATATACAATATTCATATAATAATATATCAAATTAAATAATCTAGGATCTTCAGCTTCCGCTAAAGTGGTACGGCCGGCCCATAAATTAATATTAAAATTATAAGTTATGTAGACTCTTCAACTAATATTCGATCTCTTAAAACGATTGATCAAACTTGCACTATATTGATATGGCATAATATATATTTTCATTATAATTGTACATGCGCGCTAGAATATAAGCAGAACTATAAAAAAAATGGTCCAGCTGGTATATAAATTTTTGATGATCTGCTATAGATATTTATATAGTATTATATTTATAATATAGATAGGCTTATATATTTGAATCTTAATAAATAAATTGTGTAGCAGCTAGTAAATGTTTTAGTCGTATATATTTATAATTTAAATATTGTATTATATCATGGGCGGCCTTCTCCTCCAAGGATTCAATTTCATGGTTAGTTCGCTTATTTTTAATATCAATTATCTTGTGGGACCAATATTATATAAGAGAAAATCAATATATATAAAGGCATATACTTCACGTACTTATACAGCTATTATAAACTGAAAATATCAATTGATACGTCCATGCTAGTGCAATTAAATTGTTATAAAACTAAACTGTATACTGTATCATATTATTCCATCCTGCTGTAAAATATTTTATATTAATATATAAAGTTCAGAATAAAAGGCTATTTTGAAGATATTTCGTACTCTCCTAACACTTGGCAACTCTAAATCTTTGATTTCTGTTTAAAATTTGCAGCTTAATTGCAAGCTGTTGCATATACGTCTTTTTTTCGAGGACGTTTAAGATTGTGACATGTCCCATAGATAATCATTAGCTGTGTGTAGTTGGTATCTAGGGTACAATATTATATATTGGAAGATCATAATATTATAAGGTGGCATTAAAAACAATTGATTACATATTCAAGCTTAGAGGATGTATTGTTGTTTTGCCGGCTCCCTCAACTATATATATAATTTCAACATACAACATACAGGCTTCTTGAGCGGCTGTCGGTCCTGAATTTCATATCTGAGACGAAGCGTAGTTTCTAGTATGTGGTAACTTGAACCTCTAGTATTAATTATACGTATATTATATTTATATATAATTAGTTATACTAATTTAATTTCCATGCAGTGCGTCTTTATTATGAAACTATGTACAGTCGAAACCTGTCGAGACCTTATGACTCTATGGTAACTTAGGACCGAATCTAAGAATTTTTTCGGCTCAAAGTGGAATTATGTTCCTGAAATACATTGAGTTTTTAATGTGCAGAAAGGGGTAAATACTCAAGGGCACACGGTGTTTTTCTATCGCTGTTCAACTTTCTTTTAAATGTACAGCTTCTAACATTTGATCAGCTGGTATATATATAAAGCAAAATCTGCGAGCTATAATTTTAAGCTACAATTGAATACTTTGTGAGCTGAGCTCTCCAGCCTGGCCCAGTTTGATTTTCAAACCTCATGAGAATCCAGAGCTTAAGCTTTAAGAACTATATGTACTTAATTGTGATCTACCATACATAATAGCTAAGGCATACTTGTAATGTTCCTTATCAGATCTTGGAGTTAACTTGACTAATGTTGGTCCTTGGAGGGAACTTGGAAGAACCTGTTCAGCTTACCTGCGTTGTAACTTGTGGTTTGCCTGACTGTGAGTGTGTATGTAGTATGTACTTGCAGTGCGCTTCCATCCTTGCACATCTTGTCAAATCTTGCATGATCATTGATCAGCTGCATAAAATTCAATTATAACTTTGAATGCTTCCAAATTTCATGAACTTTTAAAGTACTACTAGCAATTTATTAACTAATTATTTAAGCATTATCATAATTATGTATAATAATATATATTTGAATGTTTGGGTCGACGTAGACAGTAGGAATATTTCTAGACCCAGATGTGGTAAGTACTCTCGAGTGTACCCACGAATTCAGAACATGAAGCTAATTACTATTGCTGACCCATTCGTTATATTAGCAAGTACGGCCGTGAATGTCGAAAGCATCTTATTAATTGCAAATTCAAATATAAGTATAAGATTAATATATAGCTGGCCGTGTATTTACTTCATAAGCGCTTAAATATATATTATATAATGTATATATACTCATGCGGCGCTAATTCTTAGCATATTGATCATCGCAATTTAACATATATATAAATCATATATATCTATAGTCGATTCTGGATCATATACCGACTTTATAGTGGGCAGTACAGTATACAGCTAGTATATATTGTAATCTATATTTATAATCTATATTTATAATCTATATATCCGTTAATTTTGATTCAGCTGGCTGGTTAACACAATATTATGGTATGATATTCATCACAATATGGTAGTAGTTATACGTTATTTATGATCATAATTGTACTTATCGATCTGTACGTACATATATTAATATTATAATATGTATTATAATATATGTTACTTTCTTGAGAGTCCGAGCCAGTTATCAGTTACAGAGCTAAATACATGACGCTTCCTTGTTATCACAAAGCTACTTCTATACACAGTACAAGCTTGAAGTCACAATTAATTAATATACAAGTATGATAAATCAAAAAACTATATCTTTTACTTACAAGTTACCAAAGTTTCAGCTCTTTCACTTCTGTAGATCGATTCCCCTTCGTACTTTTCAAAGAGTAAAAGTACTTTGTTCATGCATGACATGCATAATCTTGCGCCAT